AAAAATCTAAATTTGTTCAAAATAGTTTTCTGTTCTCCAATTTCTTATAAACTAACTCCGACAAAAAACATCATTGCTTCTGGCTCTGAGCGTAAATTCAAGTAACTCCTCAAGCAAAGATTGCAATTTCTGATTCACAACAGTACCCATAAAAGCTTTGTCTGCTGAAGTATATGAATGCATATGTCAATATTTTTGTCTCTTTAAATTGTTTATTTCCATTTGCGGTTTCTCTGGGAAAGTGACTTGTGCATTTCTTGATTATAAAGAAGCAATGGAAAAAGTCATAGAAATAAACATTTTTCAAGTTAGAAGGACGAAGGTATCTTTAACATTTTCTGGTTTAAGGTTGCAAATTGAGCATCGCCATCTTTGCGCATAGAGGGTCAGTTGAAATTACGTGTACAGTCCCTTTACATATACTTATTAACAATTGAATAAAAAAATAAAGTAAAATGAATGCTTTTTAATCATTATTTTTATCTAATGTCGTATACATTTAATATTCCAAACCTAGAATATTTACAGGATATATCACCAAGAGAAACAAGCAAACCCCGGTCTCCTATTGCAGGCAATGTATTCTCTTCATATATAACGTTGTAATCTCTTTTTTTCTGCCTGTCTGTTTGTCTGTTTGTCCGATCATAACTCAAGAACGCCTTGACCGATTTGCCTCAAATTTTGATTGGGTAAATCGAGAGAATCATGAGAATGTTCTTAGCTTGGTTTTAAGGTTCTAAGTTGAGTGGGTCGACCATTATCGGGAGAAATAACTAAAATCGTAATGTACGAACATGTGCGGGTAAACGGCGGGGTAACTACGAGTAACCAGGGCAACGCTGGGTTCCCAGGCTAGTTTAGAATAAAATATAGTGCGTCCCACTAAAATATGAACATTTAAAGATAATCACGTATGGTATTAAAAACAATTCTCAATTAAAGAATATACAGCAATGCATTATAATTCCATTTTAATGATTTACATGCTCATATAAGAGTTATTTATAAACGTTACCAATTAATCCTTTCACTTATCATCAAGGACAGAGGTACATATCTTTTAAAAAGTGCTTGAGTTCCCGTAACACCATAGTCTGCCGTGTCCATTAGCGCCTGTTCCAATCAGGATTCAGTCATGTGTTAGGTGTCTATTCTGAACCAATAGAAATTGCATGGCGGTAACATTTATCTCATTATCCAATTATAGAGATAAATTCTTATATTTAATAATATTTACTTCTACTGAAACTATAGTGGTAAAATCTTAAATGAAAATCGGGGTGTCTCCGATGAGATGGCCGTGTTTGTCTCCGATATTTCTCCAATGATAATGATTTCTCCTCAGGAGTCTCAGAAAGTTGATATTAATTTTTTTCAAATGTAGAAAAGATACAAATCCAGTGTTTAAATAACAAGATTATTAAGGATAAGGCGGACATTCATGATTAGTCTGAAGTTTACTGGTACCATCGTGCATTGGAAACACCACTCAACAAGTGGAGGCTCAAATTAAATCATATTAGTATTTTATTATTATATTATTATCATTATATTAATATCATATTATTATAATATCATATTATAATTATATCATATTATTATCATATTTTAGAAGTACATTTATTGCTTCTAGATATAATTACATGATAAATAACGAGTGTATAAAAGGAGAGGAAGTTGAGTAGGTCTTCTCTGGTTCCAAGATCCGACACTACTGATTTGCGGATTTCATAATCCTCATTCGGGGATTTCATTCTCTACAATATCATATTATAATTATATCATATTATTATCTTATAATTATTTTATTATTATATTACTAAATCACCTTATTACTTTTGTTGCGATTTTTTTAACACATAAAAATGATATTTATTGATTATGTTTAGATTTTGATCAGAAAGAAACAAAGAAACGAAACTTGGAAATGTCAAGATTCTCTTTCAGTGTTAACAATTCCCGCAAACTGAATGAGGTTGCTAGGTAGAGGTCCTGAAAATGTAATGAAACTGATTATTTGCCTCTAACTCAAACTTCCTAATTCTTATCTTTCCCGTAGACGCCCTTGACTGAAACCGATTCACGTAATCTAATGATTGTGATTACAATAAGTGTTTTATTTCTATTTTTGATATGATTGTTTAGTAATGGAGAAAATGAAAATACTACAATCTCTCCTGGAAAACCTGAAAACGCTTCTCTAAGAAAATTAAAAGGTAAAGCGGGTGTCCCAATGAAAGAGGAAATTCAAAGACGAAATTTGCTCAAAATTGTTGATACAAAATTTGCTCAAAATTGTTAATACAGTCGTAAGCCTTGTGAGTTGTCCTAAATTTGGAACAAAATTGTTTGTACAGGGTTTCCCACAAAAGGATGAGACTGCAAAGACGACATTAATTTAATAAAATATGACAGTCAAGGTTAAATTGAGTCTTATGCCGTAAATATAGTCTTTTTATGACCTTTTTATGAATTTTGCAAGGAACTATAAAAACTGTGCAAACCTAAAAAATAAATTGATATAACGAACCATTAAATATTTTTAATTTTAAAATATTAATATAGATTCTGTTACATGAAAAAAAAGATTGAAACCACATTTTAGAATAAGAGAAGATGAATGATCATGCATTCATGATCCAACTAAGCTTTGATTGATATCGTTATAAATCAAACAAAGCTTTAATTGATATCGTTATAAATTAAACAAAGCTTTAATTGATATCGTTATAAATTAAACAAAGCTTTAATTGATATCGTTATAAATTAAACATGTCACTCAATACATGAATAGTTACATTAAATTTTTAACAGTGAATTACGCTAATTTGAGTTTTGAGATTAATTTTCATGAATTGGAAAATTAAAACCGCTGCTTTTCCATTTCCTGAATATGAATAAAAATAATATATAACGCTTTTTCATTCTGTACAAGGTGTCCCAATAAACATGGGAATTCAGTGACGAATTCTCTATCGTCTTTTTAAATCATTCTTTGATTTAGTATAGTGATACCTACTGAGAAAGCTGTAATCCGTAAGATTACCGTCTGGTATGTTTACACCTTGTTTGTTTATGTTTTGACTGCATACATTTGTACTTAGTAAAGTGAAAAAATTACAGCAAACATACAAGGTAAACTTGTTCGTCTTTGCTGTTCATCTTGCGGAGACATTATAGACACATCTTTACAGTCTTTTACCCTTTTCATTTAATAAACTCTAGCAGACATAATAATAATATGGGCTTAGAAATTAGGTATTACAATGCTAATTCAAACAAAGACGATATTGAATTCGTCACTGAATTCCTATGTTTATTGGGACACCCCGTACTTTAAACATTGAGTTAAAAGTTTGCGAACGCTCTTGATTCAAAAACCTTTATTAAACGTCTGGTTTGTTTCCTAAGTTCTAATGGTTGTACATCGCTTTTTTTAAACGATCGTTTTGGTTTCGTGTTAGTGTTAGTTTTAATCTTTTATGAACGAAAAAAGTAAAGATAAAACTATAGTTTTTAAGCAAAAACTATATTTTTCTTCATTAAAATATGTCGTTTTTATTCCAATGATAATTTTCAAAACGATCGTTTTTATTCCAAAACGATTGTTTTCATTCCAAAACGATTGTTTTCATTCCCAAACGATCTTTTTAAAATTCATTCAATTCAAAACGATCGTTTTAATTCTTTTGAAAACGATCGTTTCGTTTTCAGATTTTTTCATTGTTAACGTAACGAAACATCCATATTCCTAAACCGTTTGTTTCTTCCAATTTCCGTTAGCGACGGCCAACCAATTACCCGCCAGTATAATCAATATTTTCTTATTTTCATATAAAAAATTTCGGGCATCAATAGACACCTGCTTTATACGTGTATGTATAAGTGCCTATAAGATCAAGAAAAAAAATAAGCGCAAAAACTCTTCAAAACATGCCGAAATAAGTTTTGAACGATTTACATTGGAGCCAGTGATTACAGTCCTCTGCTGTATATGCACATAGTAACTACTTATATAATCTTATTTTAAATTGATTAAAATAGATTCTGTAACTGCTGCTACTGATGCCGATGATGATGATGAAACTACTGCTGAAGAATCTGTCAAAGATGTGACTGAAAAATCAAATGATCTGGAAAGCATTAAGAGCATAGAACAGGAAAGAATAATTATCAATTTTATATCAATGGAACAGTAATCTAAAGCCAAAGCCATCTAATTAATACTAGATCAGACAAAGGTTTATGGGTACGGTAGTAAATCGGGTATCGTCATCATGAATGGTCACTTGGAAATACACTTACAGTCCCTTTGAGTTTGTTCACAGTATGGAACTACTGAAAATATGTTAAAATTACGAGAAAAAGTTATTATCGAAAATTGTGTTTGTGTTTCCATCCATTACTGAGTTTTGTTCATGTGTTAATTATTTTTACACGTGTTACTAAATCGTAATATCACATCATTACATTTATTAATTACTTGTAGTCATAACTCTATGTTTAACCCTATTCCTACTTGCCTCTCCTCTACTTAAAATGCTCTGACCGCCCCCCCCACATCTTTTTTTCTTATTGTGACACTGATCCATAACATTTTATACAATTTAATGAAACCCTTAGGCTCTTACTTAAAAAGTCTGCCAAACAAAATGTAAAAGAAATTAGAATTGAGTCTTTGCCGCGAACACAAATTTTTAATCCTCATATCTTTCCAACCAAAAGGTTAGAATTTCAACCTTAGCTAAATTTATTCGATCAACCAAAACCGTAGTTTGAAATATCTAAGGTCTACGACATTGGGTTGTAAAGATACAGGGATTAGAAAATCAGAGTTTGCAGCAAACAATCAATTCCGTTGCAAAAACTAAAATATTTAATGCATAAAAGGAGATCAATATCTAAGCATTTTAGAAACATGCTAAATCCATATTGAATTACAAATTTATCAGACCTAACATATATTTACAAAAACTCTTATTAATTTAATTAAATTTGAATAACTTCAATCCAGTCCAGACCTCTTGGTTCAAACCAGATGCAAAATGTAAATAATTTCATTTAAAAGGAATGCAAGCGTAATTTCACCATGGAAAGATAACAACGCCCGATTCACAACAGTACCCATAAAAGCTTTGTCTGCTGAAGTATATGAATGCATATGTCAATATTTTTGTCTCTTTAAATTGTTTATTTCCATTTGCGGTTTCTCTGGGAAAGTGACTTGTGCATTTCTTGATTATAAAGAAGCAATGGAAAAAGTCATAGAAATAAACATTTTTCAAGTTAGAAGGACGAAGGTATCTTTAACATTTTCTGGTTTAAGGTTGCAAATTGAGCATCGCCATCTTTGCGCATAGAGGGTCAGTTGAAATTACGTGTACAGTCCCTTTACATATACTTATTAACAATTGAATAAAAAAATAAAGTAAAATGAATGCTTTTTAATCATTATTTTTATCTAATGTCGTATACATTTAATATTCCAAACCTAGAATATTGCCAGATGATAATAATATCAAGGTTCGCGTCATCAGTTTTCAAAAATATGGGGATTAGAAAATTGGAGTTTGAGACGAGTGTTGAGTTTCTTCAAATGTTTATTGAACTTTTAAACTTCTAAGCAGGGATTTTTAAAAAGATTGAAACGAAAATTTTTCACTTGATACAGACAATTTTAAAACTCTTCAAACGCTCTGCTTTAAACATAAATCAAGAAACAAATAAGTTTACGGCTTAGATTATCACACATCTAAGTCTTAATACATTCCGTTCAGTCGTCTCTGAAGCTTCATCCTTTGAGGGTAACTCTGATCTATTTTTAGGTTCTATGCTGACTGTGAAAAAGTCTGTAGATTTCAAATCAAGGTTTTAAATTAAATTATTTAAAAATAATCATTGTAATAAAACGAGAAATTAAAATAATCAATTACTTTTAAAATATCTAATGACTAATAATTGCAACACATACAGAGAATTCATTATTTTCATCGCAATGCTTAAAAAAATGAATTTTTTTTTCACTGTAAATTTGAAGAAGAAAAAAACTTTGTGCCTAGTCAATAATGTTGGATTTGTTCTGAGCCTTTTCCAAATTTTTGATTTGTAACATTTTAAATGTATCTAAACTTTTGTTTTAGCATAGTTTATTAAAAAATATTTGTTTGCACTTAGATTTAAAGAACCCATGAGATGCCATTGACATTTAAATTTATTGACAATATCATAAAACAAAAACAGCTTCTAAATTTACAATTGAATTCTGGTGCATTGCTCATCTGGATTTAATGTATAACGAGAAGTAGTCTAACCATCAATCACCGGTTCAATCCGTTTTCTTGTTAGCCTGGCCAGGCTGAAGAAAAGTGGTTCAATTTAATTTACGTAGTTCAGCTACTTCTCTCATTCATAAAATCTGGCCCCCGGGTTACCTAAAAAACTATTTAGTAACGATGACATTTGGGGACCAACAGTCAAGGAAAAAGAAAAAGCAATGAAACTTTTAGGAATAGGTAAACAAACATATTTTTCACTGTCAGAGCACTGCAAACTATACCATGACAGGAGAGGGTCAAATCAATTGAAATTACTGTTACGACTTTCGGACTCCGTTACTCCTCCAGACTGATTTTACGCACACTTTATATATATCTTGAATTAAAAACATTTTTGTTATTATTAATAGCTTTTCATTAAGAGGAGTAATAAGATTTGAATCTTAGTCTTCAGTGCATTTTACTTTAGCTTGACACGAGAGGAAAACCTAAAATTACCTAATTAAATATTTCTGAATTATTATTTCAATATTTCTGAATTATTATTTAAATATTTCTGAATTACCTAATTAAATATTTCTGAATTATTATCCGCTTGTTCGGAAAAATGCGAATAAAATGTTGGGAAAGGATTCGAGTCTTTGCCACAAACTATGATTTTCTAACCCTATGTCGTAAACCTTAGATATTTCAAACTATGAATTCTGATAGATCAAGTGATCTAAGTTTGAAATATCTCAAGTTTACAACATCAGGTTGCAAAGATAAAGTGATTGGAAAATTTAAGTTTGTGACAAATTTTGACCAAAATGTTCGTAAATTGAAATGGCTTTTTGTTTGATATTACCAACCGAATATTATGTGTTTTAACAAAGCATTTTTGAAAATGTCAGTTTGTGTTTTTAAGTTTAAAAAGTATTTAGGAAAGCGATGGATTGGGTTTAGAGGAGGTGGAATTTCAATCTCAGTGAGTCAAGATTTGTTATTTTTTAAACATTTTTTTTTTCATCCGCTTAACAACAACACAAGAATACCCTTTCAACCTTTTTCTGATAAATGACGAGTAAATCATTGTCGTTTTCTAGTTTTGATAGAGTTCTTTAATGTCTGTGAACCAGAAATCTGACACTTTTACAGAAAACTTAAATTTCTAATAATCAATTTTCATATTTATAAACATGGATACCTCATTCATTCTTGATCTTACAAAACTTTTTCAAGAGTACCCTTGTAATTGTGAATCACTAACATACCACTCTTGTATGTATAGTTAGATAGAATTAAATAATGGTGTTTAATTCTGATCATTTCCTTGTGATTGTGAATCACTAACATACCAATCTTGTTCTTATATAGAAGATGTTAACGTTTTCATTTTTTTTAACGATCGCTTCGTTATAAAAACGACGACGAAAAATCGAAAACGAAACGATCGTTTTTAAGAACAATCGTTTTTTAAAACAATTCGTTTTTAAAAATTGTCGTTTTTAAAACGACCGTTTTTATAAAAATCGTCATTTCGTTAATGATCGTTAACGATGAACCTTCGTTAACGATCGTTAACAACAACCCTTCGTTAACGAAGAAAGGAAGCCGACATTACGGGCATCTGTACTTATCATTGAGTAGTTTTTAAGAAAATATCAACTTTTTAACTTCATGTAAGACGACATTCAATTTTTTGTATGTAATTTTTTTTTCAGAAATTATCGTCTTTCCAAAAACGACCGTTTTTTAAAGTTCGTCGTTTTGTTAACGACAACCCTTCGTTAACGATCGTTAACGACAACCCTTCGTTAACGATCGTTAACATAATTGTCAATAAATTTTTTTTTTCAAAACGATCGTTTTTTCAAAAGTGATCGTTTGTAAAAAAACAATCGTATAAAAAACGGTCGCAAATCGTGTTTTCAAAAACGATCGTTTTCAAAAACGATCGTTATTCGTTTTTAAAAGTTCAAAAGGAGTGGGTCGTTTTTAAAAACGATCGTTTTTTCCTTAAAACGAAACGGTCGTTTTTAAAACGATTGAAAAACGAAACAAAAAACGATCGTTTAACGATCGTTTTTAAAAACGATTAACAACCCTAGATAGAATTAAATAATGCTGGTTAATTCTCATTATTTTTACAGCATAATCCGCAAGTCAACTTGATGCAGAGAAACCATGATTAGAAAGTAATAACTTTTTAAGGATAAAACATGAATATCTGTTTCGTATCTTGATCAGACATAAATGTTAATGGTATCAGATATGTATTGTATTCTATTTAAATGTGTGATAATGTGCCAAGTGCAATACAAAACGTTTTATAGAAATCCAACCTTATTTCTTTTTCCAGGTTCCGTTGTCAAGCTATACTGAAGAAGACATATTGGAGGCATTTAGAACTAAACTTTCTATAGTAGGTAAATTGGACTGGGAACCTTTAATTAGGCAATTTTTATTCGACTTAATTATTACTTCTTTTTTATTTTTCTTATTTTACAGAGGAGAATAATCCGAAGAAAGATCTGCATGAATCCTATCAGGTTTTTGAAATTTATTCAACCAGAGGCAAATACTTTTGAATCTTAACCCTACACTGGCGTGGGGAGGGTGGAGGGGGCGTTTAACTAACCCCCCCATAGTGATTTAAAGAATTTTTTTAAAATAGCTGTTCAGTGTAAAACAAATCTTAAAATACTTCATACCTTTTGTGTGATATGTAAAAATGTAAAAAAAAGAATTATGTGGATTTTCTCGACCATTTTTTACATATATTCAAAACCTCCAAAGCATACACCTAAACCTTACAGTGGATAGTAGATACCTAGTTTAGTTGCTAGCAATAGTTAATCTACAACCTAAAAGCTCATGTGCAATATATTGAGTTCAGTGGATAAACTAAGCACATTCTTCAAAAGTTCAGCGCTCTGACTATAATATCATTTCACAAAGGAACTGAGTTTTTGCCAAAAACTCTGACTTGCTAACCCCTATACCTTAGAAACCCGATGTTGTAGACCTTTGATATTTCAAAATATGAATTATGTTAGATCAAATTGTCTAAGTTTGAAATATCAAAGGTTTCACCATCATATCACAAAGGTATAAGGATAAGAAAATTTGAGTTTGTGGCAATACCTCAGTTCCTTTCGAATTAAAATAAATACAATTTTAAACATTTTTAGCTTGTGAGGCGATGCATGAAAGGAAAAGGCAGATTTAAAGCAATTGGTAAGAAATGTTTCTTCATTATGTTTCCTTAAACTAACGATGTCTAAAAATGTATTTTATTTTATCAAACGAATAATTATTACTTAGTGAACGGCCAATTTCGTTTTTTGTTCAATTGTTTTCAAAAAAATGATTTAGTATGTTCTCACTGAACGTTTGTTCAATAAAATCGTTCTTTCAGTACAAAAACTATAGTTTTCTAAAAGCTAGTAAAAAAATCGTTCTTTCGGGGGAATTTTTTTTTTGTTGTAAAAAACCATCAATTTTCGATTTTGTTGGAAATAGAAACCAAATTCACTCACCTTAAGCTATTATTCTATGATCAAGATTAACAGACAACAGATCTGACTTCAGGTTGCAAAGCTAGGATACAACTTTTTTTGAGCGTCTTTAAGTTTGGAATGAAAAAACAAATTAGAAGGTCTTAATTTTTTCAAAGTTTATATGTTAGGACAAATATGTTTTTATTATTTTATGCTTTAATAAAACAAAGTGAAATCTTTCAGATCGATTTTGATGTTGAACACGTTTTATTTATCGAATAAATCAAAGATTTAATGTGACTTTTTGATCATCACTTATGACTTTTATCTATATATCTTTTGCTCATATATTTATGAACTATAGCTGGCCAAACGGCTGGACCGAATTGCCTGAAAAAGTTGAATTTTTTTTCTTTTTTCTTTAAAATTTTTTATTTATTGTTTCCCGGGCAACGCCGGGCAGCCAGTTGTTAGTAAAACAATCATTATTCAGGAAAAGCAAGTTTAAAATCTCAAAGATTTGCATGTTTACTTGGAAAATTAAAACAGGTAAATCAACGGGTTATTAATCTATTCATACATTTTAGTTTTTAAATTTTCAGATTATGCATTAAGATTTCCACGGATAGCCAATTTCAGAAAATCGATAACTTTTCCACTATAGTTTCAGTAGAAGTAAATATTTCCGTATGATGTTTAGCGCCGATATAAGGATTTATCTCTTATTGGATAATGAGCTAGATAGAAAGATAGATGATACCGCAATGCAATTTCCATTCCTTTATAAAAAGCTGGTTTTTTGGTATGCAACAATTTTCATTGAATCCCGGCGGGATTTTTCATTAAACACTGCATTGAAAAATCTTAGAAATGCGCCCATTTTTTTTAACAAAATTAACAAATTCCAATTTTAATCAGTCAGTTCTCTTTAAGCTTTTTAAAAAGGAATGTCATTTACTAACAGACAAATTAGAATCAATGGAAATTTAAGCCCCCTCTGGATTCAATGATAAACCCTTTGGCTACGCCCTCGGGTTTATCATTGAATCCCTCGGGGGTTTAAATTTCCATTGATTCTAATTTGTCTGAGAGTAAATGATACATTGGTTTAGATTAGGCACCAAACACATGACTGAGCCCTGATTGGATCAGGCGCTAATGGACTAGGCATTTAGGAGTGAATAATAAAATCCTAAAATTGAGTGCGGCATTTTTAGAATAATTTGTGGACACCTTTATGCATAGTATTATTTTTCCTCATTTTAAATTAGAATTATTTGAAAATCTGATAAAATCTATTGTTTTTATTTTGGGAGGGCACGAGAACACATGTTTTCGAATTTTTGTTGTTGTAAAATATGATTATCTAAAATCTGAAATCCTTGCTCCCTTCACGTTTTTTTGTATTTTGTAAGTTTTCACGTCAACAATTTCGAGCGAAATCAAATATTTTAAAATCTAATAATGGTTCCAATTATTTTCCTTTTTAAGGAAAATGCAGAAGAAATTTAATTGGCATCCATTTCTCACATTTACGTTTTTGAAAAAAAGATAAATTCACAAAAATACTTTGCACAAAAAAAACATTTTTAAAAACTTATTTTAATTCTGAAAAATATTTTTCAATTGACACTTTTTTGTTTGTTTTTCTTCCCTTATATTTTTCTGAAAATAACAATTTTGCAAAATTTAATTCCACAAAAATCTGAGTGGCTTAACAAAGGAATTGAGTTTTGCCACAAACTCTGTTTTCTAATCCCTATATCTTTGCAACCCGAGATATTTCAAACTTTAAATTAGTTTCAATCAAAATATTAAAGGTTTACTCCCTCTGGTTGCAAAGATATAAGGACTAGAAAATTTGAGTTTGTGGCAAACGAACCAAGTTATTGTTCATCACTTAAGATATGCATCCTTCTATAATCCCTTTCATCTAAATCCAACAAATAATACATTTTGTATTTAACAGATTCCAAACAACAACAATGAAAACGAATCTGTCCAAGAAGAAGAATCAAAGTTTATAATAAAAGAAAAAAGAAATCAGACAGTAAAGAAAGGAAAAGAAGTTACAAGGAAAATTAATAATTCTATTCCAAGGTAAAGTTTGTTTTGTTTTGTTATCAGATTATTTTTAATTGGTATTTTTTCAGGAAAAATATTATTGAAGAATCTACAGTGAAACTGAAATAAGAAGACAAGACAAAACATTTAGATAAAATTAATCAATTTAAAAAGGAATACATTTTTTAAAAGTTTTCAAGTTAAAGGGAGTATCTGGCTAGCCATGGTAGTTGAGCTGATAATGCAGTATTGTAGAGAATTATTTTAGAAACCATTTGAGACCTGTAAGACTAAAATAAGAAGACAATAAAAAATATGGATGAAATAAATAATTCAAAAAGAAATACATTTTTGAAAGTGCAAGTTTTCAAGTTAAAAGAATTGAGTGTTTGTCACTAATTCAATAATTCCTATCTGACAAATTGATTTATAGATTGGAGAATTAGAGTTTGTGGTGAAGACTCAATTGCTGTAATTGAAAGAAAAGGATATCAGAGTCACAATAATCTCATGATAAGAAGATGATTTATTTTGTGAATGTCCCATTTTAGTCATCAATAGTTTATATGTACAAGGTTACCCATAAAGGATGCGACTTCAGAGGCACGCACCTCTGACCCTGTAGGAATAGTAAATTAAACCTAAAGTGTGACCGCGTCAACCTTGTTGCACCGGCTAGTCCTATTGAGTGTCTGCTTTATTTAACCATGATGTCAGGGCGATACAGTACAAACTGTGACGGAATGGTTGACCCGGCTCGGAAATTAAAATGTACTACGGCTGCCCGTGGAGGCACCTGTACGGAATTTATTTAGTTCTTTAAATCTATGAATTTCACCCCCCCCCCCCCTACTCTATTCCCACTCTTTTTCATGCAAAGGCACTGGCCTTGATATTTAAAATTTAAAAATTAAATTTAAAGTACCAAATGGTCGTTTTTTTCCCTCTTTTTTTAACTATACAACCAAAAATCTTTTTCTGATTAATTTTTTAAGATGTTGGCATTTTATTTTTATACCTTTTTATTACGTTTAACATTTAACATATTAAAAAAAAAGTAAAAAATTGTTAATTACATACTATGAACAGCAGATGTAAGCTGTAATAAAAAATTCCAACATTTTATTTTCTTAAAGTTTGCTTTTATTTAAATATTGTTATTGTTCTCATAGAAAATATAATAAAAAACATTAAAAAAATGAGCCCAACAAAAACAATTAATTTGGTTTGTCTAAAACAAAAACTTTAAAAACCTTCCAACATTTCATTTTGTCAAAGTTTGGTTTTATTAAACATCTCAATATATATATTCTAATAAAATATAAGGAAAAAATAAATCAAAAAACATTAGTTGCTTAAAAATCTGAAAACCAGCGGTTGAAAGCAAAAACGTAATTCAAGAAAAATTATTTTTCATTTGTTGAAAATGTGAACGAAAAAGTGCGATTTACCGGTTGAACAAATTTTAAATTTGAGAAAAAAAGGTGCAATTCTTATTCTGAACTGCGTAGAGTCTATGCTAGATCTCAACAGCTCGTTCAACCGCTCCAGCAGAGTTTTTTTTCTTAAAAGTACATATCATTCTGTTCAACAATATCTAAAATTATATAAATTTAAAGGGAAAATTCTACAATATCTAAAATTATATAAATTTAAAGGGACTGTTCTACAACATAGAAATAAAATAGAGCATAAAATTATTTCCAGAACCAAGAACACGGGCAGCCTTAGTACATTTGAATTTCGGATCCGGTTCAACCTTTCTGGTCCCAGTTTGTACTGCATCGCCCGGACATATGAATTGGGTTAATAAAGAATACAATTAACAGGACTAGCCAGTGAAACAAGGTTGACACGATCAGACTTTTTGCTTCATATAGGTTGATTTTACTAAAGGGGTAGAGGTGAGTGCCCACAAAGAAGTTTTTATTCTTAAACGATCATTTTCATTTCAAAACAATCGTTTTTATATTTTTGGAAAAGATATATGTAGGAATAAAAAATTTGAGTTTGTGGCAAAAAGTCATTTCTTTTCAATCTTTGACTGTTAATTTGATCTAGCAGAAATCATTTTAAACTCTAATTCAAAATCCGATGAAAACAGAGTAGAAGAAGAAATGTACAGCTTACAAAAATAAATATTAGAGAGTGATTAGTTTTGTGAATCAGACAATTGGGTTTTGTGTTATAAATACAAAGATTAATAACATTACTACTTTGTCATGCAGTTAAAAAGATTCGTAAAATAAATCCAGGAAAGGTATAATCAAAACAATGATTTTTGTATATTTCAAAAAAATATTGCTTATAGATTCTGTGAATTAAATTTTAACTTATATACGCAAAACAAAAAAAGTAAAAGTAAATTTAAAAAAATGGGGTTTCTTTTATGAAAGCTGAATCTCATGGAAAACTGGTAATAAAACAATGATTTAACTAATAATCGTATATAAAATCAAACTTGTAATCTGTTGGTTCATTATTAATCTGTTCTTCACATAGCAATATGCAGAAGGTATGTAAATGTGCCTTTATAGTTTCATAAAAATCAAACATTTCATAATTTTTATTTTGGCTGTTTCTAACACTCAAATTGGGACTGGTTCTATTTAAAAAAGAATTTAATTTTCAAAAGAATTGTATTTATGTATTTATCTGAATAAAAGAAGATATTGTCGCCTTGAAAAGATCAAAATTCTCGTCCCTGTCCCTGCAGCATACAGTGAAAAAAGTATACTTTATAATTTAGACATTATTCTTGTTGTCTGCCCTCCTTGTTTTCAGCACAGCAGCAGAGGACTCTTGTGCTGGGTGTAAACAAATGTCAGGTAATCAACACAAATTAATAACATACATGAAGATTTCTTAGATCTTTATAGACTATTTAGTTATAGTGAATCTTGAATATTAAATGAGATAATTTTCTGACATTGTTAAGCTTAATTAGTTATAAAACATTACGGGTTGTGGGGGAGTGGAGGTGTTGCTGATACCAGATCTGAGATTTTAAAAGCTTAAACCCTCGAGTAAACCCCCTGCGATCTATTGAAGGACTCAAGCTCAGCTAAACCCCAAATTTTGATAACTTAAACTTTTCCTAGATACATTATTTCCATACTATGTTTATATCATACCTTTGATCAAATTTAACTAATTTGTTATATTTTAAATATAAAAGCTTTTACGGCAATCCCAAACCTGAGTCTAGATTTTAGCTTTACTTGGGTCTAAGCAGCCTCTCGGAATGGGTTTACACTGAATTGAAGTGACTGTAAAGGAAAAATGAAAGGGGGTATTAAAGGGACTGTAAAGGAAAAATGAAAGGGGGTATTAAAGGGACTGTAAAGGAAAAATGAAAGGGGGTATTAAAGGGACTGTAAAGGAAAAATGAAAGGGTGTATAGGCTGAAAATCTTTAGGACTTGATCGCGACCCATGAAAGATCTATCTGATATCCTGTCTCGAGACATTGATATAAAACTGTGTCAAATTTATACTAAAATTCATATATAAATTTTGAAAATCTGAAACTTAAATCATGTGACCAGAACTCCCATCAATGGCAGTGCAGTGTATTGGTCATGTGTCTCTGTCTAAATCATGTGACCAGTATACTGCACTGCCATTGGTGGGAGTTTTGGCCACGTAATATGGAGTATGAATTGTATTATCAATTGTATCTATAAAAAAGGAAAGTTATAAAAATTATAATTGGAGCAAACCTAAGTTACAATTAGGCTTTTCTTGGATATTGTCGTTTAAGATTAGTTGCATATTTGCTGAATATGATCTGTTTAATCCTACTTCTTTTATATAAAATTCCATATATATATATGAATTTTCATATTTTGATACATTTTTATCAATTTTTTGAGAACTTTCATGGGTCACAATCAGGTCCTAAAGTGTTTAGGTTTCAGCCATGACCCCCATATCATTTTTTATTTACAGTCGTGTTAAACTTTTAAAATCTCAGTTCTTGTAAAATATCTTTTTTTACAGCTAGGCTTCTAGATAATCTCAAAGCTAATGACAGTATCTGGATGCAGGTGATATTAATGATTTGGATATTTCTTCATTACATTTTTCAAAATATATGATTGATATGTTTTATGTTTTTCTGTATGTTAAATTGTCAAAACGGCCTATAGAAATTGAGTCTTTGCCACAAACTCAGATCTAATTATTTTTTAGACTATTATTATGGTTAAACTTATATGCCCCAAAGATAGTGATCCGTCTTCTTGTGAACAAATGTCTAAAGAAAATTGGAAAGATTTGGCTGATGTCTTCTACAAAATTTTATTGGGCCAAGAGAAAGCTTGCCAGCAAACTGAAGCTTGTAATATGTAAGTATAAATCTAAAAAAATATTTTGATCGATTGACATTGTGTTGGTCCATACATAAAGTTAATAAAATCATATGAAATTGTAGTGTTTCCATTTTTTGTCATTTTTTTAAACCTTCCAAGCACCCAAATCCAAAGAGAAAAGAATACATATAAGAGTGGAATTTAGACAATCCCTCGGTATGAATTTAGTCAGTCCCTATCAGCCTGAAATGGAGTTCAAAGTGTATAAATCATGTAAATGTTCACAAATTATATGCAGTAGAGTACATAAATACAGTATGTTCCCTAGAATATCCATTTGAATTTCGAATTTTAAAGTTGTTAAATAAACTTTATAAAATGAATTAGGTGAATAAAAACATCGTTTGATTTAGATTAAATTCCACTTTAATATATATTCTTTTCTCTTTGCCCAAACCATTAAAGTTGGCCTTCTGAAACATAGATTTAGACCCCCAGTTTTATAGGGTTTTTAATCTAGTCTGACTGAACTCCATGTAAAACGCTGGAAAGAGAAAAATATGAACACGTTCATAAAACTTGAGATTTCAATACAGTATACTCAAAATCTTAGAAAAGACTAACATTAAATGTTTGATATTCTGATTATATCAATACAGTGAAGACGACGTTCGATTTCAATTTAGATCTATATCAAGTTGTTAAACAGCATGTTTACACAATATTACACATAAACATATAATTCAAGAGAAGCTGTCAATTAAAAAAGCTTCTCTTTGATTACTCGTAAACGTAAAAGTCATCTTTATTGTATTGATATAAACGCTGACCATTATACTTTATCTTTGATTCCAGTATTGAGGAATGGACCTGTGACAAGTGTATAGAAAGTGTGCAACATCTGGGAGCAAATGAAAGGACCAACTATTACGAGGCTTTTACTTTACTCCAAGGTAAAAACTTAAGGATTACAAAAATTCAGTAGCAAATGAGTTTAACGGGACCGTATGTGTAATTTCAAGATACTCTCCATTTTGAGAGTGGCGTGTCGAAATACTACGGGATACTCTTAAACTCATTGTCCTATGAATGAGTTATTGCTATTTTTTTATATAAAATTAATTATTAAGATATTTTTTCTAAGTAATTCATATATTTCTTCTTCAGGAAACAATGGGAAAACTGCCAAAATTTAATAATTGTTAATACGTCAAAATGTTGCACATGTTTAATCAGATAAAGTTTTAAAGAATCCCGTTGTAAATTAATTGAATGCTACTAACTCTTTAAATAGAAAGTCACCTGAAAGCTTATAGGTGCTTTTCTTTAAAAGACTAAGCTTAATTATGATTTTTCAGATGTCATATACAGTTACTGTGAGGACAACAAAACCATTGATAATTGTAAAAAAGTTGTAACAAGGTTGACTCCAGTGGGCTTAAGTTTAATTAATACAACCTTGAATTCTTTCCCTCCCGACTACCTTCCCTCAGAGAATATCTGTATTGACATCTTCATAGACAAGATAATAGCAGATCCTTGCAATGATGTTTGTTAGATATTTGAGAAATGATTTGATTAATTTTCTATTTTATAATCCCGTTCTAAATAAATCCATTAGATCTGTTTGCTTGTTAAGATATTATACTCTTACAGTGTTCACAAAACTTGTTCCAATTAGTTAAATATAGTTAATAATAAACAGATATAATTTATAAAATCAACAAAAGTTGTGAAAAATACAGTTTTCATATTATTTCCGCCTGCACGAACAATGTATGTATAGTACCACTGTGAAACAGCCTGCTTAAACGTTTGTTAAAAAACACGCTGAGTCATTTTTTTAAAAAAGTTTTGATTTTTAATCATCGCTAGAAAAAAGGAATTTCTTGGATTAAAAATCAAATTGTTTGTTTAGTAGTAAACTTTATGTTTTGTTCATAAAATCCGAAATATTTTTAAAGTTCAAGAGTTTGATTTAAAATTATTATCAGAATATAATACACCAAGAACCAGAAACCTTTAAAATAGGTAATCAAAAATATACCAATAATCAATTGCATTTTATATGTCGCATGAAAGGAAATAGTTTTAATATTGAAATATTAGATCACTAAAATCCGCGCGCTCCTATGCCTAAATTGAGGGGCATGTGCTAGTTGAAAAAGTAAAAATTTTTGAACAGCCTCAGACCAATACTTTCAGAGACTACAAAAACGTAACGAGGGGGGGGGGTTACCAGGCCCCCCCATGTGCATACTCAGAAAGAAATCTAGGTGGGGGCAATTATGCGGGAAGAGCAACCAATTTCCCCCCTCCCCTAGGAGCTCCTACAAAGTAGTCAAGTATATGATAAAAATACTTATATCTACATAGATCATTTTTGATATATATATGTATATGTATATATATAAATATATGTAGTTATAGTTATATGTGTATATATATATATATATATTATCTTTGGATTAAATACAATTATGCATTATAAAAGTATTATCTTGTATCTTATATATATATATATATTATCTTTGGGTTAAATACAATTATGCCATTATTAAAGTATTGCCTCTTTATTTTCTATTGTTTTACAGAATAAATCAACGTTAAATTGGATTCAAGATTTTATAGTAATTTCTATTTTCGTTTAACTGTTACACTTAATCTAATACACGTGGCGCCGGCACAGTGGTTCATATAGAAGGGGGAGCTGATGCACAGTAGATCACTGGAGATGGATCTAGTCAAGGTTATAAGGTTAGGAATGTTAGTTCAGAGGCATACGCAACAGTGGTTCATATAGAAGGGGGAGCTGATGCACAGTAGTTCACTGGAGATGGATCTAGTCAAGGTTATAAGGTTAGGAATGTTAGTTCAGAGGGATACGCAACTTTGGATCTGGTACTTAGTGGTACAATTAAAGTAGGGGGTAGCTGATGCAAAGTGGTTCATATAGTAGGGGGTAGCTGATGCACAGTGGTTTATAGTATAAGTAAAGATGGCATACCAGATTTTATTATTATTATAAAGATGTATTCACACACAAAGATATAAATACATATATAAATGGTGAAGTTTAAATGTATTTAAATACATTTTTTGAATATATAGTTTTACAAAAGAAAAAAGAAAAATATGCACAAATAGACGACATTGATCATTTCTCATTACATAACATATGTTATTACGTAATCATCGAATCATTCAGCATATAAATTATTCTTTCTTGTATTTAAAAGTTCTTATAAAACCGGAACTTTCCATGCATGGTCCAATGGGACATCAAAATATTTCATTTGTTTCTTAACTAACAATTTACTAAGATCCGAAGGATTTACAGAACAATCATTTGCAATGGAAAACAAATTCCTACCAAGAACTGTGTGAAGATCATTTTTGCATAAATTTGAAAGAAATCCAATGCAAAGCTTAGAACTTGCTTCAATAGTCTCATAGAAATATACACATCTACTGGTTAACATAGTTTTTACATGTAAACATTGTGAAATACTTTCAATCAAGCACCTATGCGTATCTCTAGGTACATAAAAAAGAATTCTAATAGCAGTATTCCATGCTGTATACAATTTTGAAACACATTGGGATCTCAATTCCCAAATGCAAGATTTATAAAAACTACAATAATAAATCTATATATAAATTTGGCTTGTCTGTCTGTTTGTTTGTTTGTTTGTCTGTCTGTTTGTTTGTATCCAATAAACGTCAAAACGGCTGAACCGATCGGGCCCAAATTTTTTGTGGGACATCTAGGGACCCCAGGGAAGGTTTATGAATGATCAAAATTTCAAATATTTGTCTCCATCAAAATTCGATCTTCATTAAATTTTTGAAAATTTTGAAAATCCACGAAATTTTTTGTGAAAATCCGCGAATTATTTTTGTTTTGTTTTACGATGTACACAAAGAGAACATGTTCACAATTAATTTAGAAGATGGGCGCGAAGCGCCCTTAAAGCCTAGAAAGAAGGGCGCGAAGCGCCCTGAATTTCTAGTATTGTAAAAATAACAAATAGAAATAACATTGAACATACATTACACATGAATGAAATGTTAATGTTTTTAATATTGAAAACTAATTATTTCAATCGTGGCTTTTCTACAGACGTGACAGTGCAGGAAAACAATAGAAATTATCATAGTTAACCCTATTCCTGCATAACTTACATAACTTAAAAAGTGTTGGTCTGAGGCTGGTGAAATTTTCTGACATTTACTAAATACCCATAGCCCTCCCTTTAAGTCTAAACCCGAGTTTTTATACTAACTGCCTGAGTACTAATGCACACTGCCTGAGTACTCATGCACACTGCCTGAATGACCTGAATGACCTTTTTGAAAAGCCATATGTGACATAAGGAAACGGAATGCACAAGTTTTACAAAGAATTTTTTGCAAATTATTTGAAAACAACCCGTCAAAAGAAATTTGCACAATTTTAGTTTTTCTTATTTACAAATCAGGTTATTTATAATTTAGCAAATTTTTTTGCATATTTGAAATGGCGTGTTCAAGGGCTTCTCAAAATGTATATTTGATCGTTTTTGGACTTTTTTCTAACATTTTTAGTATTTATTTTGCCCTATTATTCTCATTTATATCACTATCACCTAATTTTTTTTTTGACTTTTCAGGAGGAAACTTTGTTGTTAATGCAGGGCAGCCCCCCCCCAGGCTATACATATATTTAGACCCCTCCCCCATTCTTTATAGGGTTAAATACTTGAAGGGACTGTAGTGTAATTTCAAGTGATCCCCTCCCCAGTATAAAAATGCGATTGTCACTTTGTAAGAGAAATCAAAATTAAAAGTAATTAATTTTAATATCTATTACGTTGATTTATAATCAATACTTGATCAGACAAAACGTTAACGGGTACCATTGTGAATCGGGCATTGCAATATTTGTATGTAGGGTTTATTGAAATTACGCTTTTCACTCCCTTTTAACCCACTGTAAACCACACGTTGTAAGATAATTTATAACAAATAATACTGTAAAAAGATCCTACCCCCAACCTGTATTCAATCTAATTAGCTTCTAAAAAATTGAACTTGATTAATTTAATTTGTTCCATTTAAGAAATATTATCCCCCCTCCCCTGAAACACGTTCTTCTATTCATAATATTTGAACCAGGAGTACCAAGCGTTGCCAAGGTTTATATTATTATTTATATGCATAGTATACCCTGATTTCTGTCTGTCTGTTTGTATCCAATAAACGTCAAAACGGCTGAACCAATCGGGCCCAATTTTTTGTGGGACATCACATGACCACAGGGAAGGTTTATGAACGATAAAAACTTTTAAAAAGTGTGTTTTAAAGGTTTTTAATTTTGTAAAAAAATTGAAATTCTTGAAAATCTGCAAATTTTTTTTAAAATCCGCAAACTTTTTCTTCTTTGTTTTAAAATGTAAACAAAAAGAACATGTTCACAATTTAAACAGAAGATGGGCGCGAAGCTCCCTAAAAGCCTAGTATATATATATATAACTATAAAGCAATAATCAGAGCAGCTTCTCAGGTTTTACAGTTATTAAATTCTAGCTGAAGGGCTCGGCGTTGCCCGTGGAAAAAAATATTTTAAAATAAAAAATTAAAAAATTTTGAAAAAAAAATTTAACATTTTAGCATTTAACACCTCCTGGCCATCCATGAGTGTCTACAAAAAATTTCAGCCCAATCGGTCCATCCATTTGGCCGGCTATACGCAACATATATACGAATGTTTGGTTTTATTATATAGATATACTAGCCTTAGAGGGCGTTTCGCGCCCATCTCCTAAATTAATTGTGAACATGTTCTCTTTGTGTACATCGTAAAACAAAACAAAAATAATTCGCGGATTTTCACAAAAAATTTCGTGGATTTTCAAAATTTTCAAAAATTTAATGAAGATCGAATTTTGATGGAGACAAATATTTGAAATTTTGATCATTCATAAACCTTCCCTGGGGTCCCTAGATGTCCCACAAAAAATTTGGGCCCGATCGGTTCAGCCGTTTTGACGTTTATTGGATACAAACAGACAGACAGACAGACAGACAAGCCAAATTTATATATAGATTGATAAGAGAAGAGTGTTATTATGTAAACGGCAATTCTTATTCATTTTAAAAGAAAATTACCCCTCCGTTCTTATACCATTAAAAATTCAATTAAGCCAGTTCGTTCAAATAGTTTAAGTTGTGTAACATAATTTATTCGTTTTTACACAGATTACATTTCCCATGAACATGAATTCGAGCAGAAATTTTCCCGCACCCAATCTAATAATTTAGGTTAGGAGGAGGGAGCCAGGGGCTTCATCAACGATTATTTCGCTAACAATTTCAAAATTAGAATTTTTGCACAGTTTTGACTAATAATTGAATTTCGCAATAAATGTTTGGATTGAGTCTTTTCCACAAACTCTGATTTTCTAATTTCATTACTGTTGAAATACAAACTAGTAATTCTGTTTCCACCAAATTATCTCAGTTTGAAATATCTAAGGTTTACACCATTAGGTTGAAAAAGAAATTTCAGTTTGTGGCAAAGACTCTATTCCTGGGTTTTCTAAAAATGTACGAAATGTTCAAGAAAGTATTACAATAAGGACATAGAGGATCGTTTTAACTTTTGATTAGAGGAGAAATCAGTTTAAGGAATGGGTTGAAAGTGCAGGATTTAAAGGGAGTGACCCGCAATGTATGGTAGATAAACTGAGATTGCAGTATTTTAGAGATTTTTTATTAGGATTCATTTGATACATATCATACGTTTTTATGCTGCATATTTGTTCAGCAAAAGCGCAAATGCAATCTTTAAAATCCTCCTAGATTGTCCAATTTGAAGGGATGATTTGGTTTTATAAAAATTATTCAATGACAACCACGATAAATGTAACAAAAATTCGACAGTTGAAATAATTATACTGAAAGCGTTAAAGGTCGTCATTAATGCCTCATTTCTTAGCATCTACATTGTACATACCTTGTATGAATAAAATGTTATAAACATATTGCTGCTTTTTTCCCTGATTTAATTGAATTTTTAATAGTATAAGATGGGAGAGTAATTTTCTTCATAAATGAATCAGAATTGCCATTATACAATTTCTATTTAACAACACTCATCGCTGATAACATCAAATATGTCTAATTTGTAACCTCAAATATTGTAAATTAGAAAAATGAATAAAAAATATTGATATAGATATTTGTTTTTATATATTTATATATTTTTGGATTGACATAAATTCTTAGCTTTATATCCCGGCACAACCTTTTACCAGTTTTTGAACAACAACGATTACTTTTTTTAAAGTCCCGACAAAATTAAGATCTAGCATTTATCGTTAATTATATTTTAACAAACATTTCTTACAAAAAAGGTATATTTTTACAAATATCAAGAAGAATTCAATTCTCCTTGACAAATGTAATATATAATCCATCACAGGCATGTTAGTTTTTTCAAATCTGAATCTCCGAGAAAATTGCTGATTAGAGGTTGGCCCCTGGTTATAGTCTCGAGGTTCTGATAGATAGATAGTTAGATAGATAGGTGGAGGATTCGGATCAGTTTCACCATTCATACACAGACCTGACAAGCAACAGGTTCTGAAGCCAATCCTTCTGCCTTAAACCAACACTCATAAAAAGGTAAACACGAAAAAAAGCAGTAAGTTAAAAAGTTGTAAAAAATATATTTCACGCCGCTTTGTCCCGCAATTAATTAAGGCCAAGTTAAACTGGTTATAGTTTCTTTAATGCCGATAAAATTCTTTAATAGTTTAACTTACAATGTACAATCTTGAACTTCGTAGATTTTTCTTTTTTTATTGTTGCAGATTTCCAAAATAAAAACCTACCCTGATTATGTGACAGACAAGTTAATTTCATGGGTGTAAATATTGATTTTTACAAACTTTTTGTTTCTTAGTTTTACAGTGGTATCCAAAAACAGTGGACAATATAGTTGTTTTTGTATCATTTATCTGTTATTACTAAATCCTGATCACATCTTATATAATCTAAAGAAAGAATGCAGCTGAAAATCATTCTACTGTTTTCTGGATAACAATTTGTACTATTTATCTAATATTTGAGGTATTAAATATATTTTGATAATTAGTGAGGGATTAGGATAGGATTCTACTTAACGCTAAAACTATTTGATAATTACATAAAATATTTACAAATCCTAAATCTGAATTTTCTTTTCTAACAATATTTTCTGTCTCCCAGCATCCCCTCCTACACATTCTAATTTCCGGACCTGTTATACCTTTCTCTTTCCTTCCCCGGCCCTTTCAATCTTTTTCTTCCCTTCCCCGGCCCTTTCTATCTTTCTCTTCCCTTCCCCGGCCCTTTCTATCTTTCTCTTCCCTTCCCTGTCCCTTTCTATCTTTCTCTTCCCTTCCCCGGCCCTTTCTATCTTTCTCTTCCCTTCCCCGTCCCTTTATATCTTTCTCTTCCTTTCCCGGCCCTTTCTATCTTTCTCGTCCCTTCCCAGGCCCTTTCAATCTTTTTCTTCCCTTCCCCGGCCCTTTCAATCTTTCTCTTCCCTTCCCCGGCCCTTTCAATCTTTCTCTTCCCTCCCCTGTCCCTTTCTATCTTTTATGATAAAATCTGATATTACATTGTTTAGATCTGATTCAGCAAGGATGCTTCTGATACTTTTATTTTCTGGTTGTGTCTCATCATACCCCTTCAATTACCAGAACCAAGCTTCTTTCCAGGTAATACCCCCCCCCCCCCGATACAGTTCGTCGATGAGTATTCAAAATATAAATTTCATCAAAAAAAAAAAAAAATCATTATTTTAATTCGACGATGAACAATGGAAGCCATCAAACGTACTTTGCTATTATTGAGGATAAGTTCTGAAAAATAATAATGTCAATTTATTATTTTTAAAAGAATGCTTTCCTTGCCAAGTTAAGACAGAAAGATTTAAACACTGTTAGTTGCAACATTAGTAAATTAAATAATACTTTCAGAGATTGCAACATTTTCAAATTACATAATTCTAGCAAATTTTCTCAAGCAAACTGAGGAACAAAGATGAAACTCATTTTACAGTTCTCTGGATTTCACTGTAATAAAATCAAAACAGTTTGTTTTAACTCTATGGGGGAGCTGTTTTTATTCTATTAAAGAGCGATCCTCAGAAAACATTTTAGAAAAAAACCCTCAACGATCGAAGAAGAATGTCGTCCTCCATTTTCTGATTCTCACTGTGTCAAAAATAAAAACTAGAAATAGATGAAGAGGGAAAATTGTTGATTTATTCCAGACAAGTTTCAATTTAAATTTATTGCACAGAACACCAGTCCCTTGCTAAACTAAAACTTATTTACTTCAAAGCAAGTTTCAACTTTCAACAAGAAAATAAATACTTTTTTGTTATGTAAAAATTCGATTTATTTCTTCAACCGTTTCATTCTTTGTAATTTAATTTTGAAAGTGCATTTAAAGTTCTAAAATATGCTTTCATGAATGGAATTAGATTAAATTTCTAACATTTATTTTTGACCGGCCCGTTAGCTGTCAAGTTATTTGGTGTACTGACCGGCCCGTTAGCTGTCAATTTATTTGGTGTACTGACCGGCCCGTTAGTTGTCGATCTAGAGACTACAGTGCATACGTTATGAATGCTGTAGAACTTGCTTAAAACTGCTTAAAAGTCGGTGTTATACTTCAAATTAACCGTCGCGCGTAGTTTTCAGCACGACGGTGTAATTATTACAAAATGCATTTTTGAAGGATGATGGTGGATTCAATATACTGGAAAACCTTGGCCACGAATTCCCTCTAGAATACTATCAAGAGGCAGATCTACCAGTAAACCTCTACCATGATCTCCCGGAGTCCAGTCTCTACCACGACCTCTCTGAGTCCAACCTGTACAGAGATCTCCCAAGCCCAGCGGAGTCCAACATGCCACTAAATCCGTATTCGGAGTTAAACTGGAGGGATCTAGACACTCAGGTAAATCCAACAATCTGATCTTGCTAGGCTTCATTTGTTGCATTAACGTGTTGCCTGACTGGACGGTACGACTGAATGCAAATTTTAGACTGAGGGGCAAAGTCATCCTGCTTTAATTTATTTAATAACACAGTGCTTCCCATTTTTTTAGACAAATTTTCTCTTATTCATTGTAAATATTAACAGTCATGATTGATTGATTCTGCTTCTCTCCTCATGTTCACGTTTATTATGCAATCACCATTTTTTTTGCAATTTTTGAAAAGTTTGTCTCAAAATTCATTATTTGGACATGAAACCCTTTTTCCCAAAATGCTGGTTTATTTTTATATTTATCTGTTTAGGTTTTAGAAGAACAGCCAATTTACAGAGATGTCATGGAAGCTTTCCTTGCGGAAAAGAGCTTGGATGCTGGAGAGCTTCCTTGGTACACTGAAACAAGAGGTATTTTTTTTGTGGCAACTCAAGCGACCCCAGGAAAGGTTTATGGATAATTTTAAAAAAATTTGCCGTGTAACATTATTATTTTGGAAATGCACCAATGTAAACAGGAAAATTCGCAAAAATATGTGTCATGATCAATCTTCTCATGATTAAACATTAGTTACAGCAATAGAAATTTACATTACTAGCCTTAGAGGGCGCTTCGGGCCCATCTTCTAAATTAATTGTGAACATGTTCTCTTTGTGTACATCGTAAAACAAAACAAAATTATTTGGGGGTTTTTCGCAAAATATTTCTTGGATTTTCAAAATTTTAAAAAATTTAATGAAGATCGAATTTTGATGGAGACAAATATTTGAAACTTAGATCATTCATAAACCTATCCGTTTTGACGTTTATTGGATACAAACAAACAAACAGACAAACAAACAGACAAGCCAAATTTATATTTAGAAGAAATTTTTAGTACTTTCTATAAATTCAATTAAAGTGAATAGGTCTAGGACAGATTGATGATTTAATCTTTATTTTCTTTTCTTTGATTGAAAAACACTCTTTTGTTTATTTTCCAGCACTTAGTTTTTATTGTATTTTTGTAACATTAAATAAATATTTTTTTCTTTCCATGGTTTTCTTAGTTTTTACTTTTTATTTTCTGAGAAAATTTTGTTTAAAATGTATTTTTTTAGACACAGAAGATTTGGAGGAAGAAAACTTTTGGCCTGTTGATCAAAACAGTAACAAGGTAAGATAAATATCATAAAACATAATTTAAAAATAGAGAATATGGAGAAATACATTGGGCAAATAAAACTGTGTAATAGAAAAACAAATGTTGAATGAATGTAAAAATTGATTTCTCATGCAAATGGTAAAACTATTATTATTTTAAATAACAAAAAATGCACATAAGATTGCTGAAATGTCGTCTTTTCCACAGTTTTATGGGTTTCACTGTAGAAGTATCAGATACATAACGAGAAATATAAGTACCAAAAAATAAAAATACTTTTTTTTAATGTTTTGCATTTTTTAGAACGATGAACCCACAAATGATGATCTCAAGGTTGAATCTGAACTAAAAAGAATGATTGATACCAAGCGAAGCGACGAACAGTTTGAATCGTATCTCCTAAAAAAGGTAAATTAATACTTTTTTATTATTTTTAGATTATTAGTTTCTTTATGAATGAACCAATATATATATTTTCCGTACTCAGACTCACATAAAACATTTTTCTCAATAAATAATGACGTTTTTCCTCCCACACTTCTCAAGAGTATATAAAGGAGGGGGGGGGGGGTTGCGGGATGAGCCCCCCCCCCATTGATAAGTGAATTATATAGTTTCGTGGGAGGGGGAAGAGGGGGGTGTTTACCCCACCTCTGAAAAGTTTTAAAGTTTAAGACCCCCTCCCCCTGATAGTTAAAAAATGGGTTTCCTATTGGAGAAAAGTTAACTCGCCCCCCTGAATAAAATCCTGTATACGCCCCTGATCTAGAATATAAGTGGTAGTGGGAGGAGGGTAACCATATTATCTAATCAAACCTCTATATATTCAGAATCCTGTAATCTCAACAAGAAAAAATACAAAATCTCCCAACGCCAACAAACGGAAAGAAACCGCCTCAGAGAACAAGGAATCCGTGTTTCCTCCGGAGAAACGAGGAATGCCGGAGGAGCCGATTTTCCGACCTGGGGCTGCCTCCGATCCCGTGGTCAAGCCAAGATCCTCTCCAATTTCCTCCGACATGAAAAGCAGATCAAAGCGATCCCTCCTAAAGCCAGTTCCCTTCTTCCCAAATCAAGATTGATTTCATAAAGTAGAAGAAAACTATTTCTCAAGATTGTTAAAATAGATCTTCCCCCATTGCCGCTCTCCTGGATACCGTAACTCAGTTATTTTTTTACTTATATTGGCGTTGATTTTATCTTAAAATATCTCAAAATATCTATAAATATCTATAAAGTTGAAGCATCCACGGTGTGTGTTGGTAATAGTTTGATTTAAAATCCATGGTTGGTAAATTTACTAGTGATACGTATTTATTTATAACCAATAGAAGCATTGAATCAAGCCCAAAAACCGATAACTCGCATCATTCTCTAAAAATGTAATCCTTTTATGACCTATGGATAAAAACAACCAAGATAAGAATCATCAAGGTTTTACACCCATCAGGTTACGAAGATATAAGAATAACATAATTAGAGTTTGAAGCGAGATAATCAACTCTTTTTGGCGCAAACAATCTTGCCTGAAAACTGGTTCTGACTGTGTCGAGCTATTGTATTTTCCACTCAAAGATTCATCATGTTACAAATAATCACAGTAATATGATTATATTTATGTCGACCATTTTGTAATTTATGCTAATAAAACAACTTATAAAGTAACCTCACTTTTTAACCTTTTCTGCTCCCACGAAATATATATACTGTTGCAACTTTAATCAGTAAACACATGTAGGAGATTGCAATTATTATGATGATAATTGAAAATAGGATATTATTATAGATAATTCAATGGCAATGCTAGGACAGATTAGGGCGGGATAGGACAGGCTCAAGTAAGGAAAAAAAGAATAAATAGGACGTGTTAGGGAAAAGAGAAGGAAATCTGGAACAGGACAGGGCATTCTAAAAAAGAAGTAATTAGACCAGTTTATGACAGGCTAATTAGAACATGGGCAGAAAAGGAGAGAACATCGATAATTAGGGAAGGTTAGGATAAGGTAAATTCAGATAATAAATATCAATGGACAGAATAGAAAAGGAAAGGCAGGGCGGGAAAAAGGACATTCTATTATTAAGGAATTTGAACGGGCTAGGACAGTACAGGGGAGAGAGAACAGGACAGGATAAGATAGGGTTTGTTTAGGAAAGTTCAGATTAATGACGTGTATAAGACAAGAAAAGTATGAAAGGACAATCCGTGATAAGACAGATTATGGTGGGTTTGTCTGAGTATGATGGTATATATATAGAAAATGCAGCAGAATCTACATTTAGTACTGCCTAGGTTTCGTATCTAAAAACGATCGATAAAACTTTATTTTTCGTTTTTTTAACGATCGTTTCATTCTTAGAATAAAACAATCGTTTTTGAAAACGAACTACTCGTTTAGAACTTAAAAAAAACACTCAGTTTAAACTTTTAAAAAACGAAAAACTTTCGTTTTTTACACGCTAGTTTTTGAAAACGGTCGTTTCTGAAAAACTTTTGCTAATGAGTCTAAGTTTTATGAAAAGTAAACTTTTTCAGGAAGATAAGTTTATGAATGTTGTCCTAAATATTTTTTTATCGAGAGAAATAACTTGAATTTTTTCTTACCTAAGGATTTTCTGATCTAAGGGTTTTTCGACCGAAAAATGTATTTTGTCTTAAACAGGTTGTTAACAAAGGGTCGTCGTTAACTGCCTAAACGATCGTTAACGATCTTCAAAAATTAAAAACGACCTTTCTTGGTTAACAAAACAACTAAAACTAAAAAACGACTTATTCCTTTTTAAATAAAAAAACGATCTTCTCCGTCGTTTTTAAAAGAAACGATTGTATTTCAAAAAAGTTAAAAACAACCCATTCCTACCTATACCCATCATCTTTAGGGCTCACTTTACTTTGCAATTGGCTATATGTTTTAGTATTTATCATCTATATAATAAGACAAGACATTCGTATAAACGGTTTGACCTATTGGGCTCAATTTTTTTGTGGACACTCAGGGGTGGTCGGGGGGTGTTACAGGCAAAAAAATTGGAAATTTTTTTTCCAATTTTTTTATTTTGTTTTGTCAAATTTTTTTAAAAATATTTTTTTTCATATTTTTTTTCAAATTTTTTTTTCTCACGGGCAATGCTTGGCTCTTCAGCTAGTTTAAAATAAAATATGCAATAATATCTTTTTTTTAGTTTAGTATTCCAATCTCTTAGCATTATCCCATTACATGACTCTTTTATGTCGCGTATAGTGGGAGAAAATGGTGGGAGGAAAAAGAGAAGTAAATATATCTAAATGTATAAACAAGTGAATAATAAATGTTTGACCTCTCAGTCCTAATTCATTTTTTTATTTGACCAGTTTTCTACTTGCCCAAGCCATGTCTAGCTATAGAATAATGTAGACCTGAACATAATTTTCAGAAATATTCTAGAAAAGAGAATAAATCCCACAATACAGTTTACAGACCCGTCATTCTTTAATAAATAATAACCCATGAGCTTCGTAGCATCGAAAGAATTATTAAAATGTCGTCTTGACAATTTTTCAATGCCTAAATCTCAGTATTTTTGTAAAAATAGATAAAAAGCCATGAAATATGCGGGAACAGAGCTTTTTATAAATGAATATTTTATAATTTTTTGGGACATTTCCGAACATTTTGACTTTTTAACTGGATTTTGCAAAAAAAAATTTTATTTTTGAAAATTTGCCATTATTTTTGCAGATTCCTAAAGTATAGAGCAAATAAGAGCTTTCCAATGATGTATCATTTGTCATATTTGGATATCAAACATGGGATTTAGAGGGAGGGGGGGTCAAATAAAGCCCCCCCCCCCCTAGAATAACCTTGTTTTAAAGTACCCCAGCATGGATGATAAGGTTTAAGAGCTCCACATAATTATTCAAATAACAAACCGAATATCAAAGTATTCCATTATCAGCAGTTTAAGAAAGCGACATTAATTATTTCTTCTGTTGATTTCTCCAATGTTCTGGGTTAAAGTGAAACTTAATTAGTTATGAAATTAAGCAATATTTTCCAATAATGTTTAAAGAGATGTGAATATTTGAAAGTTCAGATTTGCAAAAATTGCGAATTTCTTTGACGCCGAGCATTTATAAAACTCTTCCCAATTCTTGATTTATTAAGGATTCTCGCACATTTTCGCTGATATGTACACTGTACAGGGTGTCCCACGAAACATGACAGTTTGTAAATAGTTTAGAATGTCTTCTTCCATAATATGTTAAGTTGTTTTATACCAAAGACAACAGTAAAAATATTATGTAGGATTCATATTATAGTAAAATTAACTTCAAAGTAAAATATATTTGAGCAAAAGATTTTTGAACGAAATTAATATCTAATGCAGTATATGGAAGAAGACATTCAAAACTATTTACCAACTGTCATGTCTCATGGGACACCCTGTATTTTGTAATTGTACAGTAAGAAGAAAACAATTTGGAATTAACTTTTCTTTCTGGAAAGTAAAGTTATTGCAATTAACTTATCCCTTAAAAATAATTCGGTGGAAAATTCCAGAATCCTACAGTCAAGTTCAAATTTATAGAGACATCAGAAGAATTTATAAAATGTCGTATTCTTAACTTACTGATATTGCAATGCTGGTTAAACGCTCAAAAATAATTTCAATCTCGATATATAATGTGGGTATAATTAAAAATCTGGAAACTTCGATGCCTCTCTTAATCCTTTCAGTTGTAAATCACTCCTGACAGTATAAACCTGCGTTCATAATTCTTACGAAGTGGAAAATGATTTTTTTAAAAAATTAAACTGTACAAAGAACCTTTCTTTCCCCTTTGAAAATATTTCTACATCCTCCATCTTCAATCTCTTCTCTCTTTAACCTGTACAGGCATATTTAGAACCGCAATATTTTGTATATAGTTAAACGAGAAACCACCTTGACCTGAACGCCTGATGATCTGGGAGACCCNGATATTAGAAACGAACAATAAATGTTCGCACTTCTTAATCGTTACGTCTGATCATCTTGCTAATTAAGCCGCAACATGATTAAATATTATCTATATTCCCATTCCTAGAATCGGCCTACGCCGATGCACTATCGATGGCTACTCTTATTTTTATTATGTTAAAAAAAACGGGAAACTCGATCCCGTGTATGTTCATTTTTAAGCATGCACACTCTTAAATGTAGCATTTTTTTAATAAGATATAACACGCACCGTGTTTGTAATATCTACAGTAATACTCCTGATAAGTATGCTATCTTTCAATAAGTAATTTAGTTTTTTCCTCACGAACTGCTTTATTATAAATATTTGAATATAAACTTACAAATAATTCAGAAATGGAAAAAATACGTAAAAAATGTATCTTTTAAAATCTATTCCGACTTTATTGATTTATTTAACTATATTCGTATGCACATGATAACTCGTTAATAAACTTTTGTGATAAATTCATATTTTCAACAATCCTGTAAACTATAAATGATACGTAAATAAATATCTAGATTTCAAAAAAGATATTGCAATGCTGCATATATTTAGTTTTTTAATTAAATTTTAATTAATGGAGCTCTTTGAAACTGTAAATGGCTATTTACTTATTTCAGCAATTACTGACTGAGATTAACGTACAATAGTAAAAAACCAATTAATAAAAATTGTCAAGACGACATTTCATAAATTCTTTCGATGGCTCAAAATCTTTGAGGTAAACTGTATGTGTTCTGGTTCTCGAAATGCATCTATATTGCTATGTTTAACCTTCTAAAGAAAAAGATTATCTTTTATATTAAATTGCTATATTCTAATCTGTGAACAACGTGAGCATTGTGTGAAAACTAAAGAAAGGTTTCTGAATTATTCAAATCAAAATCTAACCTTTCTCAGATAAAATAGATTGTATGAAATTTTATTAATTTATTGACATATAATTCAAATGCTTTGCAGTTTATAATCCTACATTTATATAGTAGCATGTTGGATCCACAACGGCACCCTGTACATCCCTATCCTTATTGCAACTTCCAAAATATAAAATTAATATTTGCATTGTTAAATCTTAATCTGAAATTACGTGAGTTCTTCCGTGAAACTTTGATCAACGAAATAGAATAAAAATAGAAAATATAATTGAATTCACTGTCATTTCTCGTTGTCTACATTTTATATGAATTATTTTTTGTGACGTATACTGGTCAGAAAATACAGAAAATACAGACAATACAGACAATACAGACAATACAGACAATACAGACAATACAGACAATACAGACAATACAGACAATACAGACAATATAGACAATACAGACAATACAGAAAATACAGACAATACAGACAATACAGAAAATACAGACAATGCAGACAATACAGACAATACAGACAATACAGACAATACAGACAATACAGACAATACAGAAAATACAGACGATACAGACAATACAGACAATACTGACAATACAGACAATACATAAAATACAGAAAATACAGACAATACAGAAAATACAGACAAAATAGACAATACAGACAATACAGACAATACATACAATACAGACAATACAGACAATACAGACAATACAGATAAAATACAGAAAATACAGACAATACAGAAAATACAGACAAAATAGACAATACAGACAATACAGACAATACAGACAATACAGACAATACAGACAATACAGACAATACAGACAATACAGAAAATACAGAAAATTCAGACAATACAGACAATACAGACAATACAGACAATACAGACAATACAGACAATACAGAAAATACAGAAAATGCAGAAAATATAGAAAATACAGACAATACAGAAAGTACAGACAATACAGACAATACAGAAAATACTCTTATTTAGAATCCTTTTAGAAGTGAAGAAATTTCCCAGTGTTTTAAGAAACCTAAAAAATGTCTAATAATCACAAAAATACAGTAAGAATAAAATTGTGGAATATAAAGACGAATTTACAATAATAAGTGTTTTTGATGTAATTCAAAATGACTTTTTAAAATCATAACTTGAGTCTAACAGTGGTCTTCCTTAGTTTTTTGTTCTCACTGTAGGTTAGATATTCGTAGAGTTTCTAGAGTATTCGATAGAATTATATCTTAAATTTTAAATATTTAATTTCTAAGAATAATCTGTTTAATGAGAATGCAAACTACTGAGAAATGTAAATTGGGAAATTAATATTCAAAGTACTTTCACAAGGACTCTTTAAGACTGGCATGTCCGACTCACAACGGTAAACCTAAAAGCTGTTTCTGATCAAGAGTGCATGACAGAGATATCAATGTTTTTGTTTCTAAAAATTGTTTATTTTTTGAGGTTTGTAGAACTAAAGTGACTTGTGCATTTTTTTACGGAGCAACAAATGGAGAAGTTATCAGAATCAAACAGAATTATAGAAACTAGAAAAACACGTTATCTTCCACATTAATAATCATATTAAAGGTTTTATTGATACCGTTGTGAATCGGACATATCCTTTTTTTAAATGGAGGGTCACTTAAAGTGTTAATGACATTCCCTTTTAAAAATATTGCTTTGCACATTTTTTTATTAAATAAACTTAACACTTGCCTTAACCTTTTATATTCTAATTTCTTTATCTTTTCAACATCATATCTAAGAGTCAAATTTTCAAATGTTTACATCATATGGGTGCATATATAAATATCCATATAATAAAACAAGACGTTCGTATTTATGTTCCCTATAGCCGGCCAAACGACATGACCGAATAGGCTTAAATTTGCTCAGCTAGTGTATAATAAAATCAAAGTTTGAAGTATGTAATTGGCTTCTTTAAAAAAAAACACAATTTTTGTTGATTGGTTTATTTGAATTAAGACTAAACTAAAAAAAGTATGTTTCTTTTATTTACTGGAAATTTTGACTATATATCGTTTTTCTGGAAATAAATTTTTTTTTAGTTTTTCTTGAATTTTAAAGGAAACAATTATTGATTAAAAAAGATGACCGATGATATTTGTTCTAAATAATAACAAATACCAATGAATTGCGATAAGTTTAGTTAAAGTATCACGCTGCAAGCTAAACAGAAGGAGAGAAGGTCAAAATTTTGTATTATTACTTAACATTTCTAATTTTAATACGAAAATTCTTAACTTTTTATGTTATTCATAACAGAGATAAACATTTTTAAAACCCTTGAAAAATGAAATATTTGCAAAAAAAACTGAAATAGTATTTTTAACATATTTCAGACCTCCCTATCATCGAAATCATTAAAGTTAGCGTTCAAATCTTTTTGTTAGTTAGCTGGCGCCCATTGAAAGATCAAAAGTTAGAGCGCAAACGCCCCCCCCCCCCACCGTCCCTCCTCTTTTTAGGGGTAACAAATCAAAATTAAACTTTAAAAATGTTCTCTAAAAGAAATGTATTCATCAAATTGTTGATGTTTGTTAGAATATTTTCCATTCATAAATTGATTAAAATCTTGTTAAATCGTATTTCTAAGAATATTCAATTACAAGACCAAATCTCATATTTATAATCTTTTAAGTATTCACAAAGTGGAAAATTATTATTTTAACAATCTCTTCTCAAAATGAAAAATTACTGAATTATCAAAATTAATTAGGGTTTCAAATTTGTTCCCAATCTATTTGAATCCGGAAACGTTTTTTTCCACAAAGGGACTGTTCGGGTAATTTTCAGTGGCCCTCCTTGAACAAACGGCAATCCCCGATTCACAACGGTACCCTTGAAACCTTAATCTAATCAAAAGTGTGGAAGATAACGTCGGTTTTTTGACTTGAAAAGTGTCATTTCTGTATTGCCTAATTGCGGAAGTCATTTTCGTAGAGAACCTGCAAATGAAAATAAACAGTTTAAAGAAACAGAAACATGGATATCTGATTCATACTTGACCAGGCGAAGCTTTTAAGGGTACCTTTGTAAATCGGCATCCTCATTACGCTGACAGTCCCAGTAAGAATTAGAAACTGTTAAATACTTTTGTGATTAATGGCGGAAACTTTCTTTAAATAAATACAAAAAAGTTTAAAATCAAATCATATATTTTACAGCAGTAATGATTAAACATATATAAGTATACTACCCAGGGTGTAAGGAATAGATGGGAGATACAACTGACGCGGTTCGCCCTACCATATGATTATATACATGATATTCCTTACTCCCTGGTACTACCGTAGCAGTCTAGCAGGAGAGTTTAGATAGCTTTAGTCTGGGTGTTAATTATTTTCCCAAGGGCGACTTCCCAAGTGGCAATATCCCAACTGGCACCTTTCCAAGTGTGCACTTTCTCATGCGGCAACTTAAATGTTCATGTAAGGTTAGGTTAGGCCTTCTGAAGCGCCGTAGGCTATAACCGGGGCCGAGCGCTGCGGCTAGGTTGGGGTAGGGGGCGGATCACTGTGGGTAGGACAGACTAGGGAAGTTTCCACTTGTTAAACTGCATATTTGGGAATTTGGAAGTACCCAACTTGGAAAACACCTCTTGAGAAGTTGCCACTTGGGAAAATACCTTTGGGAAAGTACCTATCAAGCTGATATCACAAAGCTCCTTGTAATATTTTTAAACCCATTTTTGAAAATTCTACGAAACAACGTGGAATTTATCATAGAAAAGTCGTTTCATATTTTGTTTTATAAATATTTTCAGAAAAGGTTCTCGTACGACATATCCTTAACGGTATTGAAGTCATGGATCGGAAACCGTAGAGCTAAGTTCTGTTAAATCACCGATATGTAAAATATTTCGACTTGACAGGATTAGAAGAAAAGGACCAGGATTAGAGGAAAATGGCCAGGATTCGAGGGAAAAGGGTCAGGATAAGAGGAAAAGGACCAGGATTACAGGAAAAGAGCCAGGATTAGAAGAAAATGGCCAGGATTCAAGGGAAAGGGCCAGGATTAGAGGAAAAGGAAAATGGCCAGGATTAGAGGGAAAAGGGCCAGGATTCGAGGGAAAAGGGTCAGGATTAGAGGAAAAGGACAAGGATGAGAGGAAAAAATCCAGGACTAGAAGAAAAAGGCCAGGATTAGAGGGAAAAGGCCAGGATAACGGTAAATGGTCAGGATTAGAGGAAAAGGATCAGGATAATGGTAAATGGCCAGGATTAGAGGAAATAGACCAGGATAATGGTAAATGGCCAGGATTAGAGGAATTAGACCAGGATAACGGTAAATGGCCAGAAATAGAGGAAAAGGACCAGGATAATGGTAATTGGCCAGGATTAGAGGAAAAGGACCAGGATAATGGTAATTGGCCAGAATTAGAGGAAAAGGACCAGGATAATGGTAAATGGCTAGGATTAGAGGAAATAGACCAGGATAATGGTAATTTGCCAGGATTAGAGGAAAAGGACCAGGATAATGGTAATTGGCCAGGATTAGAGGAAATAGACCAGGATAATGGTAATTGGCCAGGATTAGAGGAAATAGACCAGGATAATGGTAATTGGCCAGAATTAGAGGAAAAGGACCAGGATAATGGTAATTGGCCAGAAATAGAGGAAAAGGACCAGGATAACGGTAATTGGCCAGAATTAAAGAACAATGTCCCGCAAATTTAAGCAATAGTTAAAAGAAAGAAAACAAAAATGAAGACAAGCAAAGCCGCAAACTTAATTTAAAACAAACTAAATTTTCGCAGAATTAATTTTAGACTTCGCATTTTCTTTTAGTGCCTAGTGTAATAGAATTACAAACTAGGAATTTAATTTTAAAATTAGAAATAGGAAAAACAGGAAAAACCTTTAAACTTGTCAGTTTTAGATACTTTATTCGACCGCGTATCATTTCACGTCAATTAAAGGGACAGTAGGCATTATTTTAGATAACCTTCCATTTACTGAGTGAAATGTTCAATTTACACTGGTAGCTTTAAAACTGGTATTATATCAAAAATAAGGAATATCCCATTGTTTCTTTTTCTCTCCCTGTAAAAGTGTTTTTACAAGGAACCGCAATATAAATAATGAATTTTTAGATCTAAGTTTTTAATTAACTAAAATCGAACCGAATTATTTTTCAGGGGTTTGGGAGCGTTGGATCATCTTTTATGATAACATTTTTATGAAATTACCAAAGCCCCCAAAAAATTATAGGTCCTAAATGCTAAGGCAAATTTAAATTTAATTTCAGAGGGTTGTAACTTCAGCTAGAAAATGAAGCCAAAAGTGAAATCACTTTTATTCAGATAAACATGGAAATACATGATGTAAAACGATATCAATTAAAACCCTTTATCTTATCAAAAATGTGGAAATTAATGTCGTTTTTTTAAACTCTAAAAGTGAATTTAATTCAGATAATTCCAATATTGATTCTTATAAGCGAAAAATGTGCAAACCACTTTTGAAGAAAAACCGCGGGATAAAATAACCAGTTTAAAGAAACAAAAACACGGATATCTAATTTATAATTGATCAGACAAAGCTTTTAATTAAGGCTACCCTTGTAAATCGGGCATCGTCATATTTGAAATTTCGCTTTGAGTTCCTTTGATTTTAATAATTTATTTTTATTATAGATTTTAAACTACATTTATGTTATAATCTTAAATGTTCATAAAATACATTTCAGTGCATAGATGTATAAATGTTACATGTGGTGTACAGTTTACAATGAGAACTAGGTAGATGTGGATTAAATGTCGTTTTCATTAATTATACTTTATAAAAACATCTCCAAAATGCAAAAGGCAGTTTTGAGAAATAATTTAGTTGAAAATTACAAAACCCTTGAAAGTATTTTAAATAAATGTAAATGAGAAATAGACATAAATTCTACTATTTTCTGGTTCTCACTGTATATGTAAAGTACACTTAATCATAATTTCTGTGAGATTCAAACCAACAGCAGCCCTCAAATAATTAGCATTGTTTTAATATATTTGCAAAAGAAATAAAGTTTTGGCACTACATTGATTGTGAGAAAAACAAATCTGTTCGCAAAATCGCACTCACTATCAGCATTTCAAAGTTACAAATTTTTTTTTTTTTTTTTAATTACCAGTAATTTGATCAACATTAGGAACATTTTGTGCGAATAAAATTTATTTTCTTCAAAATTATGAACATTTTGTTTAAAATTAAGATTTTTTTTTCAAAATTACGAACATTTTGGTTCAAAATTACAAACATTTTATTCAAAATTATGACCATTTTGTTCAAAATTACGACCAATTTGTTCAAAATTAAGAACATTTTGTTCAAAATAACGAACATTTTGTTCAAAATCACAAATTTTTGTTCAAAATAACGAACATTTTGTTAAAAAATTCGAACAATATGTTCAAAATAATGAGCATTTGTTAAAAGTTACAAATTTTTGGTCAAAATTACGAACGTTTGTCCAGAATTAAGACCATTTTGATCAAAATTACTTAACATCACAGAACAAATGTTTGCAAATTCAAAATGTTGTCAAATATTAAATAATCTCAACTATCTTCGTCACAAAAATTAGATAAAAAAATTCTCAATATTTTTAATTTTAACAATTAGTAAAATTTTGTATATTGCGTCCAAAAAATATTGAATACTGCATTAATAGTTAGCAATATAATGTACATTCACGCAATAAAAATAGGCTAATAGTTAAAAAATGTTTTCTTTTTTACATTAATTAAGAGTTAAACTATTTTTATACAAATTATATTTTAAAGATGTGTTATGCTGCAAAATAAAAGCAAATCTGAAAAAAATGAATTCATGTGATTTTATTTTAGCTTATTTAATAACAAAATGTAGAATAAAAATAGTATATTTTTAGTAATTTGCTTTTAAACTGTTTAAGCACGAAGATTTTTCCATTTTCAAATACGTGATTGTGCAACAATTTGACAAAATGGACGGTTATAGTTAGGATCAGGTAAATTCTATAAAAATATATTTTAAATAAAATGAATTTTTTGACTTTATCTCCACTTTTTTTAATCTTCAACACCCCCCCCCCCCCTCGGCCAAAAACTCTTGTTTTATGCGGAATAGCGCATCGTTAATTATACTTACTTGTGCAAAATCAATTTTCGCGAAAAATGCAGAATTCTGCGTTGAATTGGGCATTTTTGAAAGAAAATTGGCTTCCCCTAGGAGCCCTGTGCTTGTTTCTAGCTGAGAATTTAACCCTGGTTTTCCTTTCTGTTAAATTGAAGAGATAAATTTTGAAATATGTAAATGGAGAAAAAAAGCATGTTCAAGTTGAGCTGTTTAATAAATATATATATATATAGCATTCTATTTTCTTAAAATAAGATATCTCTGGCGTTATTATAGAAAGGTTTTGCAAATTTCTTTTAAAAAAACTATGGTAAAATTTAAAAATGCTTTTGCCACGAGTGTGGAGAAAATAACGTTTTAAATAGTTTCAAATTGCACTGATATAGTCTATATGAATACGGAAAAGCGCAGACAAAATCCATCCGGTCTGTGCGTAAAATGAACTATCGTTTACCATAGATTGAATTAAAATCATTCAATCAAAATATCCGAATTTAGAATTAAAATGATGGAACAACCAGCTTTATATCTTCACTGCTGTTGTTCTCGGTTGGAAATTGGTTTGTAAACTCATTTACCATAGAGTCAAGCCGCTGCAGGTCTCCAGCCTAAAATATTTAATTGATATTGCACCTGTTGAATCTTAATTCTGAAACAGTTAAATTAATTGTTCTAAACTACCGTTCTTTTATCATAACAAACTATGAATATTAAAAAAGAATATTAAAAAGTGGAAAAAATTAGAAAATTGATTGAGACCAAATCATCAAAAATCAAAAAGTGTTGATTCATTTTATTATAAAAAAATAATCAGTTTACCTGAGAAATAAAGTTTTCAATGTCTGAAAGATCAGAATCAAAAATGAGTGGGGATGGAACACCGTTTTCTTGCTTTCGTTCCGAGGGTTCCTGGCTTTCGGAGGATTCAGAGGGTTCTAGGTTTGAATTGGAGGCATGAGCTGGGACTGGAGGCGGTAAATCAAGATCATTGGATTTTTCCTCATCCTCCAATTTTGACTGAGTTCTTTGGAAAAGTCGCTGAAAAAGGGATTGATTAAGTTTTTCTGATTCTGACTCTGGACTTTTTAATCTTTTTTCTTCTTCCTCTTTCTTCTTTTTCTGTTTTCGTTCTTCCTCTTCAATGCGTTTTCTTTCCCGTTCCTCATTTCTTTTTAGCTCTTTTTCCTCTTTTTCCCTCCGTTTTTGTTCATCAAGAATTTCTTTTTCTTTTCTTTTTTGTTCTTCAATTTGCCTTTTTCTTTCTTGTTCCTTTTCCCTTTCCTTCAGCAGTTCATTCTTCTTTTCACTAAGAATGGTTATAATTGATGGAGGTTTGGGGGCAGTTGGAAGTGGTTTATCTATACTTTGAACTCCTCTATCCACACTCAAGCCTCTCTTCCGAACTGGGGGTACAGGCGGGCCATTGACATCCATCATTGGTAGATCATCATACTTGACGTCGACATCATCGTAAACACATTGCATAACATCATCATAGATCTGGTTCATATCAATATCCTCTACTATGTTACTAGAGCTAGGCTCTTCAATAGGCTGTACTGACTGTGCCTTGTTTTCCCTGACTGTTGCAACAGAACTCATGGAGCCCATATAGTCAACAGATATTTTTCTCAGAGCTGGTGCTACCTTCACGGGAGATGGTTCCTCCAGCTTGATAAGTCCCTGCTCCTGGAAATAAAAGTCAATACTCATATTGTCCAAGTTTATATTATCTCCAGATGCAATAGATCCTTCGGCAAGGCTTAGAATTTCATTTACAGACTGCCTGGTCACTATGGAAGCATTGTCACATTGAGTAAAGTCTGATAAAAGCGACAAATCTGACATTGGCCTTGGTTGTCGACTTGGTATACTTGGTATCTGCGGCTGGTGTAATAAATGAGACTTTAATGGAGAACGGACCGGCACTTCTGGGGCGGAATCTCTATTTGATGTTGTTGTTGGAGATACTAATGAGGAGGATGGTGAATTTAAAGAAGAAGATACTGACATCAAACCTGGCTGGGACAACCGGTGGCTTCCAGATCCTGGCATTGCCACAGGATTCAGATGCTGCCTGTAACCTGCTGTAATTGGTTCAACTTTGATATCATCAGCGTCAAATGGTCTAGGACTAGTTTCTGAAATCCCAGGGTATTGAAGGTTTAGCCCCAAATGTGCTAATCCAGGACTAACAGGAAACTCTACTCTTTGAGTAGGAGACTTATGCCTCAGCTCTTCTGCTTGAATTGCCTGGTCAACGTTAAGTATTTGGTTAAAAACAGTATAGTTGGTTTTCAATCTTTTAGCAGACCAATATGATCGACCAGCGTCAAGAGGAAGAAATTCAAAAGATCTGGGCTCAGACACAGCCCCATCGGAAGGTCTTCGAAGCTGCAGCAATACTTTAACTGGTGTCTCAATCTAAATATAGGGTTAGAATTAATGTTTCATCTAAACAAGCCATATTCATATGACACATGGTAGAGAAAACTTGAATAATATATTTAACTTCAAATGCACATTCACATCAAACAAACTTCATTAGAAGTTCAGCATTGTCATATTCTCTTTTTAAACATTAAGTTCTTATTAACACTTAAAAAGATAATTTTAACAAATCTAAAAATTCTGTTAAGGCGCAGTTTTTTATTAATAGTTGATCATTAAAAGTGTTTTTCTAAAGAAGTTTTTTACAGGTAATAGAAGATCTATGTTAGATTCTCAGGAACAGAATTATGGCTGAAAAGTTGTTAAATGTTTTAATATGCACATTTAGAAAACAACTTTATAAAAATACTTTTAAGTATCAACTAACAGGAATAAGCTGCCTTAAATAAAATAAATCCTTTTCTTTTTATTGTATATTCCGAGATATATTTAATATGAACATGATTTTGTGTATCTCATATAACTAATATTCCTCTTATTAAAGCATATTAAGTAAGTAGATCATGATTTATTTATTAATATCTTAATGTATAGTTCTTCTGGGGGGAATTCAACCTTAATGGCCAGCAGATTCACTCCTCTGTTCCATCACCAAGCTCATGTATGTCACCAAGGCTAACGCATCCTTCCGCTTCGTCTCCTCCTATGTTCCTTGAAGGCTTCTATGATTACCACGCGGAGCTCCTGCCAAATCACTTCTATCCTACTCTTGATCTTTTTCCAGTTCTAGATCACCTCTCTTATACATCCTCCATCCACCCTTAATCCTAGATTGTTCCAGACCTCTGTAAACTCGTCCATCTCTTCCACATGATCTGGAGTCTCATCATGATCTACTCCTTGACCGCCCTTCTCTGTCCTGAAGTCCTTCATCTCCAGACTCCTCAGATATCTCATAAGCAGTCAAAGCAGGGTGATTATTACCATGTTTATCACGGTCATCATCCAAGTCTAGAGCAGTTATGATCTCTACAGGATCTATACAATTATAAGGATTATAAGGAGCCTTAATTATCTCTGTGGTATCTTTAGAGATCAACGGCTGATCATCTACGTCACTTACATCACTAGCCATACAATTATCTGGCAAGGATTCATTTATATCATCAATACAGTTATGATAACGCGCCATTGTTTTATAGTTGTTTGATATCAATTATGGTTGTTTAGTTACACTGGCCCCAAAGCTTCTAGAGATTTTTCTTCTATCCAGGTTGTGTGCGTACTACCCGTTCATTTAATCTCTTAAAGGGAATAAATAGATATATGTATATCTATATATAAGGGACTGTTAAAGTATAGATATACTCCTTCCTGCATTATATCATTATTTACCTCAATATTATGATATTTAGGAGTTTTGAAGCATATCCCATATTGTTTGTGAACATCCGCAGGCTGAAAATCTCCAAAACCCTCCCAGGTAAAAGAATCATTGCTGCTCTCCTCATAGAACCTTACTTGTATATCATCCTTAGTAACCTAGATACACATATAGATAAGAAAAAGAGAGTTTTGAATAGGACTGGTCAAGTGGGCACGTTCAGACTTTTTTTTAATCTTTAGTTGTTAAAAAAATATATTTTTCAGGTAATTTTTATTTACTAAGTTACCATTCATTAATGATCTCAAATCTAGTAGCGGCATTTGCGCGCGTGAAAATTTGAAGACAAAATTCAAAAATATCAAACTACATAAAGTTTATTTTTTGTTTCAAAATTAACGAAAGTCGCTGTTATTTCAAAATTAACGGTTTTTACAGCTTGTTAACGGAACTTTTTTATTTCAATCTCATTTGCACCTATCATCTACATTTATTTAATTTGTCTTAATGTAGAAAAGAACTTTCCACTGGCTGAATGAATTTTTTATGTGTTTAGTCTGTCCGGGTTGATAAAATTAAACGAAAACTTTTTTATTTTAATATTTTATTTGGTTCTGAATAAAACAACATTATTCGTTTTAAAAAAATATTTTATAACTATATCGGAGTGGTTTTTTACAAAATACTTTTGTTCAGTTGCAGACTTTTGCTGAGCTTAGGTTGGGTCGGAAGGGTGGAGGGCTCTAAGAGAAATGACTTATCAAAATAAAATTAAACCTTATCACAGAAGAGCAAGATTTCCTTCCCTCCTGCTACTGATGCTGAGGTCTCTGTTAACCGACAAATCGTCAGATCACACTTAGACTCTAAACACAGCAGTGTCAGGTTTACAGGGACTGTTGGTGTAATTTCAAGTAACCCTCCATGCAAAGATGGCAAAGCTCGATATTATCAAGTATAAATATTTACATTTTTCTACATATATGTGACTTGCGCTGTTAAGAATTATCAGAAGTCAACACTTTTAAAACTAAAAAAACGACAATATCTCCACATTATTGATAAGATAAAGGTTACAAGGGTACCGTTGTGAATTGGACATTGCCAGCCATATTTTACACAATTTTTTTAATGAAGGGTCGCAAATAAAACCATCTTACCCCCAACAGATCTATATAAAGACCAAACTATTTAATACTTTTTGCGACATGTTCATTAAACACAGTTTTATAGTGAATTATGCACTTACACTAAACACGTCCCGTACATTGGACCAACAAATAAGAAAATATATACTGCACATTCAACAAAGAGCATCAAAGGAATTGAGTTTTTGCCACAAACTCAGGTTTATAAAATCCTATATCTTAGCAAACTGTTAATCGATATTGTAGACCACCTTTGATATTTTACTATGAATTCTGTAGAATAACACTATAGTCAATGTTTAAAATATCAAATGTTTACACCATCAGGTTGCAAAGATAAAAAGATTAGAAAATATGACTTTGCGGCAAAGACGAATTCCTTTCAATGACTATTTTAAAATAGATGGAACAAGAACCGATATTTAAAAACAAAATTTATTTTGTATTTTATTTGAACTTACTTTTATCATAAATAGGATCTGACACTACAGGTTTGAGTGCAAAGGTAAAGGCTCCAGCATCATTTCCTTCCAGAAAGACCTTTAAAAGCCCGGATAAGTCTTATTCATTTTTCTCATTTTTACGACTGTGATATGCAAATCTGTTACATTCAAACATTTTAGAAAGCCCAAGGGAACTTTAATCATCTGCAATAAAGTTGCAAATATTTTTTAGCGAAAAATGTGAAAAAACAAAAGTGGTGCTCTATATGACAAGTTATTCATTTTTGAAAATCTTTTAAAAATCAAACATGCAAAAATATTAGCAAATTTTAAATTCTAATATGTGTTTTCAAGAAAACTAAAAATATTAGCAATATTTTCAATTCTAAATGTGTATTCAAAAAAACTTAAAATATTAGCAAAATTTTCAATGCTTAATGTGTGTATTCAAGAAAACTAAAAATATTAGCAATATTTTAAATTCTAAATATGTGTATTCAAGAAAACTAAAAATATTAGCAATATTTTCAATTCTAAATGTGTATTCAAGAAAACTTAAAATGATAGCATGAGGGGGGAAGGGCCAACAGTCTCCCATGCATTGGAACATTATTCATACAATCCGGATCAGCTAATTAATCCTTTCAATTCCTAATTTTACTTTTCTATAACATTCATTCTAGTTCTTATTTAGTCAATAAAGGCTCTCCGTTTAAATATTCTGTGTAAGCAAGGATTAAATGTAGAATAAAATTGAATGCAGAGTTCTATTAGAGTTTTCGTAGAACTAGTATTTATTTTTAGACTTCTAGATTCAAAAATAATTGGTTTTCAAAAAAATTCAAAACATTTTTGAACAAGTGTGGCTTAGACTTACATTACGACTAACAATTTAACAAAAATATTATTGTGACTGGTGACTAAAAAGTGGCTTTTCTCAGTCAATTATTGAGTTGATCTTTTCTATTTTCTGAATTGGAAGACTTCTGACAATTGTTAAAATTATGACTTTTTACAATGTAAAAGCAAAAAAACAAGATGACCTTTCATGAATCATTAATGGAGGTCATGCAAAGGTTGCACACTCTCAGGCCATTAATTGATGAGAGGGTTGCCAATTACTTTTAAACTAAAGCAAATACACCTGTTTATAAGTTCTAAAATTCACATGTCTAGCGCTACCAAAAAGTAGAAGTAAGTAATCAAGGGCAAAGCGTTGCAACACTTTAAAGTCGATCAAGTTTTAAAAATTGGCGCAAAATTTCCAAGCAGTCTGGAAATAACTAATCTATGTGTGGCGCAACTCTAACGTGGAATAGCTTATAAATCTATATATATATATAAAGTTGTAATCTCTGTTTATCTGGGTGTTTGTTTGTCCGATCATAACTCAGGAACCCCTGGACTGATTTGCCTTAAATGTTGGTTGGGGAACTTTGGAGAACCACAAGAATGCGCTTAGCTCAGATGAGTGGGTTTGAAAAATAGCTAAAAACGTAATATACGACGAAGTGCGGGTAAACGGCGGGATTAACTTTGAGAAACCTGGGCAATGCTAGTTTTGAATAAAATAATAAATATATAAAAAGTTTCTTTGAATACCTGAAAAGCAAGTCGAACACAGTTTAAATCCACAGCTGCTGGGTTGGTTTTATGAGTAAATCCGGCTGAAAAATAAACAAATTATAATTTATTAAAATTGAAAAGCTGAAAACTTATTTTACGTTAAACTAAAGTAATTTACACGTTGAGAGGTAGAAATCTTATATTATCGTTTTCTTTAAAACTTCTATAAGAAGAACCAAAATCTTCTAAATTTCATAACATATTAACGGATTAAATTGCTTTCCTCATAAAACTAGAATAGCTAAAAGGTCACAAAGTCGTACAATTAAAGTCGCGTGAATTTGACCTTCTTATTTTGTTCAGTTTTATTTTTATTTTTTCTAATTCCTACAGCTTTTCAATCCGATGGTGTAAACCTTAGATTTGTATTACTAAGCCAGTTTAATCTTTCAGAAACATCAAATGTTTAGAATATTATATTTGAGTTGGAACTATATGATCGCAACAGGCTACTTGGACTGAAATTTGAGGTTTTTTTCCTGTAGATATCTGAAGAATTAAACAGTAAAGAAGGGAAAGAAGAGAACTTTTTTCAATTTTCGGTTTTAAAGTACCCTTTTAAAGGACTTTTCATAAAAGGTCGGATAAATTTTCACATTTATCTCCGAAACCCTGGGAGCAATTCCAAAATTCTGAGAACATCCACCCCTCCCTCTTTCAAGGGTACCGTTGTAAATCGGGCATTGCCTTCTTTGCAGGGGGGGTCACTTAAATACACGCTTACAGTCCTCTTTTCTTTTAGATTGAATTTGCTGGTAATCTTTTGGAATGTAAACAGAGGCCGAATTGAAAGAGTTTGAGCAGCGGCTTAAATTTAAACCGCGGCTCAAATATGGTTGGTTTCACTTAGAATTGTAATAAAATTTAAGCCGACGCTCAATTGAAACCGGTTTTTGGGTGATTTGAGACGCAGCTTAAATTCCTTAAATTCGGACACAGGAAGAATATCATTTTTTTTAACAAAAACCTTAAAAAGATAATTTAAGATCTGAATGATTCTTACTTTGAAATGGATCTACTCGAATCTGTTGACGAAGGTTTAGAGACTCTTCAATATCTTTTTTCTTCACGCATTGGATCCCTAGGGAGGGGAAACTACAGGTCATATCCGCACCTTGATAGATAGATATATAGTAGATAGATATATAGTAGATAGATAGATAGTAGATAGATGGATAGTAGATAGTAGATAGTAGATAGTAGATAGTAGATAGTAGATAGATAGATAGTAGATAGATAGATAGATAGATATATAGATAAATATATAGATAGATAGTAGATAGTAGATAGTAGATAGTAGATAGTAGATAGTAGATAGATAGTAGATAGATAGATAGATAGATATATAGATAAATATATAGATAGATATATAGATAGATAGATAGATAGAAATATAGATAGATAGATAGATAGAGAGATAGTTAGATAGATAGATAGATAAAGAGATATACCTAATTCCAATGTGCAAACTCCTTTCTTACATCCTTCCTTTCCAACCAGGTTGTGGGGATGGGGCCTGTATAGAATAAGACATATATAATAGTTAAACATATTATTTATTTGTAAAGGGGTCTCAAACGTAAAGAGGTCTCCAATATAAAGGGGTCTCCAATGTAAAGGGGTCTCTAATGTAAAGGGGTCTCCAATGTAAAGGGGTCTCCAGAGTAAAGGGGTATCTAATATAAAGGGGTCTCCAATTTAAAGGGGTCTCTAATGTAAAGTGGTCTCCAATATAAAGGGGTCTCCAATTTAAAGGTGTCTCCAATGTAAAGGGGTCTCCAAAGTTAGGGGTCTCCGATGTAAAGGTGTCTCCAATGTAAAGGGGTCGCCAATGTAAAGGGGTCTCCAATATAAAGGTGTCTCCAATGTAAAGGAATCGCCAATGTAAAGGGGTCTCCAATATAAAGGGGTCTCCATTGTAAAGGGGTCTCCAATGTAAAGGGGTCTCTAAAGTAAAGGGGTCTCCAATATAAAGGGGTCTCCATTGTAAAGGTGTCTCCAATTTAAAGAGGTCTTCAGAATAAAGGGTTCTCTAATGTAAAGGGTCTCCAATGTAAAGGGGTCTCCAATGTAAAGGGGTCTCCAAAGTTAGGGGTCTCTAATATAAAGGAGTCTCCAATTTAAAGGTGTCTTTAATGTAAAGTGGTCTCCGATGTAAAGGGGTCTCCAATGTAAAGGGGTCTCCTATGTAAAGGATTCTACAATGTAAAGTGGTCTCCAATGTAAAGGATTCTCCAATGTAAAGGGGTCTCCAATGTAAAGGGGTCCCCAATGTAAAGGGATTTCCAATATGAAGGGTCTCCAATGTAAAGGTGTCTCCAATGTAAAGGTGTCTACAATGTAAAGGTGTTTCCAATGTAAAGGTGTCTCCAATGTAAAGGTGTCTCCAATGTAAAGGTGTCTCCAATGTACAGGGGGTTCCAGTACAAACGCCGGACCCACAAACGTCGGACGGTACAAACATAAGACTTACAAACGTCGGACAGTACAAACGTCGGACCAGTACAAACGTCGGACCAGTACAAACATCGGACCAGTACAAACGTCGGACTGGTACAAACGTCGGATCAGTACAAACGTCGGACGGGTACATTTATAAGGAAAAACGTCGGACCAAGGAGGAAAAAATATATTTGAATTTTTTAGATTAAAATTATTGTAAATTCGAAATTTTATCTCAAAAAAATTCCCAATTTTTTATTGTTAAAAATTCATAATCCACAAAGTCTGGATACATGGACGAGGAGACTGCTAACTATATTGAGGTCAAGGAGGGGGGACGGCACCTACTTGATTCAAATCAGTTTGAATACAGGGTTACAAAGAAGAAACCAACAAAAACTATTACCAATGCATTCAAAGGAAAAACAATTCTTGTCCTGAAGGAGCAGTTATAAAAAATGAGAAGGACGAGATTATCAGTTTCCTGGGATCTTTTGAAGAAAAGAGTACGTGAAATAGAAAAACAAGTAGTTAAAGAATTGTAGAATTCTTTGTTTGAAATATCTAAGGTCTACAACAGCGGGTTGCAAAAATATATGGATTAAACTGTATGATCTTGTAGAATTCATAGTTTGAAATTTTTTAAACAATGGTCCATTCAAAATCCACCAAGTCCGACGTTTTTTCTTATAAATGTACCCGTCCGACGTTTGTACTGGTCCGACGTTTGTACCAGTCCGACGTTTGTACTAGTCCGACGTTTGTACTGGTCCGACGTTTGTACTGGTCCGACGTTTGTGCGTCCGACGTTTGTACTGTCCGACGTTTGTGGCGTCCGACGTTTGTGCGTCCGACGTTTGTACTGGTACCGTAAAGGGGTCTCTAATGTAAAGGTGTCTCCAATGTAAAGGTGTCTCCAATGTAAAGGGGTCTTCAATGTAAAGGGTCTCCGATGTAAAGGGGTCTCCAATGTAAAGGGGTCTCCAATGTAATGTAAAGGGGTCTCCAATGTAAAAGGGTCTCCGATGTAAAGGAGTCTCCAATATAAAGAGGTTTCCAATGTAAAGAGGTCTCCAATATGAAGGGTCTCCAATATAAAGGTGTCTCCGATGTAAAGGGGTCTCCGATGTAAAGGGGTCTTTGATAGTACATTCAATATTAAGATTTATTCTCAGATTTGTTCCACAAGGAAATATTAAGAGAAGGAAAAGAGAAAAATTAATCAAAATTTAGATTATTCATGATTTAATCCTACTCCCACTCATAATCTAGTATTTAAATTATTATTCTCTAAAACTAATCTGGGAATTAGAAAGAGAGTGTGCTCTAATCTTCAACGAGGGGTTTAAGAAAATTAATTCTAAAATCCAAGGAAGAAATTGTTGTACTGCTGAAAAATATCTTTACTTTTTACGCTTGCGCTTCAGTTTTAAAAATCTTAAAAAGGGTAAAAAAAAAATTGGCTGATATCTGAAGAATTACAAGAATTACTTACAAGCCAAAGTGCCCGGCATTGACCGTTGCATTTCAGAAACACGTCGGAAAAATATATTTCAAATTTTAAAAATATTTAAGATTTTTGAGAAAATGAATTTCTTGTTTCTCCGAGAGAAAGGTTTGTTCAATCTAACTCAAAAGCCTAACAAAGAAAATGGAAAATTAATCTATGTTTTACTTATCAGATATGAGATATCAGATATTATCAAAGATAGATATAGTTTCTATAGTTTCAAAATTTTACGAACAAATCGATTTCCTGCAAGTGCTTTGATCTTTTACAGTCTTTAAAGGGATTGCTGTTGCAATTTCAAGTGGGTTTTCATGATTGATAAAGTGGTATGTTATATTCATAACGGTAACCTTAAAACCTTTTTCTGATAAAGAATGAACGTACATTTATTTTCAAGATACGACAGAAAACAAATTATAAGAATTAAACACTTTTTATGTCATTTTAACGTAAAAAAAATCTTTGTGTACTTAATGTTTTCATAGAGCAAACAATGTTTTCTGTAACCTCATGAAAATCAACCAATTATGAGAAATTGGTATGTTTACTCTGCACAATCGCTGTATTTCATGTTTATTCAACTTTTTAAAATCAAAAATTGTGTCTAACAGTCGTCTTTAAATTACATAATTTTAAAGTCCGCACCATATGCATTTATTCCCTTTCAAATAAAAATTTATAATAGCAGGAAGGATTTTTGCATGGATTTAGCTTGAAGAAACATATATTTATAGCAAAAAAATTAACTAATTTGCTTATAGCTTGGAAACCGAGCTTTTCCTGAAAAAAAGTTTTTTTCTTAAGAGTCAACCTAGTCAACCAATAATTTTAAGAACATTGTCAAGAATCTAACAATATCCCCAATAATCATAGGAAAATCGTTCTGAGGATTCATGAGTAATGATTAGACATATAAAGAATCAAGCAGAGATTACTAATTTAAATATTATTATTTGACCTGTAGGGAACTTCTGCAGAAACACAAGATACGACAACTACAGCTCTTCCTTTATAACCAACAACCTATTAACATTGTTATTATTATTATTATTATTATTATTATTATTATTATCATTATTATTATTCTGTACTGTACTGTACTGTACTGTACTGTACTGTACTGTACTGTACTGTACTGTACTGTACTGTACTGTACTGTACTGTACTGTACTGTACCTGGAATGCTTCCGGCACTTCTCCCCTCACATTCATATCTGAACCTTAATCCTTTCCCTGCTGGTTGCTCAACCACCTACGAACAAATAGATCAATCAATTTATCAACTTCCCAAATAAATCAATCAATCAATCAACCAATCAACTTCGACCCTCACATTGTTATTTTGACCTTAACCCTGTCCTGGCTGGGCTATTTTTGTCTAATATAGGCTGGTTTTAACCTTAAAGTTTTTAAATGATTTTACCCTTTAAGGTTTAAGGGGAGTGTGAAACATGTCCTTAGTCCAACTTTTCAAAGCCTGTTCATTAAATAAAGAGACCTTTATCATTTAATTGGTTGCCAGGGAGGATATAAAACAAAGTTGAAAAAGTGTGTCGGAAAAATGTATATAAATCATTAGTTTTACTTTTGACAAATTTAACATGTGACACATAATATTACATCCATTTTTCAAGGGCTTTAAAAATCTATATAGTTTAGTCCAATTGCTTATTGAAAAAATGTTATTACGCATATCTGCTTTTTTCAAACACCGACTCGCCTTTTGACTGTCCTCCACCCTATCCTATGCATAAAAACAAAATTTGTTCACAACTATGAAAAGTTAAGAAGTTTAAGTTTACAATTATGTAAGCCGTTTTTAAATTATTTCGAAAAAAGGGGAGGTTGGAAAACAACTCCCCCCCCCCAGCCGTGATTAACCAATAAATCAATTAATCAGTCAAGCAGATTGTAAATGAGCAAGAACTTCGCCCCTTCACATTCATATCTGAACCTTAATCATTTCCATGCAGGTTGCTCAACCACCTTCAAACAAATCCATCATTCATTCAATTAATTAATTAATCAATCAACTGATGAATTAATTAAACAGTGAATCAGTAAATAGTCAACAAATGAATCAATCAGTAATACAGCCAATTAAACAAGAAGTCAATCCATCTAGTCAATCAATCCTTCAATCAACAAATCATTAAATTATTTTGTAAAAATTTCAATAAATCAATCACTCAATCAGTTTATCACTAAAATTGTCAACAAATTAATTAATCATTAATCAATCAATTTTTCGGTAAGTCAACCAAGGAATCAATCTATCAATCAGTGTACAATTTAATATTTATTACTCAGTCAAAAAATCAGTCTATAAATTGATTAACAATCAGAAAAGAATAGTTAGGTTCAATTAAATTTGAATTAGACAAACAGACCAATTCATAAATTAATTGAGCTTATTTTTCAGATAACCAGGTTGAGGGCCCAGCAAATATAAGTTCAAATGGCTCAGCAATTATAGAGTAAAATGTTGGGTTCACAACAATACCATGGTTCAAGAATTTAAGATTTTTTTAGATGGACAACAATATCTTCCTTATTGTTACTCAAATACAGGTTTATAGGTTCCGTTGAAATTTGGGCGTGCAAGTATTAAAAAGGAGGTCATTTTAAATAAGGTCTCTAGTCCCCCTAAGTAAATGTCTATTTCTGGCTCTTTATCATTTCAAGAAAATAAATTTACTTTAACAAACATAACTGGTTAGTCTTTCTCAAGTCTTTCTCAAGCCTTTATCATTTTCAAGTCTTTCTCAAGTTTTTCTCAAGTCTTTCTCAAGTCCTTCCCAAGTCTTTCTCAAGTCTTTCCCAAGTCTTTCTCAAGTCTTTCTCAAATCTTTCTCAAGTCTTTCTCAAGTCTTTCTCAAGTCTTTCTCAAGTCTTTCTCAAGTCTTTCTCAAGTCTTTCTCAAGTCTTTCTCAAGTCTTTCTTAAGTCTTTCTCAAGTCTTTCTCAAGTCTTTCTGATATTGAAATAACATCGATGGAAGGGAATATGGACGATATTTAAAAAAGAGAAATTATTTATACAAATTATAACAATTTAATTGTTTCTCTGATGTTGAAATTAAAACAATGAAAGGTCGATTGTATTAACGTAAATTTTCCGGACAACTTCTTTGTGGTAATTTTTAAAAGGGAACACACGATGAGAAATACGTCATTTTTGGCTGGAATAACAAGAATATTTGATTCATTCTTGATCGGATAGAGCTTTTGTTGACAGTGTTGTGAATCGGGCATGCAGGCCTGTAAATGGCAAGTAGTTTACCTCAACATAAGCAGATTTTTTGAGTTTGATCGTCTCCATCTTCTACAGATTAATCCTCAACATTGACTCACTAGTTCGCACTTCTAGAACAAAATTAATTTGAAATTAATTTGAAAAAACGTCTGAATTTAATTTTGAGAAAATGTTCGAAATTAATTTTAGAAAATGTCCTAACAAAATGATAATTAGATAATTAGAAATGTAGACACAGAAACACTTTGTTCCTTAAATACAGGGTTAATCACAAAGGATGAGACTGCAAAGACGACCAGAATCTCTTTAAATTTGATGATTCCAAAGTCGAATGAAGTCCTTAACCCTATCCCTTCTGGGGTACTTGAAAACCAGGATACGCTGGGGGGGGGTCGGAAAGCTCTTGTGCTCTACTTTTAGAATCTGCAAAAAAAATTGCAAATTTGCAAAAATTGAATTTTTTATTGCAAAATCTAGTTATATAGTAAAAATGTTTGCAAAAAAAAAATTGTCCAAAAAATGATATATTTTACATTTTTGAAAAGCCCTTGACCATGCCATTTCAAATATGCAAAAAGTTTTGCAAAATTTTAAATAACCTGATTTTTAATCAAGAAAAACTAAAAAAGTGCAAATTTCCTTTGACAGGTTGTTTGCAAAAAATTTGCAATTTTTTTTCGCAAAACTTGTGTAATCCGTTTCCTTATGTCATAGGCTTTCCAAAAAGCTAAATTTTATCAAAATCTGACAAGTGAAAGTGGGTCAAAACAAAGATTTAGTTTGTTACAGGAAAAAGCAGTCATTCAGGCAGTGTGCCTGAGGACTCAGGCAGTTAGTATTAAAGCCCGGTTTTAGGCCTAAAGGGAGTGCTTTGGGTATATAGGAAAAGTCAGAAAATTTCAACAACCTCTGACCAATACTTTTTTAGTTATGTAAAAAAAAAACTACAGGGGGGGGGGGTCAAATTGACCCCCCCCCAGCGGGAATAGGGTTAAATAAAGCCTTTTTTTATTAATAGGACAAAGAAAGGATCAAATTTAGAGTTGCATTAATTTAAGGAAACAGAGGCTGAATTTAAAGAACTTGACCCGTGGCTTAAATTTGGAACGCGCCTCAAATACGGCTGGTTTTAAAAATATATTTAATGTTGTATTCAATTGAAACCGGTTTTTGGCCGATTTGAGACGCGGCTCAAATTCTTAAAATCGGACTTAGATAGTATAAATTTCTGCAGTCGTCTCTGAAGTCTTTTCCTTTTTGGGTAACCCTGTATAAAATATAACAACTAAAAGAATTAAGAACTTACGAACATAGTATGTGAGAAATTACTAAAAGAATGTTTAATGTATGAGGGTTTCATCACAAACTCTATTTTGTTCATGATCTCTAACAAGATTTCGGTAGGTTTGAAATTACAAATAAAATGTTAGATTTTGTTTTTTGCTGTACGAGTTTACAGGTAAATACTCGTATACAAATACTCTACTTTAAAGGGAGTATTCGCGAAAATGAAAGGGGTGTATTAGGGTTATCAAATGGTTAATCATGACTCATACCGAAGAGTGTAGCCTCTATACAAATGAATGATATACAATCTGAGTGGAAAATGTAACTTTGTGAATTTGTATGGACGCTACGTTCTATGTATGAGTCGAGTTTAACCTTATAGGCGCAACAGATAGCAGAAAGATTAAAAGCGATAACCATCGAATTCAATTCGAAATAAGCCTATACCACTTTTCATTGAGTCTGGTTTAGTATGACTTTAAACAACGAGGTTATATTGTAAAGAGTGATAATGTAAGCTGATCCTTTACTAATACATCGACTGGAAACTACATAGAGAGCGTACACTGCAGTTTTAACTATTATATTATGGGTTAGGCTATAATCTCCTTAAATCATTTATTAGTTTAAACAATTGTATTTGTACAGTTCAGTCATTAAGGCTGATAGGTAGACAACCTAGGCTTAATCTGGCGTGCTATGGTATGTTTTAGCCTGCTGTGTCATGCTCAAGTTTATCTGGCGTGCCATGACTAGGGATGTTATCGTTTTCAGTATTTTTTAAAAACGACCGTTTCGTTATGAAAACGACGACAAAAAATCGAAAACGCAACGATCGTTTTTAAAAACGATCGTTATCTTAAAAAGTTCGTTTTTTAAAAATGGTCGTTTTTAAAACGACCGTTTTTTTTATAAAAATCGTGGTTTCGATTTTTCGTGGTCGTTTTCATAACAAAACGGTCATTTTTCAAAAAACTGAAACCCTTCGTTAACGATCGTTAACGAAGAGAGGAAATGAACCTGAAAGGCATCTGTTCTTATCATTAAGTAGTTTTGAAGAAAATATCAAGAAGTTTTAGCTCCCACACAACTTTTCAACTTCATATGTAAGACGACATTCAATAAAGTTGTGTGTATTTTTTTTCAAAAATGATTGTTTTTTCCAAAAACGACCGTTTTTATAAAGTTCGTCGTTTCGTTAACGATCGTTAACGACAACCCTTCGTTACCAATAGTTAACGAAGACCCTTCGTTAACGATCGTTAACATAATTAATGCCCGGGTTTAGTTTGGCATATAATAAAATGTTTAGCCCGCGGCATGACATGCGCGGGTTTAGTTTGGAGTGTAATAAAATGTTTAACCCCCGCTGCATCACATGCCCGGGTTTAGTTTTGCGTGTAATAAAATGTTTAGCCCACTGCATGACATGCTTGGGTTTGGGTTGACATGACATGACATGGGTTAGTCTGCTGTGACATGCCCGCATTTAATCTGGCATGCTTATGACATGGTTTAGCGTGCATGTTGTTTGTCCGAGGCTTGTCATCCTTTTTCAGAAAATATTTTTATTGTTAATTATTGTTTTTCTTGTAATTGATAAACCGTTGATTTCGTCATAGATGACTTTCATTTTTTAATTTGTTTTATATTACTAAGTTATTTTTTACAAGTGTATAATTGAAATAAAAACATAATTTTTGTCAAGAGCGGCCAAATTTTTCATTATGAAATATAGAGCTTTGCTAACACATAAAACCAGCAATTTCAGAAAGAAATTGCTGGTCCTGGCCCAGAGACTATCCTTGTACTTTCAGCGACCAAACTTTGCTACAGTGGTTTATGTCAAAACAATGAAGCATTTAACCAAGGGCCCCGAAAACAAACAAAAAATCTAAATTTTTTTATAAATAAAAAAATAATTAACATTAAATTATAAAACAACGATGATAATAGAGGAACATACTAATTTTTTTAAAAATGATTATCTAATTAGGTTTCAATGTGTCTTCAGTGCTATCTATCGATCATCATTCTATCTATCTATCTTTAAAAAAATCCACCAATAGGAGAAAAATAAAGAAATTTAGCGGCGATATCAAATGGACAGTATTACTACTAATCATACTAGGGTGGAAGAAGACTTTTCTATTTTTGTTTTGACATCAAACAAGCTTTTTAAAATTATAAGTTTGCCAGTTAACGTTAAAATAAGCTTTTACTCGCAAGCTTGGTAAAAATCAAAATTGAAATAGTTTATTCGAAATAGAAGACCTGTAAAATATTTAACGTGAGCAAAAGACTTCTATTGAATTTAAAAATAGGATTTAAATATTAAATTCTTCATCTGAACACGTGACACATTATATAGTTGTATTGTGCTACATTTAGTGGAATTTTTAGCGTAAGACTTCAAACGATCCTCCATGCAATGAGACCGATGTCCGATTTACAACGGTACCACAATTTAAACCTTATTCTGATCAAAAATGTAGAATAAACTGTTTGTTTTTTCTGATTCAAAAAGTGTTTAATTCTCATAAACAATTATGCAATTCTTTTTCGCACAGTAAAAGCAAATGAAAATATACAGTTTAAAACAATCAAAAAATGGATATCTGATGCATACTTGATCAAACATTTAAGGGTGCAGTTGTAAATCGGACATTGACTTGAAATTACACGTGCTTTACTTTAAACTGAAAAACTAAATATTTTACGAAATTGTTCTTCAAAGTTTTTTGTTAAAAATGACTTGCATAATAATGTTAATATTTTTGAATGAGATAATTTCTTAGCTAAAGCAAAAGAACTTTTAAATAGGGTTCTGGGCGCGCTAAATCCAAAACTCAGTTTTACAGAGACACCACACTTGAAAACGGTGTTTAACAGTCTTATACAGAGGAATGAAAGTTCTGTTCTAAGGAAGTAGGGTCATTTGACAGTTGTTCACGATTTACTATCAAATGCAATTATACCTTAGAACTGAACATTATCTTTCTAATTTTGTGCAAATTTGCTGTAAATTACTTTTTAGAATTAACTAAAACAATATATTTTTCACTGAAATTTAACATCACTTGGCTTAATGACAATATCATTTTGTTTTTTGAAATGTTAATCATTTATAAACCAATGTACTGGGGGCATGTGAGGGCCTACACCAAATGTTTGCCCAATCCGTTCAGTGACTTTGACGTTTATTGGATACAAAATAAACAAACAGGCAAAGAATAAGTATAGAAACAATATAAAAATAATTAAGTATACATTTTTTGTATCTTAAAACGTCTAAGGCGATAGTCAAAGTATATAAATTACGTCTCAGAAAATTTAAACAAATTTAAATTTTTTGTTTAGACAAAAACATTGTTGTCATTAAAACCATTAACGTCAGTGTACAAACTGGGCATTCATCAGTTTTACACATTTTGTTGTTGTAGACTCAGATAAATGTTAGGATTTCAAAATTGCATGAACTTTAAATATTTTAAACTCTCAGAAACAAAAAAAAATATTTTATTAAAATGATTTTAATTGGAAATTTTAGCCATATTTCTTTTATTTTATGTAACTGTTTGAAACAGAAAAAGATATATATTTCGGGTCAAATATTTATTCTTCATAACTTGCGTTCAATGTTTTCTGGTTCTTACTGTAAACTGGAAATCCAGTTTTGACTTGAAATTTTTCTCGCCCAACTTCAACCCACTCCCCTTTAAACTAATCTAAGAGCATCAACAGATGAGTTCTGATCGGAGACAAACAACCTCGTATAATATATAAATGTTGTATATTAGCTAAAAAAAGATATTTTTTTCTAAATAATTTTTCAAATTTTTTCTCGGGCAACGCCGGGCCCTTCAGCTAGTATATATATATGAATGTTTTGTTGATTTTGTTTTTGTCATTTTGGCCAACAGAGTTGATTTGTACTTTTCATTAATTTGAAATAAAATTTGACCTGTAATTCTGGTCTTGACATAAAGTATACTTATGTAAGAGTTTAAATTTTAAATTCTATATTTCAGAATTTCATTGTATTTAGTTTATTTGACTGAAACCAAATAGGGTTGCTTAAATTCACATTATAGGGACAAAAATTACTAGGGTTTCCAGCGAAATGGGAAAATTGGAAAATGGGAGGGCTTTGAAGCCTCTCCCCCACCCCCCGGCTATACATATATTCAGACCCCCTAGCCTTTATAGGGTTAAATTTGTTTCCACCCATTTTTCTATCTTATTCTAATCCCCTTTCTTACTCATTCTCTAATCCCCGCGTTATTTCTCATTCTAATCCCATTTTTAAACCATTCTAATTATTATAATCCCCATTCTATCTGATTCGAATCCTCTTTACTTTTTCATTCTAATTCTATTTATATCTTAATGCAATCCACTTTCTGTCTATTTTAAAATCCATTTGCTTTCAGTTCCAATCCACAATTCTAATTCCATTCTTTCGCATTCTAATCCCATTTTTTTCTCTGTATAATCACCTTTCTTTCTCATTCTTATCCCCGTTCTTTCTCATTCTTATCCCCGTTCTTTCTCATTCTAATCCCATTTATGTCTTATTGTAATGAATTCCTTTCTATATGATTCCAATCCCCTTTCTATCTCCTCCTAATCCCATTGCTTTCTCATGTAAATCCCCTTTCTTTCTCTTTCAAATCCCCTTTCTTTCTCATTTAAATACTCTTTATATTGTATTCGTATCCCCTGTCTATTTCTTCCTTTAACCCCCTTTCTTTCTCACTCTAATCCCATAGCTTTCTCTTTCAAATCCCCGTTCTTTCTTATTCTAATCCCATTTATTTATCATTCTAACCCCATTCATTGCTCATTCCTTCTTGTGAATCTTATTCTAATTCCATTTCAATTTCATTGTAATCCCTTTTCATTTGCATTCTAGTCCATTATTCTAATAATTTAGATATGTATATTTGTACCCTACGTTATAATTATTTACACGAAACAAATAGTAGTACGTATTGTACATACTTTAGTTTATTTCGTGTACATTGTACAAGCTGTACCGAAGTAAAGATATGGATATTGTTCTCCGATTAGGACTCGTAATTCCAAATGATAACGGCTCAAAGGAATTGAGTTTTTGCCGCAAACTCTGATTTTCTAATTACTATATCTTTTTATCCCTATGTTGTAGACCTTTAATATTTCAAACTTTTGTGACAAAAACTCAATTCCTTTGTTTCAGCAAAACAAGATAAATATGAAGAAAATTGATTAATTTCATTTGTGATTTTTTATATATTTATGATTACCAATGTGTTTCTTTGCAACAGAAACAGAAAAGGAAATCTAAAAAATTAATATTTGTTTAAGATATAAAAATTATTATAAAAACCCTTTATTTGAATGGTTATTTGAAATTACGCTTACAGGCTCTTAACAGATTACTGCAATAAATCTGACTTCTAAACCACCGTTTTTTTGCCCTATTATAACCATTAAAAGTACTTTTAATGCCATTATATCGGGATATATATGGAGAGAAAAACAGTGTAATTTCTATTTCTATATTCACCTCTTCTTCACTATTTTCATGTGCAGTTCAACTATGTCTTTCTTTAATTCTTCTTCCATGCACTACCTTTTCATTTTGCTGCTTTCCCCCAACATGGGGAATTCTATTTTTTCCCGCATTTTCAACTGTTTTGGAAAAAAGCATGAAAATTTAAAAAATTTTTATTAACTTTACAACTGTGTAAATATATTTTTGTAAACTATATTTTCCCTGGGTTTCCCGAGGCCTACGTCACAATTTATACTTAGAAAGCAGGCAGTGGGGACAGGGGAATATATTCCCTCAGAAACAATATCATTAAAAAAGGCCAGAAAAATTCCTCTTTAATTTTGAATGAATATTATTTTCTCTATTCTTTTCCAGAATTGAATTTAAATTTATTAAGTTTAAACTGTGGGTGAAGATTTATATTATAAATAACCCTTTTATATCCTTTACTAGCTTTGTAAAGGTGTGGAGGGGGGGGAGGGGGAGAGGGGGTAAACGATCCTTCATAATCGTCTAAAACCAAAAACCTACATCACTCTCAGTCAACAAAATGATGAAAATCAGAGAAAAACTATTATACCTGTTTTATTTATTCTATCATTGTCAAGTTTGTCTAAGAAAAAGCCAGATTATTTATTATACTTTTTCCCAATATTAAATCTAATGTCTTCTAACTCTCGCTAAACATTTTCTATAAATAGCGTGTTAAAACATTAAACAACACACACAAATACGATTTTTTAATGTGTTCTTTTTGAATCAGGTCACTCCGAGAAAAATAAATGAATGTTTAATAAGTAAGTATAAAAAAGTATAAAATAATGGGTAACATGATAAGTATAATGTATAAAAACTGCTAAATATGATATTTATTGGAATAGTATTTCTTGTTTAAGGTTAAGTATATAACAACAAACAAATATTGTGTTTTTTCAAATCTCTTATATCTTTTGATGGTTAATATAGGACGCGTAAAAAACACTACTCAAGGTGAAAGAAAATAATTTGTAACATGATATGTATACATAAAGACATGCTAATATAATATTTATTTGCTCTTACAAATATATTTGTGAAACTTGAGAGAACAAAATATTGTTTATCATCCTTAACACTGGTCCAACGGGGACCTCCCTGACGTTTTTAGGAGATAACTGAAAAAGTATTGAGGCTGTTTAAATTTTTTTTATTTCAAATTAAGATAACTCAAAACATATTGGTCTGAGACTGTTTATATCTTTTATTTTTCTAACTAATCCATGCCCCTCACTTTAGGTTCAAAGCAGGGCTTATATACCTACTGCCTGAGTCCTCAAGCTTACTGCCTGAATGCATTATTTTACATTTTTTCGACTAAATCTATATTTACTATTAAGATCTATTTCCGGTCATTGGATTTCGACTTTTTATTGCTCTTTGGTAAGCTTTTAACGAAATTAAGCAGATTGCACAATTTTTGCGAAGAAATTTTTCAAAGATTTTTGCGCAGATGTTTTTAAAGAAAATTTGCTCATTTTCAGTTTTCCTTGAATAAAAACTTTGTTTTCGAATATTTTAAAAATATTTTTGAATATTTGAATTCGCCGTGGTAAGGGATTTTTAAATGTATAAATTGTCATATTTTGCGAACTTTTTGCTTTTGCACATTTTTAACTTAATAACTTGATTTTGCCAAAAAATATTAAAAATCGTGCCAATTTGCAATTTTTTTTTGCAAATTTTAATTTTGAGTCTGAAAGTGTAACAAATATCGTAGCTTACCCTATATTTGCTAACCTGAACATACCTAGATATATTAAGGTCTGTAAATCTAAATGCGCTTGTAAATATCTACGCAAAACTTGTATTTAGATTAACCTAACCAAGCTACGTCTGTAAATAACTATGTCAAACCTGTATTGTGATTGGCTTAACTTTGCTTATAAATATCTGCGCAAATCTTGTAAATACATACATCAACTTAACCTGTAGCATAGATATCGAAATACACGTCAGTTGGAAAATACTCCGCTTTGATACTCTTGAAAGATAGAAATAGATTGGGAATCAATACGATAAAGTCATGTCCAGATTGACTTTGATAGTAAAGTATTACTGAACTGAATGGCCCTTATGTGTCATCAACCATAACGAGAGGGAACGAGTATCAATACAGATAAAGTCTTGACAGGATTGACATTCATAGTAAAGTATTACTGAAATGAATAGCTCTTACGCCTCGTCAACCATAACAAGAGGGAACAAGTATTGGTACCCGTAAATTTGTGTCCGGATTAACATTGATAGTGATATTCGTGGAGTTCCTGTCTGAGTTGTGCATAAGTTGGTACTAAAAGACTTTATGGAGTAGGGCATTTATACAAAAGGGCTTTCCAAATGTTATAAATTCTTATCACAATAATGAAATAGAGGGGGGGCCTGTGACACCCCCCCCCCCCCACTATTTATGGTATTCCAGACGTCAGCCTGAAAAGGGTTAAACAGAAATAAATGTCCGATTCACAACCTATTTGACTAAAAAAAGGAGGATATATTGTCTTTTTTTCTAAAAATGTTAAATTCTGCAAAAATCCTTCGTTGTCTCTGCAGTCTGCAGCTTGCAAAAATCGTGCCTAGAAAAAAAAACACCGATTGAACGGGATCAATTTTTGATTAGAAAAACATGAATAACAATGTCTTTTTGGAAAGTTTGTATCTTCATATTTTAAGGAGGTATGACAAAGTTAGGTAAATTATCTAAATCTATATATAAATTTGGCTTGTCTGTCTGTTTGGGTGTCCGTTCGTTTGTTTGTTTGTTTGTATCCAAAAAACGTCAAAACGGCTGTACCGATCGGGCCCAAATTTTTTGTGGGACATCTAGGGACCCCAGGGAAGGTTTATGAATGATCAAAATTTCAAATATTTGTCTCCATCAAAATTCGATCTTCATTAAATTTTTCAAAATTTTGAAAATCCACGAAATTTTCTGTGAAAATCCGCGAATTATTTTTGTTTTGTTTTACGATGTAAACAAAGAGAACATGTTTACAATTAATTTAGAAGATGGGTGCGAAGCGCCCTCTAAGGCTAGTCTATATATAAATTTAGCTTGTCTGTCTGTCTGCTTGTATCCAATAAACGTCAAAACGGCTAAACCAATCGGGACCAAATTTTGTGTGGGACCTCACGTGATCCCAGGGAAGGTTTATGAATGATTAAAATTTTAAATATTTGTGTTTCAAAGTTTTTTATTTTTGAAAAAATTTTGAAAAAGCGCAAAAAATATTAAGAAATCCGCAAACTTTTTTTGTTTTTGTTTTATACTGTACAAAGAGAAGAGGCTCACAGATAAAACCACAATTAAAAGTTGAAATCGAAGATGGGTGCGAAGCGCCCTGAAAGCCTAGTAAAGCTAAAAAATCTTAAATAAATCTGATAAATTACAATACAAGAGAGGGGGGGGGAGTAATCCCTGTTGTGATGTTTGCTGTTTTGTCCGATCATGAAAAGTTCCGTTTTCAGGCAAAGCTGGGTTCCGAAGCTTGTATAATATGAATTTTAAAAAATTTGAATATGATTATTTATAGGATTTAGGACTAATCTCTATTCTGAGAAGAATTTAAAAATAGCTTTCCCCTGTAAATTCCATTTCCAAACTTATAGTAAAGCCAATTCAGGAGAATTGTGGTAAAAAATGATTCAATTATTTTTTGAAAATTCTACGATTTTTAGATCCAAGAAAAATTTAAAAATCCATATTTTTTCTTTATTAATGATTAATTCCCTCAGACTTTGAGTGTGACCCCGGTAGAACCCTGGGAATATCAAATTGTTCATGCATATTTTAAAGGAGTGTTTGCGAAAAATGAAAGGGGTATAGACTTAAGACGAAAAGTCAGCGATTTTGATCGCTACTAATCTTTCTTCTATCTGTTGCGTCTAGAAAACTGTTAAAAACGACTCATTCCGAAGAACGTAGCATTCATACAAATTCAGAAAGTTGCAATATTCAACTCGGATCATAAAAAATCAATTTAATTCCAAACAAACCTAGATAAATTAGGTTATTCTTGTATATCAATGGAAACGAATCGCTCAGATATTACAATCAATAATCATCAATAATTTTTCGACGCATTCGTATATAGATGATATTTCATAATATTTTTTTTTTATTTTTCGTCGTAAGCCTATACCCCCTTTCATTTTTACGAACACTCCCTTCAAGTAAATTTTTGGTGATTTCATTTTTCTTCTATTTTATTTTTTAATTAATGAGAGAAATATACTTTTGAGAACCTTTATTATTTTTTTAAATATCAAGCTTTGGTAAAATATATGATATAATGATATAATGATACAAAACATAATTTGTAGTTCACATTTTATTCAACAATAAATTAAACTAAAATAATCCACGGTACACATTTTCAGTAGTCAAATTCTTCAGACCTCTAAAATTTTTCTTTCAAACATGGCACATTTTTTTAAATTGTGTTGCGAATTCTACTGTGCAATCATTTAAAAAAATATATAGAATATGGACTGCTTCATCTAATTTTGCTCCCAATAATATATTTATCATATTTTCAAAACTGGTTCACGAAATAAAATTTTTTTTTTAAATTTTGGACTTTGAAAACCTTTTGTATTAATTCTGTCAACCTAAAATCAAAATGAAAAGTGATCTCTCTCTAAAAACCATTTAATTATCTCTCTAGAATACTTTTCTTTGCTTTCAACGTGTCACTTTATATATTTCTGATATCTATATATTTTATCTCAACTGAGGCCGAAATTTTTTAGTGAAGTATTATTGTCAATCTTGAACGGTTGATCTCGATTTCCATTGCAGGCACTTTTTTAATTTAAGGATAAATGCTTTATCCCTCAGTTCAAGTTATCCCAACAATCACTGGGATTCCCAGAAGAATCAAATTTAAGTTCAAGAACTTCTGAGACAGGAACTTTTATATTGGAATCTCACAATACCGATCTCTTGATCTCAATGTCCACTGCGGGCATTTTTAATGTTGAGGGTCAATTTTAGGTATTCCTACGAGGTACGAACACAATGCTTGATATCAAAGGAATAATAAACTTATCTTAAGTAAAAACAAACGACCAAGTTCAAGCATTGATCTGGAATCTGGATATTAACTCTACTTAAATATTATTTCTCCGGAGAATGTCGCCATGTGGAAAATCTTCGTGGATTCTCGCTAGATAGCTTCCTGGTGTCAATACTGCAAATTTAAATTCATAAGTCACACTTAGTCATAGATTAATTAACCTTGACAGATAGGACACTAGATGTCGTCTTTTCAAGATTTAGGGGTTTTTTGTTCACAAAAACCCATGGGCAGAAGCCAAAAGGAGTTCCACGCAGGCAGCGTTTAATTACAAGACAGACAGAGAGCATGCACTGCCTGCGCAGAACTCTTTTGGGCCTCTAACTTAGGGTTATTGTGAAGAAAAAACCAAATTATACAGCTGAATCAGACTACTTTAGAAATCAGAATGTTCTGCACACAATACAGAATATTAAATACATAGTGCTTCATCATCTTTTGTTCACAACTGCATCATATCATCCTTTAACATCATTATTACATTATGTAGATAATGCAACACAGTTAAATAAAGTAAAAAAGAGTAGACACTAGACAGAAAAAAAGAACAAATTTGTGCAAATGATTCTTTACATTAAAACCCAAATTTTTCACTGCATCAAAAACATGTAGCAATACCAAATATAAAATACCATGTATCAATACCAAATATTTAATACCATGTATCAATACCAAATATTTAATACCATGTATCAATACCAAATATTTAATACCATGTATCAATACCAAATTTTTCACTTTAGAATTGTATTTTGTAAAAAACATGAAAATAAAAAATACCCAATTTGTTACAAAAAAATTCAATTGTTAACTACCATCAAATTCAAAGTATGCTGACTCAACCGACCTAATTGAAACAGAGAAACCAATTTATAAACTTTAAGATAAGGTTTAACTTTTAAACTTAAACAGTAAACACAAACATAAAAAAACTTCAAGCTTTTCAGAGCTAATATGAGATTAACAAGGAAGAATATTTTGTTGTGTTGTTTTTAACTGTGTTGAATTCTTACTTTTTTCTACTGCATAAGTTTGCAAGTCCCTTTTGTACAGAAGCCACAGTTAACATGTGTTAGTTTTACGAAATATGAGGAAGCACAGCTTTTATCCCAAAATATCTGTTGATATATATTTTAAAATTCGCCAAGGCCGAAAAATCTTCAGTTTCAATCTTTAAATTCTGATGATAATGCACATTTGTACCAACATCATTATCATGTTTACAAAAAGGTTGATTAACCATGAAAATTATATTAATTAGTCATAAAAACAAATTAAGAATGATTGAATTGCTTAAAAATGACAACTTAGAACAAAATTGTACTTTGACATAGCCTCAAAGTATAACGTACTTTTATGACATCAAAACTAAAATTTTAATTTACAGATTTAAAATTTAATTTAATATTGTGATGATGTCATTTGCTCTAAAAATGGACTCTTCTTGTGAAGTAAATAAGCCCGTATTCATAGATTAATAACAACACAGATTGAACACTAGATGTCGTCTTTTCAAGATTTAGGAGTTTTTCGTTCACAATAACCCAGAGGCAAAATCCAAAAGGAGTTACGCGCATGCTGGGTTGAATTACAGAGAGAGAGTCTGTTCTACGCTGAATGCGCGTTACTCCATTGGGCCTCTGCCTCAGGTTAATTGTTAACGAAGTGTTATATCTGTGTTGTTATAAATCCATGTCCGTAATCCTCAGTAAAATATCAGAATTAAATTAGCACTGAGGTGAAAGGAACTGTGCAGTAGACTCTCCATCATATATATTTACTGAGTTGAAAGGGACTGTGTAGTAGACTCTCCTTCATATATATTTACTGAGTTGAAAGGGACTGTGTAGTAGACTCTCCTTCATATATATTTACTGAGGTGAAAGGGACTGTGCCATAGACTCTCCTTCATATATATTTACTGAGGTGAAAGGGACTGTGCAGTAGACTCTCCTTCATATATATTTACGATTCACAATTGTTTTAGTGAGAAATAAATATCGTCATAATTTTATATAAAAAAGTGTTGAATTCTGGAATTTTCCTTCATTGTTTCTGCAGCAAGTCTCTTAAAAATATGTTCACAACTGAGCCAGCTTACGGGGGGAAAATTGGAGGAACGCCCCCCCCCCTATGGAAAATTGGGGGAACGTCCCCCATATTGGAAAACTGGGGAAAAATTAAGAGCACAAAAAGAGAGACCTGGCACTTTCTAGCCCTTTAATTTTGATTTTTTAATTTTTAAGAATAGATTCATAAAGAGTTTTCACTTATTCACTTTAAATAAAGATTTATTATCAAAATTGAAACCTTGGTTACACATTTTCTTCCCCCCCCNCCTCTGGTCATGGCTTGGGCGTAAAATGAATTCACTGTAAAAATAAATCCAGGGTGGATTGCGCGCACAAATGTTCAATTATTTACCCGCTTTGGAAAATATAATGAGCCGCTCCTGTAAATTTTTTTGAAAATCTTTTTCCAGAACTGCATTGTAAACTATATAAATAGCCAGACTGTGTAAAGATTTCAAACTTAAATTTAATATTATCGAAATTAATAATTTCCAGCTTGAAGTGTTATTGAAGAATAAAAGGCTAAAGAATTAGTTTGAAATTTGCATCAATATTGACACCTATAACGACGTAATCAAGGACCGGAGAGGAAAATTAATTGTAAGTATTTGAAGTTACAGAGTGCCCCAATAAACATGGGAATTTTAGAGACTACTTTATATGTTATGCATGGCAAAGAAAGTAAAAAAATGAGGCTGAACATCTGACAAGCTTTATATTAAGTGGTCTACACCTTTCTCGTATCTTAAAAATTGGCCAAGATATTAGATTATTTAAACAATTCTGATTTATTAAATGAATTAAATTTTAAAACTTTTGCAATATCTCCGTCAATTTGAAGATGCAAAATGGTAGATCACATATTGAAAATCTCAAGACCAGAGTCTAAAACTAAAGAATGCGCGAATTTTAAGTTCGAGGTTAAAAGTTCTGTAAAATAATGAATAGCTACTTAAATATTAAACTTTCTCAATTTTAAATTTGAATTTCCCGGGAAAATCTGAACCAATCAGAGAAAAGGATTTACGGAGAATATTACATAACCATCGCTAATCAGCTGATTACGTAACCGAAAACAAAACATATTTCGAATTACAACCGTATTTTGGGTTTACATGCAAAAATTAATTAATCTAAAGCGAAAAATTTCTTTAACAAGGTTTTCACTTTTAAATATAACGTAAAAATGAATGCCACTTTCTCAGCTGAATGATGATTGAATAATAGACAAATGGAAAATGCAGGATTTCAAGATTTGAACCCTGTGTTTAAATTTTAACTTTCGATTTCGTCGAAATATTTAACCTCACGGTTAAAGTTTAGGTTTAAATTAAGTCAGAAGTGGCATTTAACCATAAACTTAAAATTTAAGTCAAAACTTTTCGTTCTTTAGTTTTAGACTCAGGTGTTTTTATATTAGATGTTTAAACTGGAATACTGCAATTATTGTTTTTTAAAGAAAAAAACATGCTGCATGGATAGAAGACGATATAAAAGTCGTCACTGAACTTCTATGTTTTTTGGGACACTCTGTATACAGATAGACAGTCGAACAGGTATGTTGAAATATTCATGCACTGCACTGGACCGAATTTTCGTCCGCATGTATGTCAGTTAATTTTCCAAACCAAACATTTTTAAATACCGATTGTAAACCAACTCCATGTGTGACTTAAATGAATTTATTCCTAAGAACAGGATACAATTTGGCCTCTGCTCGGTCTGATGCTTTCACCTTAACAAACATCCCTTTATTTTTAAAGGACTATAGACAGATTTACAAGTGACTCAACATTTTTAGAATGACTTGTCCAATTTACAACGTTTAAGCTTTTATCTAAATAAAAATATGGAAAATAACTTTCGTCATTGTCACTCCTTAATTTGAATTTGATTATTTTTTTTCTTCAGTTCTGATTGAATTCTATTTTGAAGAACAACGAAGATATCTTTATCATTTTGGCTCTTACGAAGTCTTGTGGCTTGCCATCATGAATCGGACTAAACAACTCTAAATAGGGGATCGCGTTTATTACGTCGAAGCCGTACCGTAACAGTTATTTTTATTTATAAAGGTCGTCTTTATCACTAAAATAGTCTTTATCTTTGTGATGAACCAAACCTCTGTCCTCTATAAATAAGTAAAGCAGATGTTAATTCCACACCTTATTGAAAATATATTTCGGTCTTGGTTAACCCTCGTCAGTTCTAACATTATATAATAACCATCAAACTCGATAATGAAAAATGTAAAAAAGCCAGAAGAAAATAAACAAACTGAAAGTCGTCTTACACTTACCTTCTCTGCCCAATCAAGCTGCATCATGCTCTCTGTTCTGCTTTCATATCTTGGAATATTCTTCTCAAACCCTAGGTTTAATCTTTCCTGAACAGAATCAACATTTGAGGGAAGGTTATGGTAAACAATGTTGCAAATAATCCTTTAAAATACAATGCCTTAAAATAACCTAAATGTCAAGGTTATACAGAATTCCGAATCAGCAAGAGAAAAGTGATTTGAGGTTCACCTCATTTATATATATGTCATTAAATATATATTAAAATGTATTTAGTAAACCGTGGCTTTAAAAATAACGAAAAATACTATTAACAAAACGAACAGTCTGTTCTCAGCTAAAAAACTAAGTGTTAACGACAGTCTAAATAATTTTTTATTTCCGGAAAACAATTATCGGTTCAGAATCAAAGCTCATTATCAATTGGAAAGCCAAAAAAAGGCATCAAAGGATTTTCAACCTTGCTAATCTGCTCAGTAATAAAGTTTTGGGATAAACTTTTTTATTAAGAGATCCTGTGGCCTGTACATGGTTATAGTTTATACCTGGAACTTATTTTTAGAGGTTCCCAAAGCCTGTATGATCTTATCATCCTCCTCAACATTATTCTCCAGCCTCCAGCGAGATCGAGGCTAAAATACAAACAAAGAAAGATTTATGATCTTATCAGCCTCCTCAACATTATTCTCCAGCCTCCAGCGAGATCGAGGCTAAAATACAAACAAATTAAGATTTATGATCTTATCAGCCTCCTCAACATTATTCTCCAGCCTCCAGCGAGATCGAGGATAAAATACAAACAAAGAAAGATTTATGATCTTATCAGCCTCTTCAACATTGTCCTTCGACCTCCAGCAAGCTTGAGGCTGAAATACAAATAAAGAAAAATTTCCCAGATACCCAGGCATTTGGGAAATTCCTTTTTTCGACATTTTTTATTGTCATCCTCCTTAACATTATCCTCTAGCCTACAGAGTTGGAGGCTTAAATACAAATAAAGAAAGATTTGTGATCTTGTCATCCTTCTTAACATCATTCAGCAAGCTCGAGGCTAAAATACAAATAAAGAAAGATTTGTGATCTTGTCATCCTCCTTAACATCATTCAGCAAGCTCGAGGCTAAAATACAAATAAAGAAAGATTGATGATTTCATCATCCTCCTCAAGATTGTCCTTTAGCCTTCAGCAAGCTTGAGGCACATAAAGAAAACTTTATGATCTTTTCATCCTCCTGCCTCTAGGGAGCTCGAGGTTTAAATACAAATAAGTAAATCTTTATAATTGTATTTTCCTTCTCAAAATTGTCCTTTGACCTCCAACAAGCTCAAGACTAAAATAAAAATATATGAAGCTTTATGATAATATCATACTACTCAGCATTGCCCTTCAGCCTCCACCAAGCTCAAGGCTGAAATACAAATATATAAAGATGTTGCCCAGGTAGGGATGGGCATCGCTTTAAAAACGATCGTTTTGAGTTTCATTTTGGCTTTTCCAAACTAATTCTTATAATTAACATTGTTTTGGTTTTAAGCTTATGAAAGCAAAAAACGAACGGAAAAATCTGTGATTAAAATTTTTTTAAGCATATTATCTCATTTAATTTAAAATACAAATTTTTCCGTTCGTTTTTTGCTTTCATAAACGTTTCGTTCGCCGGAAACCCTACTAATGCCTCCTTTGTTTGCGGGGTAAGTGAATACAACAAATGCAAATGCTGTATTGGGAAGGACACAAAGATATAGAAAACAATTGAGTAAGGTGGCAACTTTATTTTTTGATTTGTTTATTATACATCGCAAATCTTTAAGAGATTTAAAAAATTTACTCTTTGTTTAAACCTATACTTTTTTCAGACTTTAAAAAAGATTATAATATATCAATCAAGTTAACAAAAAAAAAAAGCTTAGAATTATTTTTATTTCCGTAAGATCATTAATTAGTTTACTTTTAAAGACCCTATTTATAGCAATTGCACGAAATGGTTAATACCATTTTTTAAATAAAGTTGTAAATATTTTAAAATCTTTTACCTTCACTCCGAAACTTGTTTTTCTTTCTTTTCCAATCTTTTCCTTTTCTTCCATCTGTAGGCTATAAACTTCAGACCACAGTTTTTCCTGATCATCATCAATACACGTTATCATCATTATTATTATTATTATATCATCATTATCATCACCATCATTATCATCATTATCATCATTATCATCATTATCATCATTATCATCATTATCATCATTATCATCATTATCATCATTATCATCATTTTCATCTTTATCATCATTATCATCAAAGTCATCTTTATCTTTATGTAACTTACTAGAATATCGAGGATTGGCGATGCTTCTCTGAAAGTTGTAGATTTTCTCATGAGATTCAAAAACTAACAAATTCTTATTTTAATCTCAGGATATCAAAAACTTCAAAACATTAAAGGGAGTGACCGGCTTTGTAAGGTAGTTGAACTGAGTACGCAGTGTTGTCGAAAACTTCTTTCGGGTTCATTTGAGACATATTACACTTTTTAAAGATCGGAAAATCCTGAGTTTGAGTGCAAAGCCGACGTTCAATACTCCTACTTTGGGGGTGGATACGCTTTTAGAATTAGTTTTTTTAACTCAACTCTGTGGAAAATCTGATGCAGCTTGAATCCGAAAGCTCAAGCCGTAAATATGGCCAACGACATCTTAGACAAGAACCGTATTTTCCCCAATTTTCTCTGGTTCTCACGGTATAAAGAAAATAAAACAATCTTATTTCATTCATCTATTTTAGAAATTCATGCATTTTCCTTTCTTCTGTGAAACCCGAGAAAAAAGGTAAAATGGCGGAAATTGTTAAAATATAAAAATAGAATTCCTGAAATTGGGTTGAAGCAAGAAGATCCCTGCAGAGAACATTAGGAATTCTAAACAGACAGAGCTCAATACTTTCCTTTCATCTTTTAATAAAGCTCCTGGTCGGCTCTTTTCCCTCAAATTTATCTTTATATATAAATACTTTGCTTGTATGTCTTTCTGCTTGTTTGTATCCCATAAAAGTCAAAAGGGCTAAACCAATCGGGCCCAAATTTTTGAGAAGATCAAAATTTCAAAAATTAGCCTCCAACAAAATTTGATTTTCATGAAATTTTTGAGTTTTTTTTTAATCTGCAAACTTTCATTTGTTTTACAATGTATTTACACAGAGAGAAAATATTTGCAATTAAATAGAAGATGGGCCTGGTATTGTAATATTTAAATGATTATTTTTAAATTTGTTTTAAATTTTTACGGTTTTAGTGGAACAATGCAAAAAAAGTTAATTTTGATCTTGACTGTTGGACATTATTAAAAAGTGTTCAACCATTTTCTCCTTATATACAGGGTGTCCCCAAAAAACATGGGAATTCAGTGACGAATTCGATATCGTCTTTGTTATAAATTGGCATTGTAATACCTGATTTCAAAAGCCATAATATTATTATTTCTGCTAGAGTTTATTTTATGAAAACGGTAAAAGATTGTAAAGATGTGTCCATAATGTCTCCGTAAGATGAACAGTGAAGACGTACAAGTTTACTCTGTTTGTATACTGCAATTTTCTTGTTTTACTAAGTACAACCGTATGCAGTCAAAACATAAACAAACAAAATGTAAACATAGCAGACGAAACTCTTACAGATTACAGCTTTCTCAGTAGGTATCACTATACTAAATCAAAGAAATATTTAAAAAGACGATATCGAATTCGTCACTGAATTCCCATGTTTTTTGGGACACCCTGTACATAACCTATAGAAGTAAGTTTAGTTGCGGTTGAATCTGATTTTGATTAGGATTTAGCATAACCCCCCTTTTATTTTTCGTGAACGCCCTCTTTGATTATCACTCAATACTTTTTATCACGTTTCAAATTTTACTCGTTTTTTCACGCGGTATTTTTTTAATAATTATTTAATAACATTTTCCCTGGCCCTGTTATTTAAAATTGGTTCTCCCTGAAAGGCTGCACTGTTTCAATTTGATCTGTTATTTATTTACAAAAGTGTAAAAAATAAAAAATGTCGATTAGAAAGACGACATTTGAGCAATTTTATAGGTATTTTATAGCGTTATACATCAGGAATAGTCTAATTGTCGTCTTATTGTTCTACAGATTTATAAATCTAACTGTTTATTGAGTTTGCCTATGATGTTGAATATCAGTTTGAAGTTTGAACCATTGAATAGTTTCATCTAAACTCCAATCAGAGGGTGGAAGACACCTCAAAGACTACAACCAACATAAAATAAAAAAATTTAGGAAATATTTATTCTATGTAGCTGAACATTTTTTCAATTGTGGTTCTCTGTGAAATTGATTTGAGGATAAACATCATGCATTTGGTTGGTTTTGCCATACGTCTCAAGTTCTCAACAGAGGAATTGAGCATTTGTAACAAACCATGATTTTCTAATCCCTGTATCTTTGCAATTGCAACCCAATGCCGTAGAACTTAGATATTTCAAACTATGAATTCTGTTAGATGAAAGAATCTAAGTTTGAAACATCAAAGGTTTACACCATCAGTTGGATACAATATAGGTTTTAAAAAATCAGAGTTTGTTACAAAGACTCTTTTCCTTTTACCTATTTCTAATTAGCTGAATAGTCTCAATTCTCCTAATTGTTTTGCTCTTCTTTAGGTATCGAACCTTTCGGAAGCTATTTGAAAAAATGTACACTTTGTTCTAAATGGCGAAATGAAAGTTAATTTTGAACAGAGTTTTCGTAAAATCCTAATGGTTTTGATAATTTTAAATGTGCAAGGGGGTTAATAATAATAAACTCTGACTCTCTGGGTTTAATTATAATATCAATATCCAACAACAAATCACCTGAGGGTTTAAATTCTACATCTTTTGATCAATTTCACCTGAGGGTTTATTTCTGCAACTTTCGATCAATACTACCTGAGGGTTTATTTCTGCATCTTTAGGGTTCCATTTCAAACTTGCGAAGTACTTGCCGAGCTCTAGCAACAAAAATATCAGCTGAAAGGGACTGTAAGCTTTATTTTAAGTGACCCTCCATGCAAAAGTGGCATTGAGTGACTCACAAAGGTCATCTGAAAAGCTTTGTTTCATGCAGTATAAATTAGGTGACTTGCGCATTTCTACTTCAGGCAAAAATGTAAAAATTGTCAATTAAAAAAATTGAGTCTTTGCCACAAACTCTGATTTTCTTATCCACATATCTCCTTAACACAATGTTGTAGACCTTAGATATTTCAAACTATGATTTCTGTTATATCAAATAATCTAAGTTTGAAGTATCAAAAGTTTACACAGTCTGGTTGCAAAGATATATGGATTACAAACTTTGAGTTTGTGACAAAGACTCAATTCCTTTACGCGTTCAGTGTCTTGAAAAGGGAGTGAGCGACACATGTGACATAGGGGTATTTTAGCAGTGTTTTGAAATACAATATATCCGGATTCATTTGCAATTTGATAACATGCAGAATATGTTTTACATTGTAATAATGTCTGTTTAATCGCTGACAAAAACTTTATTTTACAATTATTGATAAAAAAATAGAAAAATTCTAGAAGTTTTCCGGTAAAAAAAATAAAATTTATTTTGTTCACAAATAATAACAAAAGACAAAATGTTTTATATAAATTTTTCAAGAGCTTTCAAAATACTAATTTTGATTAATAAAGAAATTGACTTTTTGCCACAAATTCAAATTTTCTAATCCCTATATCTCTGGAATCTGATGGGGGGAACCCCTGTAATTTCAAACTTAGACTATTTGATCTAACATAATTCCTAGTTTCATATATCTAAGATCTACGACATTGGGTTGCAAAGATATAGGTCTAAAAAATCTGAGTTTGTGCCAAAGGCTCAATTCCTTTCACATCCTTTAATTTACTATTTGTTGAAGTCAAGAAATGAAAAGAACAGTGCGAGGACAAATATTGCTAACAAATTAAATTGTTTTCAAATTATAATCTAGTCTAGAAAAAAAATGAATGCGCAGTTCAACTAATCTTTAATAATCTAAAGATTAGATCATATTTTTCAAACTAATTATAGTCACGTTGAAATGTTTAACGATTCTACGTTTAAGAGTAATTGAGATTAAGATATTCTTCAAATTATATTATTAAAGTTTTTGAATGAAACTGATTTCTAACTCGAATTTTCAATTTCGTAAAAAAGAAATATGAGCTTTATACGATCTAATTATCATGCATAACTTATAAGACATGTGAGCTAATACATTTGATCTCATTCGCTAAACTTATCATTGAGCGTTATATAAATTATCAAAAGAAATTAAATCTTTACCACAAACTCTAATTTTCCTATCCAGCTACATTTTTGAAAACTGATGGTGAACACCTTTGCTATTTCAAATATTGATTTTTTTATCTAACAGAATGCGTAGTTAGAAATATCTAAGGTTTATGAAATTTTGGTTGCAAAGATATAGGGGTTAGAAAATCAAAATGTATGGCAAAGACTCAATTCCTTTTCACTTGTTTTTAACTCAAAACAAATGGACTCATCATGTTTTTCTTCAAAAACAATGGAGATTTATTGTGAGAACTAAACACCTGTCAGGCCAAATTGAGGGGGTTAGAAAGCTGAAATTTAGCATGCAGCATCTACTTGTGGTCAACTACATAGATCACGAAGATATTTGATATCGGAGGTCATTGACCTCCATTTTGACCGCCATGAACTCATAAAATAAGGAAAATACCACTTTTTTCATTCTAATGCAATTATTTTAAGTTAATCAGACATGAACCTTTTCATAATTATTTGCTACCACATAAGTCATGCGCTGAATTAGACATAGACCTCCATTTTGACATCCATTCGAAAATGACCTCCAAAAATGGTTAGCATATTAAATCAATGAAAATTATAAGTTAGGTGAGTTATCAAATCATAGGTTTTTTGGTGTACCAATTGCATTCTAATACCTGTTTGTCCTAATATGTCTGAAGGTCTTGATCTCCAAACTTGCTGTTTTGTTCTGTTACAAAAGTTGGTGTCGAATTGCCCCCCCCCCCCCCATCTTTAAGATGTCAAGTGTAACGAATTGGGCATGTCACTCTTTACATGGAGACGGAGTGTTACAAAAGTACGAGACCAGAATCATTAATTTTTACCTTTATTACTCTGTGTATCCAGTAGAGTGGGACCGAAGGCAGCTATAACAAGAAAACTGACTTGTCTTCCTGGTTTCACAGAATTTAATAACAAATATTTTTAGATGATTATAAGTAGCTATAAACAATATGACAAGAATTTACTGTAATGTTACATTGTCTATACGCAACATCCCCCCTACTGAACTTCTGACCTACTAACTAGGACAAGCTAGGGGGCCGAGCGCCGCGGCTAGCTGACAGGCTAGGGGTCCGGGCGCTGCGGCCACAAGTTCAAATAGCAGCTGTAAATTCACGTACTAGTAGGTTGGATGTTTAGTATAGCGGATTTGTTTAGGTCAGAAGTGGAGTATAGTGGATTTGCGCAGGTCAAAAGTTGCACCATCAAATTTACATGTAGGTTGACGAATAAATACCGCAAATTAATTTAAAGATCAAAGACGACTTTTAAGTTGTCTTACAACTGTCTTGTTTAGTAAATATAAGTTTCCACAGAAAAAAATATAAAATCTAAACATTTTTTTCTAATATTATTAATTTTTTAATTCTTTTAACCTCGATTTAGTTTTAAGAATGTGGACCTTTTTTCGTTTAATTCAAGAAAAAAATGTTAAACCAATCTTTATTGAAAAATGACATTTCAAAACATAGCTTTGTTGAAGACATACATTTTCAAATAAAATTTAAAAGATTTTGTTAACAATTTTACAATAGGCATTTCGCAAACATTTCCGTAAAATTGAAATTGAAATTACAAAAATGTTGATTTTTTAATTCATAACCGAGGGGGGGGGGGGTGAATGCAATACAGGGTCATAGAAGTAAAAATTATAATTGGTATTAATTGCCTGGACCAAGAATGAACACTTCTTTCAAGAGCTGGGTCAGCTTGCTAGCCTAGTAAACAGTAATTTTCTAATCAGAATAATCAGAATAAAGAGCACATTGCATATCACTTGTTCTGGTATTAATCTTGGCTATGCATATTATGCTCACTGGTCTTTAATACCATACAAATTTTAGAAATATTTCTGAATTTTTTGCAGAACTGAAAAAAGTTCAACCCGAAATAATTTTTTACATTTTTTTAGCGTATTCCCTAGGTCATGAATAGAATAAAATGCACAATTCAATTTTAGATACACACGGTCGTCTTGAATCAAAATGTTCAGTGATGTCCTAGAAACTAGAATGCTTATTTCAAATAAGCAATATTTTTGCTCAAATAATTGTTGAATTACTTCTACTCTATGAAACTTTATAATAAAGATAAATCATGATAGTATAACTTAGAAACTTTAAAAATCCCATTATTTATAATAAAAGAATAAACTTTGTTTCTATAATTCATTTAGTCAATAGGATAGTACAGCTTAGTCGGCGTTTATATCAATACAATAAAGACAACTTTTCCTAATTAGGATAAATGATCATAAACAAGTATTTTTTTAATCTATTGGCAAAAATAAAAAATTCAAATAGAACGTCGTCTTTATTGTACTGATATGTACGACAAAGACTGTGTTATGAATAAGTTTCCTTTGGTTTAGAGGGAACCCATACAACTATGATATGAGTTATTATTTCATATAATTCATTGCAACACGGACCAACCAGAAGCATTCGGTTTCTTTTATTTGAAATGAAACGGGGTTCATCAATCTTTTAACTTATGGATTTGTTTACTCTATACTTTTCCATTCAAAACGTATATGCCGACAAAAAGTACTTAAGAAAAAGGTTAAAAAATTATGTATAATGAGTCAAATTGTGATCGAAAGCCATAGCTTTCTGGAATATTGAAAGAACCGTCAAAAACATGTGAATGAGCATTCGTAAAAATTAAAACATCATAGACTCATAAGATTGCTTAAACTCGTCTTCATATTTTACAGATTTATGGTTCTCATACTTTTAGAAGGGTTATAGAATAGATTTGAAAAAATTAGTATTCCTTTAATCTCATCTCCTGAGAATGTTATTTATTTGTATATATCTTAAACTCTTTAAAAAATGCAGTATGTAAAATTTCCCGAGATAATTTGTGAAAACAATTTTTGTTGCTATAAAAAGAACATTTTGTTCAACGATTTCTGTATAAAATATTGAATCCCATTTTAGTACAAATCAATTTTTCTCAAAAGTGAAGAAATGAAAGTGTCAAAATAAAATTTTAGCGGCATTTTTAAAGTGATATACCTGATTCTTAACGATAACCCTAGAACCGTTATCTCATCAAGAATAAACTAGATATTCTTGTTTTTCAGCTTTAAAGTTTTCAATTTTAAATTGAGGTTTCTCTTAAAAAACGACTTTAGCATTTTAACTCCCAAGTAAATGGATCAAGAAATCTAAGATTACTACTTGGATAAAGATCTATAATATATCACAGTAAACTCAGGTTAATTTCAAGACCCGGGCCGACTTTTAAGGAGCAAATATAATACACATACTTACAGACTAGATAAGGCTAAACGGGACGGCACACCAATCCCTTTGATCCCTTGATCCCTATTTTTAAACCCGGCTTACCTGATATGGTATTGTGATGTATCTATGTGGTGTGTACTGCGCTCTGTACTAATATATCTGTTATATTTTATACCAAGCAACGTGATTAGATTTAGGGCTAGAGGGAGGGTTTGCGCACAGTTTTATTTTTATACTATGCAAAGTGATTAGATTTAGGGTTGGAGGGAGGGTTTGCGCACAGTTTTATTTATATACTATGCAAAGTGATTAGATTTAGGGTTGGAGGGAGGGTTTGCGCACAGTTTTATTTTTATACCAAGCAAAGTGATTAGATTTAGGGCTAGAGGGAGGGTTTGCGCACAATTTTATTGTAAGTAACAATTGCTGATTTTAGGTAATTAAAAAACAGTGAGTGAACCAGCCAGAGAACCCTTTAAAGATACTCCTTGTTATTATTTTAATGAAAATTTTTACAATTTAAAGAAAATTTACCAAATCTGAAATGTAAAATATTCTACATGGTTTTGAAAAAAAACTTTTTTGCAAATTCACGAAAGTACATATGTTATTCTTGTATTATACAACAAATTTTTTAATGTTTGATTAACATGTAAGAAAATGATTGCATGGGTAGTTTCCTTGTATTTCATAGGAGATAAGAAAACTGCAATGTCAGAAAAATACTTTATAAAAGCATAATACGGATTTATATATGCTTTAGTACGGTTTAAAGATTCAATAATGTTGACTATACTATTAGTATTTTTATTTCTATATGCTTGGTGGAGATTGTTCTCCAAAGAAGTAAGTAACATACCAGGACCTCTCTGCATTCCATTCCTCGGGTGTCCGTTGTGGTTAACGTCTAAAAGAGGTTTTCTAGACTGGCTGACTCATCCTAGTGTAATCAAGAACCCAATATCTTTTATACAAATTGGACCGACTGTTAAATATTACATCATCAATGACTTCAGAATTATGAAAGAGCTGTTTTCTAAAGAAGAATTTTCCCATCGTTCTGCTGCCGATTTCCAGCTCAAGCTTAGGTTTGTAACTGTAAACAAACCTGATGGTATTATGCTCACTAACGGAGATCAATGGAGTCATCAACGACGTTTTGCTCTGAAAACACTGAAAGATTTTGGTTTTGGTAAGCAATCTTTGGAAAGTACAATCAATACTGAGATTGAGGAGATGATCACCAAGTACAGTTTACATCAAGGAGATATCAAGATCGGATCTGATTTTAATATTCCAGTTATTAGTATACTATGGAAGATAGTCTCTGGATCAAGAATAACTATAAATTCAACCGAGGCCGTTCGAATGGTTGAACTTGTAAATGAAATTTTTGCAAAAGGTAATCAAGTTGAATTTTCTATAATTTGATAAACTATTTCGTTGTAATTTCAAGTGATCTGCCATTCACAACTTCATTTTGAACCTATAGCTGATCAAAATGTCGGAATTTTATCCTTTAATTCTGACAATTTCTCCATAATTTCTTCAGTAGATATCTGCAAGTTTCTCTATTCAAAAATTTTATTTTTTTATTAGGAGATTTTCATTTGAGAGTTCTGCCCTACAGCTTTTTGAAGCATTTTCCCAATGTAACTGGTTATAAAAACAGAGCTGAAATTCTTAAAGAGCTCAAAGCATTTATGCTAAAAATAATTGATGAACATGAAGAAAGATTTGAAGCTGGTCAACTTAAAGATTTTATAGATGTTTATCTAGATCAGGTAGTTTCATGTATTATACTTAAATGGTATTTTCAAAGAAAAGGAAAAGATGTTGATTGTTACATTTACTTCAAATATAGTATTTAAAATTTCTCAGGACGATTTGTTTGTTTACTTTTTTCATAATAGTTTGTGTCACATTTTTAATTCACTCAGGTCAATTATTTTTACCCCTTGATCATTACTGTCCTTTGATCAGTTATATCCCATTCATCAGTTCATCAGTTCATCCTTTGATCAGTTCCTCTCCTTGATTAATTTCACCCCTTGAAAAGTTCCTTTCCTTGACCAGTTACTTTCCTTGACCAGTTCCTTTCCTTGATCAGTTCCTTTCCTTAATCAGTTCCTTTCTTTGATCAGTTCCTTTCTTTGATCAGTTCCTTTTCTTGATCAGTTCCTTTCCTTGATCTGTTCTTTTCCTTAATCAGTTACTTTCTTTGATCAGTTCCTTTCTTTGATCAGTTCCTTTCCTTGATCAGTTCATTTCCTTGATCAGTTCCTTTCCTTGATTAGTTCCTTTCCTTGATCAGTTCCTCTCCTTGATCAGTTTCTCCCATTGATCAACTTCTCTCCTGAATCAGTTCCACCCATTGATAAACTTCTCTCCTGAATCAGTTCCACCCATTGATAAACTTCTCTCCTGAATTAGTTCCTCCCATTGATCAACTTCTCTCCTTGATCAGTTCCACCCACTGATAAACTTCTCTCCTGAATCAGTTCCACCCATTGATCAACTTCTCTCCTGAATCAGTTCCTATCATTTAACCGTTATCTTAGTAAAACCATGTTCTCAAATAGTGCAGTTTAAACAGTGCATTTGATGCTTAAACTGCATTGATGCAGTATTGACTTATCTAAATAATTGCATAGATGCAATCTGACAATAGTGGAAAGTATTCAAAAGAAGATCTATGTGCTTCCATGATAGATTTCTTCCAAGCTGGAACAGAAACCACTTCAATTACGCTTAAATGGGTTCTACTCTACCTGGCTTTAAATCAGGTCTGTCAGAATTTAAAAAAAAAATCTGCGAAACTATATCATCATGTTTACTGCGGAAAAAAGGCTTTTTCTCGAAAATTTGAATTGCAATTATTCTTTTCAACGAATTTTATCTACGTAATTTCACGTGACACTACATTTAAAGAATTATATGGACAATTGACAAAATTATGCCATTTAAAGGACGCTGGCTGTCCCTTTGTGTGTATTTGCAGGATGACCAAGAAGCATGTAGAAGAGAGATAAAAGAGGTTCTGGGAGAAACCAGAGCAGAGGTGGCTCATATGTCAAGTCTTCCATATACCGTGGTAATGTTATTCTTTATTATATTGGGTTTTTTTGTATAACATATCTCGGGGGGGGGGGGGGGGTCATGTTCCTTATTGAACTTATTACTTGGCTAGCTCATAAAAAACAACACTAGACCTCTGACTTAGTTGAGCGCTCTAGTGAAAAGCGGCAACTTCCCAACTGTAACAATTTCCTTCACTAATTTACTATGTTAAAATTAATAACTGCAGCGCTCAGCCCCCTAGCCCATCATAGCTGCAGCGCTCGGCCACTATCCAATTCTAGTCCCAGTGCTCGGCCCCCTAGCCCATCCTAGCCGCAGTGCTCGGCCCCCCAACCTTACCCTAGCCGCAGCGTTTGGCCCCCCGTTGTAGCCTGCGGCACCTCAGACGCCTAACCAAACCTTTAATAATTACTATATTTTCTTTACAACGAGTTATAGCTTTAGCACTCGGCCCCATAGCCCTTCCTAGCCTCAGAAGGCTTAACCTAATCGTAAATAAAAATAAGGACCAACATGTTCTTGCTTTAACTTTAAAAAAGACTAGATGAATTTTTTATTTAAGTTGCGCATTTTCTAAAAAAAAAGTTGAGAAATTCTTTAAAAATTTAAAAACTTAAATGTTCATTTAATACTTCCTTCATGGGGAAAATTCCGTTTTTCCTTCATGGGGAAGATTTTAATTAGTGTAGCTCCGAAATATCTCAATAATGACAATATATTGTTCAGGCGACAATAACAGAGATACAGAGATTATCCAGTGTAGCTCCGATATATCTCAATAATGACAATATATTGTTCAGGCGACAATAATGGAGATTCAGAGATTATCCAGTGTAGCTCCGATATATCTCAATAAAGACAATATATTGTTCAGGCGACAATAACAGAGATACAGAGATTATCCAGTGTAGCTCTGATATATCTCAATAAATACAATATATTGTTCAGGCGACAATAACAGAGATACAGAGATTATCCAGTGTAGCTCCGATATATCTCAATAAAGACAATATATTGTTCAGGCGACAATAACGGAGATTCAGAGATTATCCAGTGTAGTTCCCATATATCTCAATAATGACAATATATTGTTCAGGCGACAATAACAGAGATACAGAGATTGTCCAATGTAGCTCCGATATATTTCAATAATGACAAGATACTGTTCAGGCGACAATAACAGAGATACAGAGATTATCCAGTGTAGCTGCGATATATCTCAATAATGACAATATATTGTTCAGGCGACAATAACGGAGATACAGAGATTATCCAGTGTAGCTCCGTTATCTCTTTTTTTAAAAAAAGTGAAGAAAAATATGTAAAATGTGCATGTTTAACAAAAATATAACCCCAACAAGCTTTTTAAAGAACAAAAATGCTTTTTTAGGGAGCTGTTGATTGATTCCGTTTGGAACGGGTAATTAGAATATTTGTTTAAATATTTTTCAACAGTTGAAAAGAAACATCACACCTCATTTTTAGAATATCCACAAAGAGAATTGAGTCTTTGTACCAAATTATCTAATCCTTGCATCTATGTAACCTGATGGTGAAAACCTTGATATTTCAAAAATAGATTATTTGATCTAACATAATTCATAGTTTTAAATATCTAAGGTCTACGACATTGGGTTGCAAAGATATAGGGATTTTTCAAGAAAAGCAGTTTTATTTTGTTTGCAAAAACGTAAAAGCTAAATTGACATTTGGCATTTGTTATTTTGAGGTGAATATTTTCTTTTATCTTGTACTCGCATTTCAGAATCTTCTAATCCTTATTTATCTTGACAATCTACCTTTATAAAACTTTATTATTTTAAACTTTAACTGTATAATAGATTTATTTTAGTTTAAAGTGTAACATTAACATCAGACTGCAAAGACATTAGGATTAGAAAAGTAGATTTTGAGCCTCGAGCAATCAGTGACAGTTACTTTATCAATTTATCAATAATTTAGTTTTATATCTTGTCAAAGATTCATTTATCAATTATTTTGTATCTATATAAGGTAAAAGATTCTGCATGGGAGAACTATTGGCTAGGAACAAACTATTCCTGTTTACGGTCAACCTAATCCAACAGCTGAGAATCCAACCTTCAGACAACCATCCTCTACCTAACCCAGAAAACTACTGTGTTAATTTGACCAGAATTCCGGATGATTTCTATGTAAAATTTACTACAGTTCGATAATTTTAAGGAAGAGCTGCAGGAAAAACGTTTTTTTTCAGAAATGTTGAAATACAGCAATATATAAAGTTTGCTTATCTTTTAGCCTTGCTGTTTGTTTGTGTTCAATTACAGGGACAGACCGGCTATGTAAGGTAGTTGAACTGAGTAGGCAGTGTTGTGGACAAATTCTTTAGGATTCATTTGAGATATTACACTTTTTAAAGATCTGTAAATCCTGAGTTTGAGCGCAAAGTCGACGTTCAAAATCGTACTTTTGGGTGGATACGTTTTCAGAATCAGTTTTTTTAATTATTAAATAACGACGACATAAAATGTAAAAAAAAATTCTACAGTAAACTAATTAGCGGCAAATCCCCATTTGCGTATATGTGGTTCATCTCCAATGGAATACATGTAACTTGAAATTCTGCATACTGGAAACCATTATGAAAGCATAAGAAAGAAGGGATTCTAGAACAGGATCCCGTTCTCCTCACCCCTCTATCCTCAACCTCCTACTCCTCTATCCTCAACCTCCTACCCCTCTATCCTCAACCTCCTACCCCTCTATCCTCAACCTCCTACCCCTCTATCCTCAACCTCCTACTCCTCTAAATATCCGTACCTCAATGTCAATAGAATTAGTTGAAGACAACACAGACCCAAATTGATAAAAAGAATAAATGTATTCATAGCCTTAGAAAAAAGCTAGCTTGTTAATCACTGAAACAGCAGAGCAGGAAACCCAAGCCATGAGTATAAACACAAACAGAGACTAGAAAAGGGTTTCCAACAAAATTCTAGGATACAAAAATATATTGATGATTATCAAGATTCAAGACATCCAACAAAAGTTTTCTTTCGAAATTTAACCAAGAACAAGATTTAAAGAACAAGAAGTGTAGAGCAGAAAATCAAGTTAAAAAAAAAAACTATGACGGGGTGTCTGCAGACGTGTGGTCCACCATATTTGAGTGCTTCGACCATCATCTCATTTATTCTTAACATATTGTTAAAAATATAAGTTTAGAAAAAAATAATAAACGTTAAAAAACACTGTAGTTTCCCAAATTCAACAAATAATAATTTATATGTTTTCTTTATAACTGATATTCCTCAATCTTGCTTTTATGCAGTCTTGCAACACTTGGTAGGATTTCCTGAATTCGATTATTCTAAGTCTAGGTCTAGGTCTAGGTCTAGGTCTAGATCTAGGTCTAGGTCTAGGTCTAGTTCTAGGTCTAGGTCTAGGTCTAGGTCTAGTTCTAGGTCTAGGTCTAGTTCTAGTTCTAGGTCTAGGTCTAGGTCTAGTTCTAGGTCTAGGTCTAGGTCTAGGTCTAGTAGGTGTAGGTATTGGTCTAGGTGTAGGTGTAGGTCTAGGTCTAGGTGTAGGTGTAGGTCTAGGTCTAGGTCTAGGTCTAGGTCTAGGTCTAGGTCTAGGTCTAGTTCTAGGTCCACCTGAACAAAGAATCAGTATCCTGATCAATGTTTGCCAGATCAATTATGTTAATCCATCCATCCATAATCTCCTCAACCTTGAGCAATAAAAATAAATCAATTTTCAATGAATTAATTTTCTAAAAAAAAATTTCTGATAAAATTGAATCACGTGTTCTCCCACAACGTGATTAGGTTTTGGATATTATTATTTTATAACAAACGAGCTGAAGAGCCCGGCGTTGCCCGTGGAAAAAAAAATTGAAAAAAATATTGAATTTTTTTTTTTAGCCTTTAACGAAAAATCATATTTTTTATGAAGCTTGTCCTTTCGTTAACGATCTTTAACGACGACGCTTCGTTAACAAACGTTAATGGAGAGAAGTAGAGAGAGGAAACCGACTTGAAGGGCATTATTACTTATCATTTTGTGGTTTTAAAGAAAATATCAAGAATTTTTAGCTCCCCCACATTCTTTTACCTGCATGTAAGACGACATTCGATAAAGTTGCATATTTTTCAATGACAACTTATTTTTTCAAAAAAAAAATTTTTTTTTAAAACGACCGTTTTCAGGAAGTTTGTCGTTTCGTTAACCATCCTTAACGACGAACCTGCGTTAAAGATCGATAATAAATTTATTAATGACAATTTTTTCTTTCAAAAACGATCGTTTTTTAGAAAACAATCGTTTTTTTAGAAAACAGTAGTTGAAAAAACGGTCGCTTATTGTTTTTATAAAAAACGATCGTTATTCATTTTCTAATACTTCAAAACGATTGGGTCTTTTTCAAAAATGATAACTTTTTTCTAAAAACGATTAACAACCCTGTATATAGATTTACATTTTAGACTAAAGTATTCAGACTTGTGACTACATGATTTAGACTTGAGACTAAGTACATAGACTTGAGACTAAGTACATAGACTTGAGACTAAGTATATAGACTTGAGACTAAAGTATTTAGACTCGAGACTAAGTATATAGACTTGAGACTAAAGTATTTAGACTTGATACTAAGTATATAGACTTGAGACTAAGTATATAAACTTGAGACTAAGTATATAGACTTGAGACTAAAGTATTTAGACTCGAGACTAAGTATATAGACTCGAGACTAAGTATATTGACTTATAGACTTGGGACTAAGTATATAGACTTGAGACTAAGTATATAGACTTGAGACTAAGTATATAGACTAGAGACTAAGTATATAGACTTGAGACTAAGTATATAGACTTGAGACTACAGTATTTAGACACGAGACTAACCGAGACTAAAATGTACTACTAAATAAAGCTGAAAACAACCAAAATAAATAATGGAGAAACCAATACCTTGTGTTTAAGTCGAAGTTTTAAAAGAAAATGGGATTTTGATCCAGTCTTACGTAAACACAAAACCTAGATAAAAAATAAATAATAAAAAATGGATATATAAATATTAAATATATTTTTACTTAAAGGGAGTGACCTGCTATGTAAGGTAGTTGAACTGAATATTGCAGTGTTGTGGAAAACTTCTTTTGGATTCATTTGAGACATACTAAACTTTTTAAAGATCTGTAAATCCTGAGTTTGAGCGCAAATTCGATATTTAATTTGATTTGATTTGATTTTATTAAAGAATTTAACATTTATTGAAAAAAATGCTTAATATTTTTCATTTTTTATTTTGAGTGAATTAAGTTTTTATCAATAATCTGATTTAAATATTTTTGTCGGAAATTAAACTTCATTGAATCATTAGCCTATTTGAAAATATACAGAATACAATACAATTCCGAATTAGAAAAATAAATAAGCCTTTCTTACAGCTTATTTTTGCAGTTAAAATGTTATATCTTATTTTTATATGTAAGTTAGTAAATTTGAAATTCCAACATTAAAAAAAATAGTTTTGAAGGTTTTTACAATTTGAAATTTGATTTTTGTTTTAACTCTTTCTTTAAATATTAAGAAAAAGATTTATTTCATAGCTTAATATTTTTTTGTAAAATTTAGAATTTAAAAAAACGATGCTCCACATGTAAATATTCTAAATGTATGGTATTATCAATTTGTTCATCAAAACTATTATAAACATTAATAATGATGAAATAACATCTTCAAATTTTATCTTTAATCTTACACGTTCAGAAATTATTTTTAAAAATATAATTTTTGGAGTTAGATTATCCTTAACCTTGAGGTTGAACAAGTTAAATCTTTAAATCTTGTTTATTCCACATTTAAGGAACTGTTAGAGGAGTTTGAGAAATATCACGTGACCCTCCAAGTATAGATGGTTATCACGTGACCCTCCAAGTATAGATGGCTATCACGTGACCCTCCAAGTATAGATGGCTATCACGTGACCCTCCAAGTATAGATGGCTATCACGTGACCCTCCAAGTATAGATGGCTATCACGTGACCCTCCAAGTATAGATGGCTATCCAGTACCTGGAAACTTTGTCTGATCAAGTATGAATTAGATATCTAGGTTTTTATTTTTTAAACTGTTTATATTCATTTGTGATTTCTCTGAAAAAAGCTTGTGTTTTTCTTGCTTACAAGAAACAATAAAGGAACATATCAGAATTAAACATTTTTCGACATTGAAATTACGTTTGCAGTTCCTTAAAATATTCCTGATTTAAAACTGTAAAAAACAAACAATACTTTTTGAAATTACAAATTGATCTTTGCGTGGTTTTCTGCAGAGAAAAAAAAATAATTCTCTCAATATCTGTCATTGCCTCTTTTGGAAGTTACTTTTATAGTACAAACCCATATGGAAGTCTCATTCATTCTGAACCAAACAACAGTTCTAAGGGTACCATTGGGAATCAGACATGCCACTCTACAAATGAAGAGTCAATTACAATTACATGTACAATCTCTTTAACCTTGAGTTTTGTAACTGTTTAATCTGGTTAAATCTTGTTTATTTTGCAATAATTTGCATCAAGGGGTCTTACAGCCAGGATATTTGAAAACTTTATTCAACTAAACTTTAAATTAAAAGGGACGGTTCCCAGTTTAAAGAAGGCAAATTTTTCTTTCAATATTGCAACTTTTGTGCATCTTGAGTAAGGCTGAAACAATTGCACCGTGAGGGCCTTTTTGAACCAGAGCTGACAATTTAAGAATTTTGGATATCGAGATCAATGCTTGATCTCCCCTCTTTTTATTGATCTAAAGACTAAATTTATCATAGGTTAATACTTGATCTCCTCTGCTTATTAATCATTAAGACTAATTTTATTGTACGTTAAAATCCGGGAAATTGTCTAAAATACAACCATGATCTGGTGTCGGAATTGTAGAAGCCAATCAGAAGCACAAGAAAACGTTGGTTCGTAGTGCAGCAGGGATATCCGAAAAATAGGATTTTAAGCAGAAAATCAAAAGTGTCTTATTGGATATAGAGATTTAGCAATTAGGGGTATCCAATAAAAGAGTTTCAAGCTCAGCAATCATAAAGAAGTAGCATAACAAAAAACATTAAAACTACAGGGTGTCCCAAAAAACATGGGAATTCAGTGACGAATTCGATATCGTCTTTGTTTGAATTAGCATTGTAATACCTAATTTCAAAAGCCATAATATAATTATGTCTGCTAGAGTTTATTTTATAAAAACGATAAAAGACTGTAAAGATGTGTTTATAATGTATCCGGAAAATGAACAGTGAATACGGACAAGTTTACTCTGTTTGAATATTGCAATTTTCTTGTTTTACTAAGTATACAACCGTATGCAGTCAAAACATAAACAAACAAAATGTGAATATAGCAGACGAAACTCTCACAGATTACAGCTTTCTCAGTAGGTATCACTTTACTAAATCAAAGAATTATTTGAAAAGACGATATCGAATTCGTCACTGAATTCCCATGTTTATTGGGACACCCTGTAGTAAAAATCTTTTAAAATCATGGAGGTCGCTTCCTTTCTTTTATGAAAACAGCTGACATGAATATTTAAACATATAGCCTGGATTTTCTGAAAACCATGCATTTGGTTTGCTTTGCTCTTAATTCTATACAAGCCTTTTTTCGATGGAAAATATTTTCATAAAATTTGATATTTTTTAAACTTTTTCAAATCAAAAGAAAAAAGTTGTATTTACCTTTTGAAGTTTTTTGGAAGTTTCCGCCAAAGAGTGACATTTGACTTCTGTGAATCCATTTCCGCCGGATATACCGTACACACTTCCAGCTTTTCCGAGGACACTTCCGGCTTTTTCCAGGCCATACTTCCGCTCAAAGGAAGTATTTGTCTCCCTGGCCTCACCACTTGTAGAAACCACCTAGAAAATGTTAAATAAAAATACAATAAATTTGTTATGCAACACATGTTTTATATCTTTTAGAAGACACAAGATTTAACAAAATTGACAGAAACCCTCTTTTTGATGGGGGTGGGACCTGACTTGGCACTTTTTGATGGAATCTGACTTGGCAACAATCAGTTTGTGTCCGGTCTAAATTTTAGAAGTGTCCATCAAAAAAGGTATTTTCGTTACAAATAAAAACAACGATATACTAATAGAACTCTGATATAAGGTTTATTGAGATATATTCTGATAAAATTAAAATAGTTTAAATTAAAATCAGACCTTGTTCATGTCTAACAAATCACAAGCTTTGTTTCCAGATATTTCTAGGCAGCTCATTGACAGCTCCCAACTGCCATGACAAGCTGTAAACAGCTCCTAGAAATAGTATATGTATGAAAAGCCGCTCATTAACAGCTCCCAACTGCCATGACAAGCTGTAAACAGCTCCTAGAAATAGTATATATANCCCCTATGCCATGGAGCATATATAAAAAGCAGCTCATTGACAGCTCCCAACTGCCATAACAAGCTGTAAACAGCTCCAAGAAATAGTATATATATAAAAAGCAGCTCATTAACAGCTCCCAACTGCCATGACAAGCTGTAAACAGCTTCTAGAAATAGTATATATATATACAGCTCATTGACGGCTCCCAACTGCATTGACAAGATGCAAACAGCTCTTAAAAATATTACATTTATACAGAGCAGCTCATTAACAGCTCCATAATACTTTGGTAAGCTGCAAACAGCTCCTGTAATTATACTGTAAAAAAAGAGCAGCTTATTTATAGCTTTTAGCTACACTGACAATCTGCAAACAGCTCCTGTAAATATAAGCTGTTATAAAAGAGATGCTTATATGCAGCTCCCAGCTACACTAACAAGCTGCAAACAGCTCCTAGATATTATTGTTTAATAAAAAGAGCATCTCATTAACAACTCCAAACTAACCTGACAAGCTGAAAAAGTTACTTTAAGGCAGCAGCAAAGGCTCTAATTAATAACCTCAAAATCTATTCTATATATAAATTTAGCTTGTCTGGGTGTCTGATTGTTTGTATCCAATAAACGTCAAAACGGCTGTACCGATCGGGCCCAAATTTTGTGTGGAACTCCAGGGAAGGTTTATAAATGATCAAAATTTTAAAAATTTGAGTTCAAAATTTTCTTTATTTTTCTAAAATTTTGAAAATGCGCGAAAAAATATTATGAAATCCGCAAACTTTTTTTGTTCTTGTTTTATAATGTACAAAGAGAAGATGTTCACAGATAAAGCTACAATTAAAAGTTGATATAAAAGCAGGGGCGTAATTTGTATTTAAAAGTTAATTTTAAAAAAATAATTTTTAAATGAAAATGCTCACCTGAATAAGTAAATGAATAGATTCTCCCAGATAGCTGGGTCGGGATTTCTTTCCTCCCAGGATAATGGTAGAAATTACACCTAGGACATTTTTATCTTCTATATAACAAAGTTTTTGTGGTAACTCACATCAATGAGGAAAGATTTACATCCCGTTGAAAATTGGAAAAAATGTTGAATCTTTTGAATCCATCAATGCTAACAGAAAAATTCACGAAATTTTGTTATTTTCGTTTACAAAAAAAAGCCGACTTGATAAATCCAATTTTTCCAAATTCAGTTGAACTGGGTATAACTAGTTCAACTAACTATTTTGTCAGGTAATGAATGAGATTTTTACTAGTTCTTTTAATGCATTGGGATGGTTCAAAAGTAGCAAACGTATCATATTAAACTACGAAACATAACAGTAGCGAAACGACTTGAATGTCGTCTTTGATCTTTGAATTTATTTTGACATTTAGTCGTCAACTAAATACAACTTTAGAAAATAATTATTTTTTAGAAAATAAACTAGAAGCGTTGGATACTTGAAGTAAATATTAAAATATTGGCCACCAAGTACAAAATGCTGCCCATTTTGGAAATTATTAACTAATTATTCAATTTCTTCGATTTTTTACAAAGAAAAAAGAAAAAATTAAATCTTTAATGTTCTCTTAATTTGATATTAAATTTTGTTCCTTATAAATGATGCCTATTTTTACCTTAATTTGGATGAACAAATGTTTAATGCACAAATTGTAAAGAATTATTTCTGAATGGATAATAATTTTTCCAGAATTTTACTCATTTTAAAGGGGGTATTCACGAATTTTTAAAGGGGTTATAGGGTAAAGTTAGCAAGAGTTATTTCTGGGTTTTTAAAATCATCAAATCAAATTATTAAAATCATCCATCACTAATCAACTAACATCTAAATCAATGATCAAGTAATAACCGATATTTTAAAATCTAAAATTTTCAATTTTATGACCATCACCATTTTTATTATTGTTCATCAATTTTCATTCGCTGAGTTTACTCTATTTTTCTTGAAGGGAGTGTTTGCGAAAAATGAAAGGGGGTATAAGCTTAATGCGTAAAAAGTTAATATTTCATAATATTTTGTATTTTTCATGATTTGAGAGTTACTTTTTGATAATGAAGACGATATTTTCATATTTTCCAGGAATGTTCGAAAATCCAATGCCAGCGAAAATTATTTTAAAAAAAAAATCAAAAATATTATGAAATATTAACTATATACGAATGCGTCGTAAATTAATCGATGACTACTGTTTGAACACTCCCTTTAAACTTAACTTGCACTTCTAGTGTAACAATGGGTGATTTTGTTGATCTTTTACGATCAGCGATTCAAGGATCTTTTTAGATCGCTGAGATCATAGCTAGCTAGGGGTATCACCCCCCCCCCCCTTTATACCCTTCGTTTGGACTTTTGAATCCTATTTTGAATCCTAACGGATTTATTTGAGTTTGCATGTGAATTCTATAAATAACCCAAGCCAAGCTGAAAGTTCCGTTATTCCAGAGACACGGGGGCTGGGGGGCTAGCCGGCCAGCTCCCGGGGAACTAGGGTTAAATGAGAGCCCAGGGTGGAGCGAAATCAGGGGAAAAGAGTCAGTTGATCATCAGCTCCCTTAACTAGAGGTTCCCTTGAAGATTCCCCACCACTCTGAAACGACTTCAATTCATAATATTTGATTAGTATAGTATCATCCTTTTAGTTTTTGTATCTTTGTAAGTAATAAACTGTAAGAAAAACCGACTTGTCGAATATTAATAATATGAGTAGTTGCCTTTATTAATTTTTCTTTCATATGTAATATGGTGACAAGTTCAAAAAATTGGAAGCCAAAATAGCAACACTCGTTTTTAATAATATTCGGCGAAATAGTTTTCTAGCGTTTCGGCACACCCTAACTGAAACCTAGAGTACTATCGGTAAGCTTGCGCGGACCGCGGCATTGAAAATAGACGCCAACTCATTCTACAGCATAGTTACCCGCTACTTTTAAAATTGTGAACATTTAACTGGAAATTCTAAGGTAAAACAAAATTATTTTTGTTTTGTTTGATAGTTTATAAGGTTATGAGTATGGCGCAAATATTTTCATCAAGCTTTAATATTTTGTTTGACAGATTTATGTAGTTAATTTGACGCGAGTTAAGATAACATGTTAGAAACACAGACGGACAAAATGTTTTTTAACTTCCAACGTATTATTCAAACGTACTCCATTCTTGTATTCTAGGATGGATAACGACGTCCCTGAACAACGGGGACCTGGGGTTAGACCTGATTGGTTCCCCAGCTGGCTGAGGGAGGTGTTTTTGCCGGCATCTCGTGATCCCTTAGCATCCCAAATTGAACAGTTTGAAAGTGCAGTAGAGCGAATCCCAAACATTGATGAGTCGGTTAAAAAGTCATTAACCACAACCCTGTCCACGGAGGCGAGGATCATCTTGCAAAAAGAGGATGATAAGTCGAAAGTGCAGCAACTGCTTAAAACTCAAACCCTGATTCTTGATGAAGCAGTGTCCCCTATGCCATGGAGCCAGTTGACAGAATCTGAAGCGAAGATCATCTCCCGAGTCGTGGAAAACATCAAACAGCAAGATTTCTCTACAAGATCTCTCAAACACTGGGGTGTACACTTTTCTGACATGTTCGATAAATTTTTTATTTCAAGCAGGGTGGGCCGTATTGCTGTCATTTATAATAGCTGCTCAACAAGCTTGAGGCAACGTCTCCTGGTGCTAGATGTCGGTCAAGAAGCCCAGAAAGATTCCTACTCTTATCTAAACTTGCTACAACTTATAACCACTGTGGTGCACAGCCCTATCGCTAAGGACGAGGCCATGATGAATATATATAAAGGTTTCCGCCAGGCTAGTTCAGAATCTGTCCAGTCATACCTGCAGAAAGTTTGTGATACGGCTGAGGAAGCCTATGGCCCCAGTTCAGGCTGGACGATGTCACAAGCGTCTCTCCTCCTTAAGAAGATATGTGAAGGTTTATGTTCCTCAGAGTTGGCTAAACTGACAGCATCGATAGTTATTTCTGTTCCGTTCCAGTGGAATACCCTGTGCGACTCCATTATCCAGTTCCAGCAGAGAGTAAAACCGGCCCAGTCTGACCCAAATGTTAATGCAGTTCAGCAAGTCCAAGCCAAAACTCCAGTCTGTTTCAAGTGCGGTGCGTCTCATTACATGCGTGACTGCAGGGTTTTAGTGTGCAAGTACTGCGGCCAGAACCACAAGCACGATGATTGTACAAAATCTGGTCAGAAGACATTCTGCGCAAAGTGTAAGAGTAAATTCCACAACACTGATGGGCATTTCAAGTATGTACCGGAAGGCCTGAAGCTGCGCAATCAAGGAATAAACATGATAGAAGCTACATCGTTCCTAGAAGGTGCTGTACCAATGGGCATGGATCATACAGGTAACCATTTTGAAAATACTAAAATTTTAATCGATACTGGCGCCCTCATACCAACGGGCATCACTATCAGTGAGTATTTTTCCACTAACCATCTGCAAGGTAAAATTAGTGACCTAGTACCGTCGGATTTGAACTCAGCAAATGGGGCTAGTTCAAACTCGACGATGGAGACAGTAGGGCAGTTAGAAGTTAGGATAAGGTTTAATCAAATGTCAACAATCTTTTCAGGTTCAGCTGTTGTTTTGAAAAATTTATCCCTGCCAGTTATTATAGGGGTAAATTTTTTAAAAACTAACAGTCTGAGCCCAGTTTTAGAACCATCAGCAGCGAAGGTTGTACACAGCACTACATCCGAGTATCAGGATTTAATAGCCAATGTCTCAAACAGATCCAGTCTCCAATTTTCACTCCTCACTCTTCACTCCTATTGTGATTTTTACTCGTATATGGGTGTTCTGTGTTTAGTGCTACAGTGCGCGAATATATCATCATTATGCCCTGGGCGTTAAAATCCTACAGAACCCACGTCCTACATGCAATCATTCCAAAATATGGATTACAAGACGTCCGATAAATGGTGGATCTGCGTGTTGAAAAGTTTTACAATATAGGTGCCGGGTGGCAAAAAAAAGAATAAATCAAAATTAGTTGCAATCAAGAATATTGCAATCAAAATTAATGGCAATCAAAAAGATTGCAATCAAAATCAATTGCAAACAAAAAGGTATAAAACTTGATTGTACTCATGAAAAAGTGATATGCAATTAAATTTTTGAATTTTTTTTGTACAGGGTGACCTGTAAAACATGAAAATCTAAAAAACTTTGGTAATTCATAATTATTTAATTATCTTCAAAACTTTACTTTTCATGTTTTAGTTATTTAGATCTTTAAAAGAAGATTCCAAAAATTTCTTTAAATTTTTTCTAAAAAAAAATTGACAATTTTATAGATTCAAAACTAAATTACAGGGTGTTCTTTTGGGTTTTTTTCCGAATTCAAAATCTTGTTATTTTGGGTTTTTTAAAATTGAAAATAAAATAAAAAACCCAACTTTGAAGTTACGTCAAATATAAAATGTGTTTTGAAAACAGGAAATCCTAAAGAAAGCGCAGGAAAAGACAAGACAACATTTAGTTTAAGAAAAAAGGCACTTAAAAAAAACCTCACCCGGTCAAAATTGACCTTCTCGTCACTAATGGGTTAAGACAAAATTATCAGCTATCAAGTAAAACCAAATAATGTTTAAATTTTACAAGACGTCCAATAAATGATATTATCAGTATTTAACAGTAAATTGGAAATAAATTGATTAGTTTTTCTAAAACTTTAAAGCTTTTTGGACCACACAAAAACGGTGTACTCTTGAATGTTCCAACATCTAAAAATGAATATTCTGTGATTCATATCTTGTTCATTGGAACACCCTGTTTATTCATATCCTTTTTATTGAAACACTCTAAAGATTCATATCCTGTTTATTGGAACACTTTGTAGATTCATATCATGTTTATTGAAACACTCTGTAGATTATTTTCCTGTTAATGGAACACTGTAGATTCATATACTGTTAATTGGAACACTGTTTAGATTAATATCATGTTTATTTGAACACTCTGTAGATTATTTTCCTGTTATTGGAACACCCATATCCTGTTTTTTTTTGTACACTCTGTAGATTCATATCCTGTTTATTGGAACGCTCTATAGATTTATATCCAGTTTATTGGAACATTTTGTAGATTCATATCCTATTTATTGGAACACTCTGTAGATTGATATCCTGTTTATTGGAACACTCTGTAGATTCATATATATCCTATTTAATGGAACACTCTGTAGATTAATATCCTGTTTATTGGAACACTCTGTAGATTAATATCCTGTTTATTGGAACACTCTGTAGATTAATATCCTGTTTATTGGAACACTCTGCAGATTCATGTACTGTTTATTGGAACACTCTGTAGATTAATATCCTGCTTATTGGAACACTCTGTAGATTATTTTCCTGTTATTGGAACACCCATATCCTGTTTTTTTTGTACACTCTGTAGATTCATATCCTGTTTATTGGAACACTCTGTAGATTCATGTACTGTTTATTGGAACACTCTGTAGATTAATATCATGTTTATTGGAACACTCTGTATATTATTTTCCTGTTATTGGAACACCCATATCCTGTTTTTTTTGTACACTCTGTAGATTCATATCCTGTTTATTGGAACACTCTGTAGATTCATGTACTGTTTATTGGAACACTCTGTAGATTAATATCATGTTTATTGGAACACTCTGTATATTATTTTCCTGTTATTGGAACACCCATATCCTGTTTTTTTTGTACACTCTGTAGATTCATATCCTGTTTATTGGAACGCTCTGTAGATTAATATCCTGTTTATTGGAAAACTTTGTAGATTCATATCCTATTTAATGGAACACTCTGTAGATTAATATCCTGTTTATTGGAACACTCTGTAGATTAATATCCTGTTTATTGGAACACTCTGTAGATTCATGTACTGTTTATTGGAACACTCTGTAGATTAATATCCTGCTTATTGGAACACTCTGTAGATTGATATCCTATTTAGTGAAGCATTTTGTAGATTCATATCCTATTTATTGGAACACTCTGTAGATTGATATCCTGTTTATTGAAACACTTTGTAGATTCATATCCTATTTATTGAAACACTCTGTAGATTAAAATCCTATTTATAGGAACACTCTGTAGATTAAAATCTGGTAAAAGCTTAGTTTGTGTTTGCGCGTAGGAAAATTCTGATTTGTCTAGAGAAACGATTCCACCCAATAATTTAAAATATGCGTAGGTGGAACCATTAGCCTCACGCTTCACGCAGGTCTAAGCTTTCAAGATCTATTAAATTCAAGCTCAATTCAATCTCATGTCAAGTTCAATTCAAGATCAATTCATGCTCAATTCAATCTCATTTCAAGCTCAATTCAAGCTCAATAAAAGCTCATTTCAAGCCTAATTAAAGTCTAGTTTAAGCTCAATTCAAGCTCAATTCAAGCTCTTTTCAAGTTCAATTCAAGATCAACTCATTTCAAGCTCAATTCTAGATCAATTCATACTCAATTCAAGCTCATTTCAAGCTTAGTTCAAGCTCAATTTAATCTCATTTCAAGCTCAATTCAAGCTCAATCTAATCTCATTTCAAGCTCAATTTAAGTTTAATTCAAGCTCAGTTCAAGTTCAATTCAAGTTCAAGTCAAGCTCAATTCAAGCTCAATTCAAGTCCAATTCAAGTTCAATTCAAGTCCAATTCAAGTTCAATTCAAGCTTACTTCTAGCTCAATTCAAGCTAAGGTCAAATTTAATTAAGTTCAATTAAAGTTCAATCTAAGCTCAAATCAAGCTTAGTTCAAACTCAGTTCAGGTGCATTTCAAGCTCAATTCAATCCCATTTCAACCTACAGCAATTTCCCATTTTTTCCCCTTTGTTATTCATTGATAGAATTTGTTTTCTTTATTTTGTAATGAATCGGTTTTTATAAACACTTTTATAAATATCCTTTTGTTGTTCTGATCTGTTTTTTTTTATTTTCTCAAATAGTCTCAAATAGTCTCAAATAGTCTCAAATAGCCTCAAATAATCTCAAATAATCTCAAATAATCTCAAATAGTCTCAAATAGTTTCAAATAACCACCATTTAAATTTAAAAATATCGGAGATTTACCTGTTTTGATTGTGCAATGGCGGATTTCTAAATTTTCAAAAAATCTAATTTATTTTCAGGCTTTTTTAATTCAACCGACCGTGTGAGTTTCTAAACAAAGATTGGGTCTAATCGGTTTAATATATTTTGACGTTTATTGGGCACTAACAAACAAACCGACAAGCGGTCGCCCCCTAAGTATGATAGGTAGTTTAAGAATGAAGCTCTCAAATTCAACATTTACATTTATGCAACCACAAGAGTAAACTTCACCTGTGCATGCTTTATCGACGAATGGACGAAAAATTGTTGATTTCAACTTGTCCAGTCGACGATGGTCGAATATGTTGTCGACTTTGTACTTTAAAACTCCCAGTCTAGCAGAATTCCTAGAAATTTTTAATGATCCTAAGATTTGATATATTTTTAGATATTAGTGTCTAGTGTTCAGTGCTTATAAAGAATGATTTCTAATTATTGGAATTAATAATTTGTTATTATTTAAATATTGAGAGTAACATTTTGTCTGGTTCACTTTCGTCTAAGTTCACTTTTGTCTAGTTCATTTCCGTCTAGTTCATTTCCGTCTAGTTCATTTCCGTCTAGTGTTCAATTCCGTCTAGTTCATTTCCGTCTAGTTCATTTTCGTCTAGTTCATTTCAGTCTAGTTCATTTTCGTCTAGTTCATTTCCGTCTAGTTCATTTCCGTCTAGTTCATTTTTGTCTAGTAACCTTTGGTCTAAGTAACATTTGGTCTAAGTAGTTTTTGGTCTAAATAACTTTTGGTCTAAGTAACTTTTAGTAGGTAATTTGGTCTGAAATATGTTAAGTGAACACGTTGAACTGAGAGGAACTCAATGGCGGGATTAATTAGATAATAAGAAAATTTACGTGATTCTTTGTTGTTGTTGTTGTTTACCATAGATCAATAGTAGCGTATGAATGAATATTGGAGTGATGAAGTAGTTTTGACAACCATTTTTTATGGGGCGAGGTTCACATTCTACAGAAGATTGTTACATCTTTCTGTAGACGCACTACTTCACGGAACCATCTCATTTAGACAGTTTAGTTTTAGACCAAATTCCTTACTAAAAATTACTTATACCAAAAGTTACTTGGACAAAATATTACTTACTCCTATCTTAAAGTTACTTAAACCAATTCTGTTGCTTTAGACCAATTTACTTACTAAAAGTTACTTAGACCAAATGTTACTTAGACCAAATGTTACTTAGACGAAATGTTACTTAGACCAAATGTTACTTAGACGAAATGTTACTTAGACCAAATGTTACTTAGACCAAATGTTACTTAGACAAAATGTTACTTAGACAAAATGTTACTAGACCAAATGTTATTGGACCAAATGTTACTGAGCCTAATTTTTTATAGAAATTTTTACAAAATATAAATATAAAGATTTAAATTTCCAAACCTCGAATTACATTTTCTAAGCAAAAGAAAATAGAAGAAAAGACGCTTTTAAGAATTCTTTTTTTTAGGATTAAAATCTTTTCATTGTAAAAATTTGAATAAGTTGGTTCAAAATTCTAATATTTAAACAACTTTTTGGACAGAAAAATTCTTTTTAAAAGGATTTTTCAGCCTTTTTTGAACCACATTTTGTCAAAAAAAAATATTAAATGGCGTCTTAGATAATTCTATGAAATGTGTGTGTTTTTGTTTTTATGCGAAGCACGATCAAATTCTATTTGCATAATAGTAGAAAAATTTTCTATAGAATAAATTTACTGATTGTGTTATTATATATATTATGTAGCTACTCTACCATTTTAGAAATGCATTTTTTTTTTTTTCATTATCTTCGGCCCTCGGATCCAATGATTTCTACTCTCATCTCTCGTCTTATTCATCTTATCATCTCAATTTTGCCTGCAAATGCAAGTTGAGCGAAATGAATTTCATGCCTGCCGCAATTAAATAATTCCCATCTATAATCCTTCTCTCTTTTTCTTATTTTGCCAGTAATTGCAAACATTAAGTTATGAAAAGTAGAAGATAGTTTATTCCCTGTCCCTATCTCTGAATTGTATTTTTAATACGAATTCAGATATAAGTCTTCGACTAGGGCTCGGAGCACACCCTACTTCTGAACTGACATTTTTATCTGAAAGTTCAATTATAAGTCTCCGGTTTGGGCCCGGAGCAAGTATATTATACTAACAACTCTCTTAAATATTTCTTAGTTTTGCCTGTAATTGCAAGACTATCGTTTTAGGAAGTTATTAGGAGATGTTTTAATTTAAATCCCTATTTCTGAATTGTATTTTTTAATGCAAGTTCAGGCACAAGTCTTCGATTAGGGCTCGGAGCACACCCTATCTCTGAACTAACATTTTATCTAAAAGTTCAATTATAAGTCTTCGGTTTGGGCCCGGAGCAAGTATTTTATTACCCTATTTCTGAACTCGCATTTTCTCATTGCAAAATTCAGGCACAAGTCTT